TGCCACTGGCCTGTGGGGTAGAAAGTCCACAAGGTGCTCAGCGTGGTGTCCTGTAGTGCAGTTCAGTTTCACAGATATTGGCTGAGTATTTGGGGGGTTAAGAGCAGGTACCTTGGAGCCAGGCTACCTGGGTCGAAATTGTGGGTCCTTCAGTTAATAGACGTTAACAAGTGACATTAGTGCCTAGATGGCAGGCTGGGTGGTGAGGACTAAGTGAATTAGCATCCCGGAAAGTATGTAACAGTACACAACATGAGAGGTAGTCAGAGTTACCGTTCAGTGCCCGAGAAACCCCCGTGGGCCATTTCCTCTGTTCTTGAAGAAGACTTGAGCTTGGACCCTGTCCCCAGGAGGTCTCAGAGTAATCAGGACTGTACTAGGGAGCAAACTATGGCAAGATAGACAAGTTGTCTCTTAGTATCTATTCTCCCGTTTTTAATAGAGAAGCTCTGATTCTTAGCTGGGCACATGACTACATGGATTCAAGGGATTTTCCCAGTGCCTCCTGAAATTGTGATATTGTGACGAAATTGAAGCCGCAAAGATGCTGAACAGAACTGGTGTGTGCAGCTTCTAGGAAGCGCTCTTCAGCGGGAAGCTCCTTCCCTCCTTGTAGTCTGGAACATGGACCAGGTAGCTGGAGAAGGAGCTGCCACGTTGGGCCAGAAAATGATCTTAGGAGTGAAGGTCAAGTAAGTCGGGACAAGATAGAGGGAGCCTGGCTGCCTGAGGCTGAAGAGCCATGCCGGTATTGTCACCTGGGAGAGTTAAACTGGTCAAGTGCCTGTTTGTTTGGGATTTCGTCACTTGAAGGTGACCTGAATTCTGACATGCAGAGAGGGGCCCAGAGCACCCTGGAGTAGGACTGGTGGTGTCTGCATGGAAGGGTTTCGCAGAGGACATGAAGCTTGAGCACATCTTGGCACAGGTGGTGGGAGAGAAATGTGCCTTTGAGTTACAAGGTGATCTTACCAACTCAGCCCTCCTATTAGCACGTCCCTACAACCTGATTGTTCCCCGGGGGACGAGGCTGAAGGACACCAAAAAGCATCCTTAGACATTTCCATTTATGCCCTGGCTGATAAACTGTCTCCCAGTTGAGAATCACTGCTCTAGAAATGAGAGCACACGTGTAGCCAAACACCCAAGTCCGACATTAACCCTTGGCCTTCCCATGGATGACTGCTGGTACACTGCGACAAGAGTGCAGCGGACCAACAGCCGCCTTCGTGTTCCCAGCAGCCTGTTGCCCCTGCCTAGACCTGCTGTCACAGCCTTCATTTCCACAGGATGCCCAGGTTCATCTGCACTCTGAAGTCTGACAAGTCCTGCCTTAAACACTTTCACCTAGTTTTTCTCTCTTGGAGAGTGAGGTTAATGCTGCCTGGGTCTAGGGCTGAGGATGCGCTCTGGCTCAGAGGTGGGATCTAGAATTGGGCGTGAATATGTAGACTAGTCTCAGGGATGTGTTGAGGCTGCAGGATTGGGTGAGTGATGGAATGGGGATCGTTACAGGAGGCGGAGGTGTGCCGGATACCCGGGATGGGCTGGGTGGTGAGGTGATACTCAGAGACCACAGGAGCGAGTATGACAGACGGGAGTGAAGCTTGAGATACTGAACCCAGCAGAGATCCTGAGTTAACCAGGAGTTGCCTGGTGTCTTGGGTTATGTGCCCTAGAAGCAAAGCCTGAGTGGAGACTCTTGTTCAAGTGTCTTACTGAGGGGGTGCTCCCAGGAGAAGGGGACTGAGGTAACTCAGCTTCTATGAGCTTCAAGTTGGGAGAATCCAGTCAGGTGTTGAATGTGATGTTATTAAGTCCATTGTTAGGAGCAGTTCCTCATTTCCCAGGTTGCAGGCTTGTTTGCTCCATACACCTGGCCCTCTCTGTGGGAGCTGAATGGAAGCCTTTGGTGCTGGAGCTGGCTCAGGTTGGAGAGGCTGCGTGCAGCCAGGACATACGACACTGGCCTGGTTTTTCCTCTCTCGGCCTAAATCCCAGCAGTTACACTGGTTGTCGCTGACGGTTCCTTCCACAGCACTGTTCACGGCAGCCCACACACAAATTTTGTCTCCTTTTGTGACGACCCACTTCTTTGGCTGTTCTACTTCCACTGCTTTGACCCAGTCATCTGAATGCAGATGAGGTCGCTGAATCGTTTGGTGATTCGGCTAACACATAGGGGCACGAGTAGAGCTCTAGAAGCACCGTGCCTTCCACTCAAGGTGCAGAATCTGCCTGTGGTGCTTGAGCTGTGGTTGTCGCTGGAGAATTGCCATGGCTTCCCCAGGCAGATGAGGATCACAGGGCAGTGCCTCAGCCCTGAGGAGCGAACTGCAGGACACAGACAAGATCCTGCATATGGTCATCAGGCCTGGAGGGAAGGACGACAACAGGTTTATTTACTCAAGCTGGTGGCACCAGCTCTGAGCCCAGGAGTTCCAGACCAGCCTGGCAACTTAGACCTCGTCTCTACAAAAAAAATGAAAATAAGTTAAAAAAAATAGGCTGGGCATGGTGACTCACACCTATAATCCCACCACTTTAGGAGGCCAAGGTGAGTGGATCACCTGAGGTCAGGAGTTCGAGACCAGCCTGACCAATGCAGTGAAATCCCATCTCTCCAAAAAATATGAAAAAATTAGCTGGATGTGGTGGAGGTCGCCTGTAATCTCAGCTACTCAGGAGGCTGAAGAAAGAGGATTGCTTGAACTGGGGAGGCAGAAGTTGCAGTTAGCTGAGATTGTGCCACTCGACTCCAGCATGGGCGACAGAGCGAGACTATCTTCAATCAATCAATCAATCATCCTCATTTAGCAATTTGTCAAAAAGAAAATCCAGTGAAGATTCAGTGCCAGGTCCTGATTCAGTATTCCTTCCTCTACTCCCTTGATGTCTTACCATACAGAGCTGCAAGGTGATGGGGGGTTGCAGGCTTCATAGGACTGGATTTTTCCCAGTCAGCCTCCAGGAAGGGTAAGAGATGAGTAGCTTCACATGTCACAAAGTGGAACTGGAAGTTTGGGTTGGCTAATTGGGTCCTTCCCAGACCTTGGAGAAGTGAAGGGAAACAGACCCCAAATCTTCATGGGAAATCACTGCCCTCTGCCCCCAAGAGCACATGCCTTTCCTGACAGAAGCTGAGGAGCAGGAATCTGCTCCCCACTCACCCCTTAGCTTGGGCTTAGCCTCAGCCCCCACCCTGCTGTTCCTCTACCCAGTGCATAGTCTAGAGCAGTAGGGAGAATGGACCTTCCCTATGCTGAAAAATAAGAATGAGGGGCTAGAACTCCAATCTCACTTTTTCTCTAGTCAAATGGCAGATGTTTATTATTCATGAATAATCTGGCTCTCTGTTAATTCAGCTGTGTTCCTTTACTGTTACTTCTCTTTTTTCATGTATTTTTTACATATATTTTGTTTCATATGTTCTGTTTTTTCATATATTTTGTAGCTTTATTTTATTTTTTGTTGACTTTTTGAGATGAAGTCTTGGTGTGTCACCCAGGCTGGAGTGCAATGTTGCGATCTCGGCTCTCTGCAGGCTCCGCCTCCTGAGTTGAAGCAGTTCTCCTGAAGTAGCTGCTATTACTCTTAACATGGATAAATACTTTTTTTTCTTTTCTTAGGGAACTAAAAGACGCAGTTCTCAATTGATTAGTCAGTCTGTGGTCTTCTGCTGAGGAAGGGTACAGAATCTCATCTCCAGGAGCATGGAGCTCTGTCAGATAGGATTCTGCTTCCTGAGCCCAGAGCTTATTCTCCTATGTGATCAAAGGCTTTCACAGCATCCACATTGGTTTCCAGATCAACCCTATCACGCTTGTTCCAGAGACCTTCACATGAAAAGGGAAATTATAAACCAGAGTCCAGGAGACACCATTCTGCAAGGATCCTGCCCTCTCTTAATAATCTCCATGGCCACAAAATACCTGGGATTTTCCCAGGAGCTAGCCACCACACAGGTAGATGATGAACTTTGGGCAGAACCCCCAGCCCTAGCCCTCACTCTGATACCTGTCATGTTCAAACTGCTCTCTTCAAGGGCGCATATGCTGGTATCTCCCGAGAGTCTGCATGTCAGTGTGTCTGTGCTAGCATTACTGATTTAGAAAGTGGAAAGAGCGTCCGGGCGTGGTGGCTCAAGCCTGTAATCCCAGAACTTTGGGAGGCCGAGGCGGGTGGATCACGAGGTCAAGAGATCGAGACCATCCTGGTCAACATGGTGAAACCCTGTCTCTACTAAAAAGACAAAAAAATTAGCTGGGCACGGTGGCGCGTGCCTGTAATCCCAGCTACTCAGGAGGCTGAGGTAGGAGAATTGCCTGAACCCAGGAGGCGGAGGTTGCGGTGAGCCAAGATTGCGCCATTGCACTCCAGCCTGGGTAACAAGAGTGAAACTTCGTCTCAAAAAAGAAAGTGGGAAGAGCAACAGGCAAAGGGCAGGATACTGGAGGCTGGGTCTAGGCTCCCCTTACCTGATGTATGTTGCTGATTTTCCCAAATAATGATAAAAATGATCTCCAGGCAGCAGAGAAGCAGGAGGACCCTAGACTACATAGTAAGTAGGAAATGAAATCAGTGCTGCATGTCATTTAGATTGAGCTCAGTCCTGAGTCACAAAATCTCTTCAGAACAAAGGAATAGTAGTCCCTTTTCTGAAGCTCGCCGTGGCCTTGGGCAGCCTGGCATCGAGAATTCTCAGCATGTTCACAGCAAGCTTGCATCACACATCAATGGAACAGTCCCAAAGGATTCCTAAGGGTGGGAAAAGGCACTAAGAGAACATGAACCTGCAGCCCCTGTTAGACCATCTGCTCTAATTGATACTACTGTTAGCAAGCGAAAGGAGCTCTCTCCGTGAGGCACTAGAAACCAATATTTTGACACCAGGTTTTTGAGAAATAAAAGCTTTTTTTTTTTTTTTTTTTTTGAGATGGAGTTTAGCTCTTGTTACCCAGGCTGGAGTGCAATGGGACGATCTCGGCTCGCCTCAACCTCCGCCTCCTGGGTTCAGGCAATTCTCCTGCCTCAGCCTCCCGAGTAACTGGGATTACAGGCACGCACCACCATGCCCAGCTAATTTTTGTATTTTTAGTAGAGCTAGGGTTTCACCATGTTGACCAGGATGGTCTCGATCTCTTGACCTCGTGATCCACCCGCCTCAGCCTCCCAAAGTGCTGGGATTACAGGCGTGAGCCACTGTACCTGACCAAGAAAAGCTTTTTATTGTTAGTTGACTCACAAGATGAATCAAACTCAAATTGTCTTTATGTACTGACTTTAAGGCAGTGATTTAATTATAAAATGTTTAGGAGATGGATTCTGGGGTTCTCAGGTAATTAGTACAAGGAAAGGAGAGGTCTGCAAAGTCTTCAGGCATGCACAGTTCTCCTCATGTCTCCTCATGCATGATGTGCAAATTTACAGGGAGTTAGTATGAACCATGGCGTGGAAATTCAGGCTCTGACGTCAGCATGCTTGCTCTGTGCAAACTCCTTTTGGCCATATTGGTTTCAACCAATTTTGGCCAGTTTTGTAGAGGGAATTTGAGGATTTCAGGAAGTTGTTTCTTAAATGCTGTTCTGTAAATGAATGATTTGTGTCAGTCACTGGTTTATTTAACTCTTTGGGCAATGGGTTCACTACCACCTGTCCTGATGCCACTTGATCTTTCCTGGGCCTCCTTCCGTTCCATCATTCTCTCATCATACTTTGCCACGCAAATAACTCCCCTGCTATTCTGTAGGTAACCCAGATACCAGCTGTACTGCTTCCTGTCTTAGATATCTATATATACTCTGACCTAATCAAAACCAGAAATGTGGAGCTGAAAAAGCCAGTGTGTGAAACAAGAAAAGCAATAGAGACTGGTAGCAACAGTATTGAACAAGCAGAAGAAAGAATGTGTGAACTTGAAGATAGGGTATTTGAAAATACATGCTCAGAGAAGAAGAAAGAAGAATATAAAAAATAAAGTCATCAGGATATATGGGACAGCATCCAAAGAGCCAAGTTCCCGTTATAGGATTTCAAGAAGAAAAAGAGAAGGGTATAGAAAACTTATTCAAAGAAGTGGCCGGGCGCAGTGGCTCACGCCTATAATCCCAGCACTTCGGGAGGCTGAGGCGGGTGGATCACGAGGTCGAGAGATCGAGAGCATCCTGGTCAATGAGGTGAAACCCCGTCTCTACTAAAAATACAAAAATTAGCTGGGCATGGTGGCGCACGCCTGTAGTCCCAGCTACTCGGGAGGCTGAGGCAGGAGAATCGCTTGAACCCAGGAGGCGGAGGTTGCGGTGAGCCGAGATTGTGCCATTGCACTCCAGTCAGTAACAACAGCGAGACTCCATCTCAAAAAAAAAAAAGAAAGAGTAGCCAAAAGTGTCCATATCTGGGAAAATACATAAATGTCTAGGTGTAGGAAGCTTAAAGTTCTCTAGTTTAAATTCAGCTAAGACTACAGCAAGACATAATAAACTGTCAAAAATCAAAGACAAAAGCAGAGGGTTTTTTGTTTGTTTTTTGTTGTTTTGAGGCAGTCTTGCTCTGTTGCCCAGGCTGGAGTACAGTGGCACCATCTCAGCTCATTGCAACCTTTGCCTCCTGGGTTCAAGTGGTTCTCGTGCCTCAGCCTCCCAAGTAACTGGGGCTACAGGTGTGCACCTCCACACACAGCTAATTTTTGTACTTTTTAATAGAGACAGGGTTTCACTAGGTTGGCCAGGATGGTCTTGAACTCTTGATCTCGTGATCCACCTGCCTCAGGCTCCCAAAGTGCTGGGATTACAGGCATGAGCCACCGTGCCCGGCCTTTATCCATTTTTTATTTAAACATTGCCTCAAAATCCATTAACAACTTAAATATATATAAGGTCTGAAACTATAAAACTACAAGGATAATTCATAGGGGAAGAGCTACATTATATGGATTTGAGGAATTATTTTTGGATATGATCCCAAAAGCACAGTCAATGAAAGCAAAAATAGACAATTGGAATTATATCAAAAACTTCTATACAGCAAAAGAAACAACACAGTGAAGCAACCATCAACAGAATGGCAAAAAGTGATTGGAAACCTTACCAAGAGGTTTATATCCCAAATACATAAAAATCTCAAAAAACCCCATAGCAGGTAAACAAATACCTTGCTTTAAAAGTGAGCAAAGGTCATGAATGGGTATTTATCCATTGAAGACATACAAATACCCAAAAGGGATATGGCGAAATGCTCAAAATCACTAATCACGAGGGAAATGCAACTCAAAATCACAAGATATCATCTCAGCACAGTTAGAATGGCTACTATCAAAAAGACAAAAAGTAAAAGTGCAGGCAAGGATGTGTTAAAAAGGGAGCTCTCACACACTCCTGGTGGGAGTCTAAATTAGCACAGCCATATGGAAAACAGCATGGAGGTTCCTCAAGCAATTAAAAATATAATTAATATGCTAGCCAACAATTCCACTGCTGGGTATATATTCAAAAGGATCATGAGATCAGTATGTCAAAGAGATATCTTCATCCCATGTGATATGGTTTGGCTCTGTGTCCCCACCCAGATTCTCCTGTTGATTCGTAATTGCCAATGTTGGAGGAGGATCCTTATGGGAGGTGATTGAATCGTGGGGGCAAACTTTCCCTGGTTATTCTTGTGATAGAGTTCTCACATGATCTGGTTGTTTGAAAGTACATAGCTATACGGACACAGTGGCCCACACAAGTAATCTCAGCACTCTAGGAGGCCAAGGCAGGCGGATCACTTGAGGTCAGGTGTTTGAGACCAGTCTGGGCAATATGGCAAAACCCCGGGTCTACTAAGAATACAAAAAAGTAAGCCAGGCATGGTGATGGGTGACTCCTATAATCCCAGCTATTTGGGAAGCTGGGACGGGGTAATCGCTTGAAGAGAAAAAGAAAATGTGTAACGCTTTCCTTTTCACTCTCTCCTCCCTGCTTTGGCCATGTGAAGACTGCCTGCTTCCCCTTTGCCTTCCACCATGATTTTTAAGTTTCCTGGCACCTCCCCAGGATCAGAAGCCTGGACAGCCCACACAATCAAGAGCTGCTTAAACCTCTTTTCTTTGTAAATTACCCAGTCTCAGGTATGTCTTTATAGCAGTGTGACAACAGACTAATTCACCATGTTAATCGCAGCATTAGTCACAATAGCCAAGTTACCAAATCATCTAAATGTCTATAAAGAAATTAATGGATAAATAAAATGTGGTACAAATACACACGCTGAAATATTATTTAGACAGAATCTAGTGCTGTCATTTGCAGCCACTTGGATGGAACTGGAAATTAGTAGCCAGGCACAGAAAGACCAATGTCACGTCTCACTCATATGTGGGAGCTAAATAAGTGGGCCTTATGGAGATAGAGTGTAGAATGATGGTTACTACAGGCTGGAAAAAGTTGGGGCAGTGGTGAAGAAATTTTGATTAATTAGTACAAAGATATGTCTAGACAGAAGGAATAAGTTCTGTTAGCACAGTAATTAGTGTTAACAATGATTTATTGTATATTTCAAAATAGCTAAGAGACTGTCTAAAATGTTCTCAACACAAAGAAATGATAAGCGTTTAATGTGATGGATATCCTAAATTCCCCAATTAGCTCATTTTTTGCTTCAATAAATGGGATCTTGCTCTGTCACCCAGAAGGCTCACTACAGCCTTGATACCCTAGGGATCCTTCCACCTCAGCCTCCAGAGGTGCTCAGATTACAGGCATAAGCCACCTTGCTCAGCCAAAGGGGGCCAAAGGGTGGATCACTGAAAGGTGTTATGTATTTTGTGCTGCTACCAAATCCAAATGTTGACGTGCCCCAAATCTCCAGTACCTTGGAATGTGACTGTGTTTTGAGATCGAGCCTTCGAAGGGTGATGAAATTAAAATGAGGGTGTTAGAGCGGGATCCAGTCAGTCTGACTGACGTTCTTAGAGACAGGGAAAATACGTAGAGAGAAACCCCAGAGCGTCGTGCACATAAAGACTGAGGACGCTCTGTAACGGTGACCATCTGCCAGCCAAGGAGAAGCAGCAAGCCTGCCTTCACTTCAGTCTTGAACTTCCAGTCTCCACAACACTAAGAAAATTAATTTCTGTTGTTTACGCTACACAGTCAATGACATTTTGTTATGGCAGCCCGAGCAGATTAAAACACAAAGTAAGAATCTGCCTTTTTTTTTTTTTTTGAGACGGAGTTTCGCTCTTGTTACCCAGGCTGGAGTGCAATGGTGCGATCTCGGCTCACCGCAACCTCCGCCTCCTGGGTTCAGGCAATTCTCCTGCCTCAGCCTCCTGAGTAGCTGGGATTAAGGCACATGCCACCATGCCCAGCTAATTTTTTGTATTTTTAGAAGAGACAGGGTTTCACCATGTTGACCAGGATGGTCTCGATCTCTTGACCTCGTGATCCACCCGCCTCAGCCTCTCAAAGTGCTGGGAATACAGGCGTGAGCCACCGCGCCCAGCCCAGAAAGACTCATTTTTCGAGGTGATAGAATAATACAGTGCAGAATTTAAAGTTTGTGGCTACTATGAGTACTGAATAGTTACTTATATGTAGCGTGTAACTTGTCTCGGTGATAACAAGTATGAGTTTCAGTTGGGTAAATTCATAGAAATAAAATTATTGCAACATAAATTGACGTCTGGTAACCTTACACAGACACTACCAAACAGTTTTCCAAAATGTTGATAATCATTTCAACACCCATAAGCAGTGCACGCGTTTTTTTGTAAAACTTGATGATTTCCTGCCATTTTCATTTGAGCTTTCTGGGTGATCTATTGTATTACTAGGTAGTAGTTTGATCTAAATTTTGCTGATTATGAAGGACACTGGTTACTTTTCACATATTCATTATCCATGGAATAACTTATTATCTTTTTTTTTTTTTTTGAGACGGAGTTTCGCTCTTGTTGCCCAGGCTGGAATGCAATGGCAGGATCTTGGCTCACCGCAACCTCCGCCTCCTGGGTTCAGGCAATTCTCCTGCCTCAGCCTCCTGAGTAGCTGGGATTACAGGCACGCGCCACCACGCCCAGCTAATTTTTTGTATTTTTAGTAGAGATGGGATTTCACCATGTTGACCAGGATGGTCTCGATCTCTTGACCTCATGATCCACCCGCCTCAGCTCCCAAAGTGCTGGGATTACAGGCGTGAGCCACCGTGCCCAGCAAAGCCACGTCTTTCTAAGATAGACTCTAATGAATATTGGGTCTTAGTCTGGTACCTATGTGGGCAGAGGGAGTTCTATTTAGCAGAATTGTCTAATTCTGGTGCATGCTATCTCATTGACAGTAGTCTTAGTCAAACTTTGCTTGAAGAAAATTTATTGTATCTGGTTTTACCTCCTGCATCTGATGAATCAGAATGATTTGCTTATGAAAAATTCGCCAAAGGTGAATACAGTTAGGAAATCAGTGGTGAGTATTGGTGGAAAAGAGTGTTCTCTTTGTTATCTGTATGTACACATGTCTTATTGGCAAGGACATGTGCAGGTTTTGGTCAGGACTGTCCTTTTGTGAATGTTTATGCAAATCACAAACTTTGAATGATAGAAATAGTGTCACTTTTTGTGGCAGATGACAAAACTGTTTACTGTATAGGGAAATAAGAGACTCGAGCCAAGAAAACCAATACATAAGAAGAATTTTGGAGATCCAAAGAGAAAATGAATCCTGTGAAGCCTCGTGATCGCAAACCTGCCTCAAGAAAAGTCCTGAGGGAGGCCGAGCCCAGTGGCTCACGCCTGTAATCCCAGCACTTTGGGAGGCCGAGTCAGGAGGATCACGAGGTCGAGAGATTAAGACCATCCTGGCCAACATGGTGAAACCCTGTCTCTACTAAAAATACAAAAATTAGCTGGGCATGGTGGCGCTTGTCTTGAGTCCCAGCTATTTGAGAGGCTGAGGCAGGAGAATTGCTTGAACCTGGGAGGCAGAGGTTGCAGTGAGCCGAGATTGCGTCACTGTGCTCCAGCCTGGCGCTTGGTGACAGAGCAAGGCTCTGTCTCAAAAAACAAAAACAAAAAAACAAAGTGAGGGAGAGTGAGTTAGAAAACCCTTAAAAGTTAAATGAGAGGCCAGGCGCCGTGGTGCTACAGTACCAAGGCTAGCTATTTCTTTCTTTCAATCATTCATTCAACAGCTATACTTACTTCGTTAGTGTCTCTTGTCATTTTAAAATGGTTTATCTTCATATATCATGAGGATATATGAAGATTGGGATTGTGGTAAGTTTATGTCTATAGTTTTATTCACAGGCTAATATTACCTATGAAATAATACTAAAATGAACTGGAGATACACTGATTGCCATATAATCCCATAGGAAAAATTATCTAAGATGACACTGAGGCTGGGTGCGGTGGTTCATGTCTGTAATCCCAGCACTCTGGGAGGCTAAGGCGGGCGAATCGCGAGGTCAGGAGATTCAGACTATCCTGGCTAACACGGTGAAACCCCATCTCTAATTTAATACAAAAAATTAGCTGGATGTGGTGTCACGCATCAGGTGTCCCAGCTACTGGGGAGGCTGATGCAGGAGAATCGCTTGAACCCGGGAGACGGAGGTTGCAGTGAGCCGAGATGGCGCCACTGCACTCCAGCCTGGGCAACAGAGGGAGACTCCGTCTCAAAAAAAAAAAAAAGAAAAGAAAGAAAAAGAGAGTATTTCTATTCTATTCTGTGGGTCGGCAGCATGAAATTACACATTCAGCACAGACAAGAGGTTGCATATTGTATTTTAGTTTGCATTCCTTTCACAGACAATCTGAGGGCTTTTCAATTAAATTTCTAAAGTTTAATTGAATTCCTTAATTTTAATTGTGGGAACTTTCCTGAATCCAAACATCCGATGTGGACCCTCCTAGTGAGATCCCAGGTCACTAACTGTGGAGCGACTTTAGCCTACCCACTGTTAGTATCCAGAAAACCGAGACACGCCCAGAGATAGGAGGAGACACGTGCAGGCCCCGCCCATCCGCGACAAGGCCACGCCCACTCTATTACTGGCCCCGCCCAGGCCTGGCCTCTCAGCTGCGCGCGCAGTTTCCTGCAGACCCGGAAGTGGATCGAGTGGAGAGATGGCGCAACTGCGGCGCGTGAGTTTCCCTTTGTTTAGAATAAGTGTTTGTTTTGCGGTGCCCTCACGCTTCTGTACCCGGGATGTGAGGGGCGGTACAGATCTTGAAATCCTCCTACCGCTGGCTCCATCCCGAGTAAATTCACACCTCCCGTCGGAATTACCGGGGGTCGCTTCCTTGTGTGTGAAAATCGCGCTGGGGCTGATTCTGACCCGGGTCGTTTTGCCATAGGGCCGTGTAGGCAGCTGCTTTCGCGCCGTTTTTCTATTTAAAACCCGTCAGTGACCGCTCCGCCAGCCCCGCGCCACGTAAAGTCTCCACCTGCGAGGCGGATCCACGCCCTCCGAGTCCCAGTCCTTGCCAGTGTCGGCTTCTGGGGCGCAGCGCCGCAGCGGTAATTCAGAAAGGGCCGCGTCCTTGCCTGGCCTGGAGATTCTGCAAACCCCATCCCTGATCTGCCTCCCTCCGTAGTCCTCCTTGGGCCGGGCTCTTCTGTCCCCAGGCCTCTTTGCAGTCACGACCTCTCCTGATCCTGTGTTGTGGGAGGTGGCCAGGACCTGCCTTAGGGCACCCAGTGTTCTTCTGTCCCAAATGCCTCCCATTAGAATTAAGGAGGTGGGCATTTTATTCCAGTCCTCTTGCTGTGACTGTGTAGTGAAAGAGAGATTGAGAGAGAGTTAGAGTAAATAGAAAAATTTACAGAAAAAATAATGAGGGAGATCCGTAGCAAGACGGCAACCTAGAGGGAGGGTGAGAGATTTGCAAAGTGGAATAAGCACCCCAGGAAGTAGCAGGGAGAGAAAAGCAACTGGAGAAATGTAAAGTGAAGTTCTATTTCCAGAAAGATGAAGGACAGCAAAATAGGGAGAAGGGCAGCAAAGGGAGAGGCTCCTCAGGCAGAGCTGGGGAGAGCAGGAGGGATTTGGAGCCAGGGCAGACAGAGCAGAGTGATGCTGGGACAGCAACAGAGGGGGCAGGAGAGCAGAGGGAGAACCACCTCAGGGGTCTGGGGTTGCCAAACAGTGGGGACAAGGGGGCATACAGAGAAGAGGGAGTTTAACAGGAGGAGCAGAGATGGGAGAAGAGGTAGAAATATATGGAGATTGCAGACAATCAAAAGATTGTAGAGAAAGAGCAACAAGAGGAAAAACATTGCAAGATGGAACAGATCAGGTAGAAAAGAAGGAATAGAGGGAAGAAGGGGGTAAACTGCAGGAGAGGAGAGGGGCTCAAAATCTCGGCTCATTGCAACCTGGCCTCAAGCGATTCTCCTGTCTCAGCCTCCCACCTAGCTGGGATTACAGGCGTTTGCCACCATGCCCGGCTAATTTTGTATTTTTAGTAGACGGGGTTTCACCGTGTTGGCCAGGCTGGTCTTGAACTCCTGACACCTTAGGTGATCTGACCACCTAGGCCTCCCAAAGTGTTTGGATTACAGGCTTGAGCCACCTTGCCCAGCCTCCTCACATTTTATTAATGTGCTAGAATGGTTCACAGAACTCAGAAAATTTTACTTAGGTTTATTATCAGTTATAAAGGTTATTACAGAGGATAAGTTACAGATGGAAGAACCTTCCTAGCAAATCAAAACGGAGGAGTGGGTTTTGGAAGCCATGAATTTTATTCCACATCTGAAGTGAGGGACAGTCTTGTGGGACTGTGAGGTCTTAACTTAGGAGATCTGATTCTAACTCCAGGTAGAGAGTATCAAAATTGAATTACATTATAGGTCACCCAGCTGGGAGTGTGCCAGAGAACTGGTTGGTATGGGGAAAAAAACATGCCCATTTCCATCTCAAACAGTAAGGGGAAGAGATCTCCAGTCGGCCCTCCTACTTTTCTCAGGGCCTGTGATCTCTGCTCAGTAGTAACTGGGAATGATCTTTCCCTCCCCCTGGCTGTTGCTGACCCTGTGATTGTACACCATGTGCCAGCCCTACTCACAGTCTCAGGACAGTGTGGCATACTTCCTCTGTGGCATCACCAATATTTACCCCAAGGGACTACTTTGATCAGTGTACTCAGAAGGAAGTATTGTCCATTCAAAGATGCACAGACACATTGACCAGGCGCGGTGGCTCACGCCTATAATCCCAGTACTTTGGGAGGCCAAGGCGGGCAGGTCACTAATGGTCAGGAGTGGTGAGTCATGACAAGGAGAGCCTGGTGTGGTGACACAGAGGCCTGGCCGACACGGTGAAACCCTGTGTCTACTAAAAATACAATAATTAGCCTGGTGTGGTGACACATGCCTATAATCCCAGCTACTCGGGAGGCTGAAGCAGGAGAATCGCTTGAACGCAGGAGGTGGAGGTTGCAATGAGCCAAGATCGCACCACTACACTCCAGCCTGGGTGACAAGAACGAGACTCTCTCTCTCTTAAAAAAAAAAAAAAAAAAGTAGATACAGAATGAAGCCTTTATTTTCTTGTCACTCCTCCATGATTAAAACAAAAAAAATATTCTATCAATTACATTTCTCCCTGTAATAAGTACCTGTCTTTTATGCTGCATTTGAGAACACAGTGTACTAAAATCTTGTTTCTATTCTGTCTTCAGTCTTGCGTCCAGTTCTTGATTTGCCCCTTCCAGTTAAGCTTTCACCTCCTCCGTTCCTATGATCCTTTTTTTTTCCCGGAGTCACCTGTTTCAAAATCCAGTTTTGAATTTCCTATCCTCATCTTTTCCTGTTAGCAACATGTTGGCAGCTGATCATTCCCTGTTCTTTCTTCTTAGCTTTGAAGACATCTCTAAATGTTACAAATTACTTTGTTTCAGATTTTTGTCTTATCGGTTTCCTCTGCTGGTGTCTCCTGAAGCTGTCTTCTCTGAATGTGGGAGTGTCCCAGGATTTAGGTCTTTTTTGTTTTTGTTTTGAGACAGGGTCTCACTCTGTCACCCAGACTGGAGTGCCGTGATGCAATCATAGCTCCCTGCAGCCTTGAACTCCTGGGCTCAGGAGGTCCTCCTGCCTCAGCCTCCCAAGTAGCTGGGACTATAGGTGCACACCACCACACCCGATTAATTTTTTTATTTTTTTGGTACAGACTGAGTTTTCCTATATTGAATAGGCGTAGATCTCAAAACCCTTCTCATCTCGGTCCACACACACGACCCTTCCTTATCATCTTATCTTGTAGCTTTGACCCTAACCACATGTCTCCATGTGCCCTATAGTCTTCTGCCCTGAGGTCTAGAAATCTGTGTTCAGTTGTCCTCTCACTTCTCTACTGGATCATCCAACAGGCATCTCCCCTCATGTGTGCCACTTTCTGAAACTCCCCCAAATGTATGCCCCTGCAGTCCTTCACATCTTAGATGAGGGTGACCCTGTACTCTGAGGCTTAGCCGAACTACTTGTCATATAATCAAAATATGTAAGACGTTACATTGTAAATACATTCTTTTTTGAGACAGAGTTTCTCTTTAAGGCCAGGCTCAAAGGCAGTGGTGCAGTCTCGGCTCACTGCAACCTCTGCTTCCCAGGTTCAAGCGATTCTCCTGCCTCAGCCTCCTGAGTAGCTGTGACTGCAGGTGTGTGTCACCACGCCCAGCTAATTTTTTGTATTTATACTAGAGACAGGGTTTCACCATGTTGGCCAGGATAGTCTTGATCTCTTGACCTTGTGATCCGCCCACCTGGGCCTCCCAAAGTGCTGGGATTACAGGTGTGAGCCACCGCACCCAGCCTGAAAGTACATTAATTTATAACATAAATAATTACATATTTACTTAAAACAGGTGAGGAAAATTGTTGTTTCTGAAATTCTTTTGAGGTATGGGAGAGAAATGTTGGTGACCTCATCCCTGTGTGATCCACTCCCCCGGGACTGTTCTGACCTCATTTTTGTTGTTCCCTCTGCTGCAGCCACACAAGACTCTTGCCTGGGGCCAAGGTTGCTCCTGCCTCAGGGTTTCCACATGGGCTGTCCATCTACCTAGACCTCTCTCGCCCATCAGGTGCAGGCACAAATACCTTTTCTTCCTCAGGTCTTTGTTCTGATGTCACCTGCTTCATGGAGGCTTCTGTGTTCCTCTCCACCCCACATTTAACACTCCACTATACCCTCACCCCCACTGGGGTCCACCCTGGCTGCTCTAGATGTTCTTTTGCTCTTTTGCTGGATCCTGGTGACAAGGCCCCAAGGGGAGAGCAGAGCCAGAGGTTGGGGTGTGCTGGGCTTGCCCTGTCTGAGTGGCGCTCACCCCTGGCTTCACCTTGGAGTGCAGGTACGCGTCTTGTGCCCCCATCCTCTTACCTGAGGTTCCCATTCACATACGCAGGTTGGGCCCAGCCTTAATATTTGAAGTCGATTCTAGGGTAGTTACTCCTTATCTGCCAGTGTACTTTTAAGGTTCCAGTTACTCTTGGTTAACCACAGTCCAAGAATATTACATGGAAAGTTCCAGAAATGAAGAATTCACAAGTTTCAAATTTCTTACCCCTCTGAGTAGGATGATACAATCTCTCACTGTCCCACTGTTTGGCCCAGGACTTGAATCGTCCCTTTGTCCAGTGTGTCCACCCTGTACAGTCATCCCTCTGTGTTACATATGGTTTGCTTCCAAGAAAACCCCGAGGCTACCCAAATCAGATGGTCTTCAAATCCCTTTTTTTTTTTTTTTTTTTTTTTTGCATAGTACAGGCAGGGCTAGGTGGGTCACACCTGTAATCCCAGCACTTTGGGAGGCTGAGGTGGGTAGATCACGAGGTCAGGAGTTCAAGACCAACCTGACCAGTGTGGTGAAACCCCATCTCTACCAAAAATACAAAAATTAGCTGGCTGTGGTGGTGTGCGCCTGTAATCCCAGCAACTCAGGTGGCTGAGGCAGGATAATTGCTTGAACCCGGCAGGTGGAGATTGCAGTGACCTGAGATCGCACCACTGCGCTCCAGCCTTGGCAACAGAGTGAGACTCTGTCTCAAAATAAAAAAAAAAGAATAGTATTAAAACAATTTCAAGGAGATGTTAAGAAAAAAAAGGGGGAGCCGCAGTGGCTCCGACCAGTCGTCCTGGCACTTGAGGAGGCGAGGCTATGAGTTCAGGACCAACTTGAGCAACATAAGATGCTCTCAGTGATTAACAAAAAAAAAAAAAAAAAAAAAAAGAATAGTAATGTATTAGGATATGTGTGTATGCACATATAATGACCATTTTTGCAGATTCAGGTTTTTGTCCTTGAACTTGTTAGGTAATTGTCAGTCTACTTTTGATGCTGACCATTTTTGCAGATTCAGGTTTTTGTCCTTGAACTTGTTAGGTAATTGTCAGTCTACTTTTGATGCTGATGTGTTACTTAACTGTTTGATTCTTTAGGTTTGATTCTAATGCCCGGACACAAAATTAACCCACAGTTATTTCTATAGATGTGTTAGGTATTGATGTTTGACACACCAAGTGATACCCAGTATCTACCTGAGCTAGAATTCAAGTAGTTGGTGTCTTCAGAGAGATTTGTATTCTACCTCAGGTAGATATTGAATGAAAAATGTGCACTGGTTTAGAGAATATCATAACTTTTTATAGAAAAGTATAATAAAACACAATTACAGACACATAACTAGCTCAAAATTACCTTAATGTGGATTTATCAGAATGTTCACTTCACCATATCAGTTGAGTCAATCTTTACAATTCTCTTCTCATTTTATGTGAACGTAAGTACTCTCTGCATACCCTGTTGGTCAAATGCATCTTTTATTTTAGGGACCCTTGACATTCAGGGATGTGGCCATAGAATTCTCTCAGGAGGAGTGGAAATGCTTGGACCCAGCTCAGAGGACTTTATACAGGGACGTGATGCTGGAGAACTACAGGAACCTGGTCTCCCTGGGTAAGGATAATGTCCCCTCCAGAAGTTGGGATCTGCCCTTGGTATCTCTGCATTTTCCCTCGTGTCCCTGTTGGGAACCCCTGCATTGCGTGACTGAAATTGAAACCCTGTTGACTTGGCCAGGCATGGTGGCTCACGCCTGTAATCCCAGCACTCTGGGAGGCTGAAGTGGGTGGATTGCTTGAGGTTGGAAGTTCAAGACCAGCCTGACTAACATGGTAAAACCCCATCACTACTAAAAATAGAAAAATCAGCCAGGCATGGTGACGCATGCCTGTAATCTCAGCTGCTCGGGAGGCTGAGGCAAGAGAATCACTTGAACCCAGAGGTAGAGGTTGCAGTGAGCTGAGATCTTGCCACTGCACTCCAGCCTGGGTAACAGAACAAGACTCTGTCTCAAAAAAAAAAACGTTGGCCGGGCATGGTGGCTCATGCCTATAATCCCAGCACTTTGGGAGACTGAGGCGGGTGGATCATGAGGTCAAGAGATTGAGACCATCCTGGTCAGCATGGAAAAACCCCGTCTCTACTAAAAATACAAAAAAATTAGCTGGGCATGGTGGTGCGCACCTGTAGTCCCAGCTACTCGGGAGGCTGAGGCAGGAGAATTGCTTGAGCCCGGGAGGCGGAGGTTACGATGAGCCGAGATCGTGCCATTGCACTCCAGCCTGGGTAACGAGTGAAACTCCGTCTCAAAAAAAAAAACAACCTTATGACAACCTTTTTTTTTTATAATAAAGATGGGGTTTCACCATGATGGCCAGGCTGGTGTTGAACTCCTGATCTCAGATGATCCACCCACCTCGGCCTCCCAAGGTGCTAGCATTACAGGCATGAGCCACCATGCCCGGCCATGACAAACTTTTAAAATATCCAGTTCCCTGTTCCTTTTTTTTTTTTTAAGTTTTTTTGGGATGGAGTCTTGCTCTGGTCCCAAGTCTGGAGTGCAGTGGCGTGATCTCTGCTCACTGCAACCTCTGCCTCCTGGGTTCAAGCAATTCTCCTGCCTCAGCCTCCTGAGTAGGTGGGATTACAGGTGCACACCACCACACCCTGCTAAATTTTGTATTTTTAGTAAAGTCAGGGTTTCACCACGTTGAGCAGGCAGGTCTTGAACTCCTGACCTCATGATCCGCCTGCCTCGACCTCCCAAAGTGTTGGGATTATAGGTTTGAGCCACTGCACCCAGTCAGTTCCCTGTGTTCTATCCCTGTGCTTTTGATTCTTAGTTCTCAGAAGAGAGTTTGGTATCCAGCTATTACAGTGTTCCCTAAGCATTAGGAGATAGTCTGTGGGTGGATTTGTGAAATGTTATTCTTGAGTTCTTGATTAATGGTTTTTTTCTTCATGGTAGAATGATATATAATCTGTTGGGCATATACCCATTCACGGGATTGCCGGGTCAAATGGTATTTCTGGTTCTAGATCCTTGAGGAATCACCATGTTGTCTTCCACAGTGGTTGAACTAATTGACACTCCCACCAACAGTGTCAGAGCACTCCTATTTCGCCACATGTTCTCCAGCATCTGTCGTTTCCTGTTTTTAATGATCACCATTCTAACTGGCGTAAAAGGATTGGTTTTTATAATCTCTTCTGCCTAAACACGGGGCTTGGATTCGGGAGGCGTCACAGCGTATCTTGGTTCTTTCTTTTATAAACAGGAATGTGTCTTCCTGACCTGAGTATTATCTCCATGATGAAGCAAAGGACAGAGCCCTGGACTGTGGAGAGTGAAATGAAAGTAGCAAAACATCCAGCTAGATGGGAAGGTATGAAAGACATCAGCACAGGTAAGAGCTCAGATGGACAGAGTGGAAGCCATGATTTTTTTTTCTTTTTTTGAGACAGAGTCTCGCTTTGTCACCAGGCGCCAGGCTGGAGTGCAGTGGCGCGATCTTGGCTCACTGCAACCTTCACCTCCCAGGATCGAGCAATTCTCCTGCCTCGGCCTCCCGAGTAGCTGGGACTACAGATGCGCACCACCAAGCCCAGCTAATTATTTTTTTATATTTTAGTAGAGATAGAGTTTCACTATGTTGGCGAGGATGGTCTCGATCTCTTGACCTCATGATCCGCCTGCCTGGGCCTCCCAAAGTGTTGGTATTACAGGCGTGAGCCACCGTGCCCGGCCTTTTTATTTGTTTGTTGAAACAGAGTCTTGCTTTGTCGCCTGGGCCGGAGTGTAGTGATGTGATCTTGGCTCACTACCACCACCACCTCCGAGGTTCAAGCGATTCTCCTGCCTCAGTCTCCCTAGTAGATGGGATTACAGGCACCCACCAGCATGCCTGGCTGATTTTTGTATTTTTAGTAGAGACGGGGTTTCACAGTATTGGCCAGGCTGGTCTTGAACTCTTGACCTCAGGTGATCTGCCTGCCTCAGTCTCCCAAAGTGCTGGGATTACAGGCATGAGCCACCACGCCTGGCTTACAATTGTTTTCTTCTTGGTCGTATTTTTGGTAATACAGTTGTTGAGTCTCATTTAACTTGCAATTTATTTGTATAGACTTGTTTGAGTGTCCTCTTGTATATTTATTTATTTATTTTTCTTCTTTTTTGAGACGGAGTTTCACTATTGTTACCGAGGCTGGAGTGCAATGGCGTGATCTTGGCTCACCGCAACCTCCGCCTCCTGGGTTCAGGCAATTCTCCTGCCTCAGCCTCCCGAGTAGCTGGGACTACAGGCATGTGCCACCATGCCCAGCTAATTTTTGTATTTTTAGTAGAGACGGCGTTTCACCATGTTGACCAGGATGGTCTCGATCTCTTGACCTCGTGATCCACCCACCTCGGCTTCCCAAAGTGCTGGGATTGTAGGCGTGAGCCACCGTGCCCAGCCTCTTGTACATTTCTAATTTTAGTTATTTCAGACACACATGTCATGTTTCTTTCCTCTACTTTAAAGTAAGGGTTTGTCAGTCTTTTTTTTTTTGAGACAGAGTTTCGCTCTTGTTACCCAGCCTGGAGTGCAATGGCGCGATCTCGGCTCACTGCAACCTCCGCCTCCTGGGTTCAGGCAATTCTCCTGCCTCAGCCTCCCGAGTAGCTGGGATTACAGGCACGCGCCACCATGCCCAGCTAATTTTTTGTATTTTCAGTAGAGACGGGGTTTCACCATGTTGACCAGGATGGGTCTCGATCTTTTGACCTTGTGATCCACCCGCCTCAGCCTCCCAAAGTGCTGGGATTACAGATGTGAGCAACCACACCCAGGCATTTGCTTATTTTTCATGTATGCATACATTATTACACTATCCTTTCTAGCACTGTTTTTGTTGCATTTCCTGAGTTCTGCTGTGTTATATATACATTTTCCTTTGTATCAAGATATTTTCTAATTTTTTTTTTATCTTTATTTATTGTATTTTCAAATTTTTTTGAGATGGGGTCTCACTCTGTCACCCAGGCTGGAGTGCAGTGGCACGATCTTGGCTCACTGCAGCCTCCTGAGTAGCTGAGATTACAGGAGCGCAACCACCATGCCCAGCTAATTTTTTTTCTGTATTTTTAGTAGAGATGGGTTTCACCATGATGGTCAGGCTGGTCTTGAACTTTTAACCTTGTGATTTGCCCACCTCAGCCTCTCAAAGTGTTGGGATTACAGGCATGAGCCACTGTGCCCGGCCTTTTTTTTTTTTTTTTTTTTTTTTTGAGGCGGAGTCCCAGACTCGCCCAGGCTGGAATACAGTGGTGTGGTCTCAGCTCACTGCAACCTCTGCCTCCCTGGTTCAAGTGATTCTTCTGCCTCAGTCTCCTGAGTAGCTGGGATTACAGGCACACACCAGCACACCCAACTAATTTTTGTATTTTTAGGTGGAGATGGGATTTCACCATGTTGGCCAAGCTGGTGATCTGCCCTCCTCAGCCTCCCAAAGTGCTGGAATTACACAGCCACTGTGTCCAGCCTATGCAATTGCTCTTAAGTGTCTTATTTCCCCTAAGAGGCTCATCCTACTTTTTCTTAGAAGCTTTCAGTTTCTGTTGTGTGTCTCTGCTCATAATCTCTCTCAGATTCACCCATAATCCCCCTGACTCCTGCAGATTCCCCACTGCTCCAATGCATCACTCCACCTTTTGGGTTTTCTGCACTGCCAGTGTGATACACGAAGTATGCTGATATGTCTTCTAATGCCTGAGTCACATGAGGCAGATTCGTCTGTCAAGGTCTAAACATGCCAGAACCATGGGTTCAAATTAGACTGTTTTCTTGCTTTCCTAGGAAGGAGGTGTGCAGTGAGTAGCAAAACAGGAAACAACCGTGTTACAAATCCACTTGGATTAACCTTTCGGTTACCTCTGCCGGGACTGGAGATATTTGAAGGTGAAGGGAAATTTTACGAATGCAGTCAAGGAGAAAAGTTCATCAGCCACAGTTCTTCAGTTTCGCCACTTCCAAACATTTCTTATGGTGTCAAAACATGCATTTTTAATAAACTCAGGAACGATTTTGTTGATTTTCCATTACTCTCACCAGAACAGAAAGCACGCATTAGGAGCAAACCTGACAAATGTAAAGAGCAGAGCAAAGTCTTCAGAGTGTCTTCAAGCTTTCCTAATCCTCAAGCAGTCCACACTGCAGATAAAGCTAACAGGTGTCATGAATGTGGTAAAGTCTTCAGGAACAAGTCATACCTTGCAGAACATTGGAGAATCCATTCGGGAGAGAAGCCTTACAAGTGTAAAGAATGTGGCAAGCTCTTCAATCGAATCGCCTACCTTGTCCGACATGAGAAGGTCCATACTGGCGAGAATCCTCACAAATGTAATGAATGTGGCAAGGTCTTCAGTCGAATTACGTACCTTGTGCGACATCAGAAAATTCATACTGGAGAGAAGCCTCATAAATGTAATGAATGTGGCAAGGTTTACAGTAGTAGTTCGTACCTAGCACAGCACTGGAGAATTCACACAGGAGAGAAACTTTACAAATGTAATAAATGTGGCAAAGAATTCAGTGTGCATTCAAGCCTCACCACCCATCTGTTAATCCACACTGGAGAGAAACCTTACAAATGTCAAGACTGTGACAAGGCCTTTAGGCACAAGTTTTCCCTAACAGTTCATCAGAGACATCACAACGGAGAGAGACCTTATAAATGTAATGAATGTGGCAAAGTCTTCACTCAGGTTTCACACCTTGCACGACATCAGAAAATTCATACTGGAGAGAAACCTTACAAATGTAATGAGTGTGGCAAAGTCTTCACTCAGAATTCACACCTTGCAAATCATCACAGAATCCATACTGGAGAGAAACCTTACAAATGCCACGTGTGTGGTAAGGTCTTTAGACACAGTTCATGGCTTACACAGCATCAGAGAATTCATTGATGAGCCAGTCCTTACAAACCCTATCATACGTTCTGGCATTAATCAACGTCAGAGTCCATACTAGAAAGAAATTGTTTAAATGTAATCAGTACGGCACAGGCTGTATCGAGACCTACCAAATCACTAGACATCAGAACATACGTCTTTGATGAAACCACACAAATGGATTGTGTGCGCCAAGGCTAACAAGTCAAATGTGTTGAACCTAATGACACGATGTGTGTAAAGAGTGCCAGGACACGTGGAAATGGTCTGTTATATTCAGGTTATTAAAAATGTAATTACTTGGGGTTCGTTTGAAAGGCCAGGTGCGGTGGTTCATACCTGCAATCTCAGCACAGTAGAAAGCCAAGACAGCAGGATCACTTGAGGCCAGGAGATCAAGATCAGCATGGGCAGCACAGCAGGGGCCGTCTCTACGACACGAAAAAGTAAGGCGGGCCCTTGGCACTTGTCTAGTTCCAGCTACTCCAGAGGCCAAGGCAAGAGGACTGTTGGAGCCCAGGAGTTTGAGAGGTTGAATAATGAGCTGTGATCTTACCACTGTGCTTCAGCCTGGATGACAGAGTGAGACCCTGTCACAAAAGAAAAAGGCTGCTTTTTATGACTTTCACCCTGAACTTTGAATCTCTTTATGTGCCTTCCCTACAGGCCTTTCACTGTGGTCTCTGGGAAAGAATCGGTAAGATGACAGGGCTGACTTAATTACCTGAGGAGCATTTCTATCCAATTTCCTGGAAGAATAAGGACACTGCCTTTTTTTTTTTTTTTTTGAGACGGAGTTTCGCTTTTGTTACCCGGGCTGGAGTGCAATGGCACGACCTCGGCTCACCACAACCTCCGCCTCCTGGGTTCAGGCAATTCTCCTGCCTCAGCCTCCTGAGTAGCTGGGATTACAGGCACGTACCACCATGTCCAGCTAATTTTTTGTATTTTTAGTAGAGACGGGGTTTCACCAAATTGACCAGGATGGTCTTGATCTCTTGACCTCGTGATCCACCCGCCTCGGCCTCCCAAAGTGCTGGGATTACAGGCTTGAGCCACCGCGCCCGGCCGCAGGACACTGCCTTTTAAGATTAATTTTTTTTTTTTTTTTGGGATGGAGTTTCGCTCTTGTTACCCAGGCTGGAGTGCAATGGCTCCATCTCGGCTCACCGCAACCTCCGCCTCCTGGGTTCAGGCAATTCTCCTGCCTCAGCCTCCTGAGTAGCTGGGATTACAGGCACGCGCCACCACGCCCAGCTAATTTTTTGTGTTTTTAGTAGAGACGCGGTTTCACCATGTTGACCAGGATGGTCTCGATCTTTTGACCTCGTGATCCACCCGCCTCGGCCTCCCAAAGTGCTGGGATTACAGGCGTGAGCCACCGCGCCCGGCCTCTGATTAAATATTGTCTGCTTTAGAGACCATGGAGGTGGATAGAGAGTAACAAAGCCGTGAAGGCAGTCCTCGTGTTTCTTGCAGTTAGCACACTATTTTCCTGACAGGCACAGTGCTGTGCTCTACAACAGATAGGAAACAAGAGCACACCATGACTTTAGGACACTGGGATTTTTATTTGAAGAGAGGTCATTAGGGGCTGATTATGTAGTAGAGATGATGTGGGGGAAATGGTGGCCACCTTCTCCATTGAATAGCAATAGCTGTTAGCAAAGACTGATTAAAAAGTAATTTTTGAAATGGAAGGAAGAACAGTTATATCAGAGTAGAGAGTTTAATCAAAACTACCAATGTGGCTGGGCGCGGTGGCTCACACCTGTAATCCCAGCACTTTGGGAGGCTGAGGTGGGTGGATTGCCTGAGGTCAGGAGTTCAAGAGCAGCCTGGCCAACATAGTGAAACCCCATGTTTACTAAAAATGCAAAAAATTAGCTGGACCTGGTGGTGGATATCTGTAATTCCAGCTACATGGGAGGCTGAGGCAGGAGAATCACTTGAACCCAAGAGGTGGAGGTTGCAGTGAACCAAATCACACCATTGCACTCCTGCCTGGGCAACAAGAGGGAAACTCTGCCCGCCCTCCCCCCACCTGCCCAAAAAAATAACAATGTAACATGTTCTTGAGTAGGATTTACATTTAACTGCTGGCATAATTTGCAACTGTTTGATTTAGTGTCCATAGTTCTTAGCTTTGGAACAATAAAGTTTAAATTTTCCAAAGTGTGAATGATTCATTCTTTCTACCAATATTGTGTTTTATCCCATCTCAGGAGGATACTTTATAGCAGACAATAATAAGGCACCACTAGGACTTTTTTCTTTTTTTTGAAATGAAGTCTTGCTCTGTTGCCCAGGCTGGAGTGCAGTGGCATGATCTTGGCTCACTGCAACCTCCGCCTCCTGGGTTCAAGTGATTCTCCTGCCTTTTTCTCCTGAGTAGCTGGGATTGCAGGCATGTACCACCAGCACCATGCCCAGCTAATTTTTTGTATTTTTAATAAGAGATGGGGTTTTCCCATGTTGGCCAGTCTGATCTCGAACTCCTGACCTCAGGTAATCCACCCACCTTGACCTCCCAAAGTGTTGGGATTACCAGCGTGAGCCACTGTGCCTGACCAGGATTTTTAAGGTTGAAGCATCCACAATTTTATGTGTTAAATGAAATGACATACACTTTTGGATATATACACTTAGGTAAGTATGATTTTGGGTAATAATATTTAGTACTTCAATTATTCTCTCTACTCTTTTTTTGAGATGGACTTTTGCTCTTGTTGCCCAGGGTGGAGTGCAGTGGGTGCGATCTCTGCTCACTGCAATCTCCCCTTCCTGGGTTCAAGTCATTCTTCTGCCTCAGCCTCCCAAGTAGTTGGGATTACAGGCATACGCCACTATGCCCAGCTAATTTTTTAAGGTTTTTAGTAGAGACAGGGTTTCTCCATGTTGCTCAGGCTGGTCTCGAACTCCCGACCTCAGTGATCTGCCTGCCTCAGCCTCCCAAAGTGCTGGGATTACAGGCGTGAGCCACCGCACCTCAATGACCTCTCTATTCTGCCCTGAGATGCTTACATGGGTAAAGGGAAAACCACGTAACAGTGCAGCTTCATCGTATTCCCTCAAATGTTCATCACTGTTGAACATGAGCTGTATTACGTTACTATGTGCCTTTTTCTTGTGTGCCAAATAAGACCCCAGGCACCTTCGTTTTCAGGAATCAGAAATACAAAGTGTGGACTTCAGGGTGAAAATATTTTAACAATCATAGTATTGACCTTGTAGTACTCAGTGACATAATTTGAAAATGGTGTTCAGAAATGTTAACTCTTAAGGATGAACACACGGTGGGAATTTTGATTTGGTAGATTAACTAGAAATGTCCTGTTTTCACCCTCATAACCTTTTTGGTCATTTGAACTTTTGATCACTTCTGGAACTGCTTTGACATCCACGTGGGTTTGGTTCGGATACTGAGAATGATGACGCCATGCACTGACGTGGTCTGAAAACATTACTAGTATTGAGGCTTTCTGGGGACAGCAGGTAGACTTCTCCAGCTGGTCCAAAAATGACTAGGAAATTGACGTAGGTGACTGGCTTGGTGTATTATGATTGTTAAGGGGTAGGACTGGGGTGTGTGTGCCCGCTTGTGGTTTGACCTTCCAGCTGGTACCAGCTTTATCTGTTGACCAGATGGGCAGAATAGGAAGAGAGTGCAGAGGTGTAAAAGGTGAGTGTTCAGACATCACAAAATGCAGTCAACTGTAGTGCAGCCCTGAATGCGTCCTCTGGGAACTCCTGCCAGCGTGCTGAGGAAAGACCCCAGTTTTCTTCATGATAATATCTTCCATTCTTCTTATACCTCAAATACAGGTCTCATAATACAATGTGATTGTTGCAAACACCTGTGAAATATTGTTTAGTAAAATTGTCTTAAGATACTTTTTACAGGAGACAATGAAAATTATTCTGTGGAACTGTTTATAATAAATATGTCTTATTTATAGGATTTATTAAAAGGTATTATAAATATGGTATTACTAGAAAGAGCATTTTTTTGAAAGCTATGGAAATGTCATTCCCATTGTAGCATTATGTATTCCAAGTTTCATTTTCTACTCTGATAAAATTATATTTTGTGTGTTATATATGTAGACACATATTTTTTTTTTTTTTGCTTTTTTTTCCGTATGTTGCATCCAGATGCTATGCTTGTGGGGTTTTTTTTGTTTGGGTTTTTTTTTTTTTTTGAGACAGAGTCTCGCTCTGTCACCTATGCTGGAGTGCAGTTACACAGTCTTGGCCCACTGCAGCTTCTGCCTCAGCTTCCCGAATAGCTGGGGTTATAGATGTGTGCCGTCACACCCGGCTAATTTTTGTATTTTTAATAGAGACGGTTTTGCCATGTTGACCAGACTGGTCTTGAATTCCTGACCTCAGATGATCCGCCTGCCTCAGCCTCCCAAAGTGCTGGGATTACAGGCTTGAGCCACCACACCCAGCCTAAATATACTTCAAAGTTTTTTTTTTTTTTTTAAGACTGGGTTTCACCATGTTGGTCAGGCTGGTCTTGAACTCCTGACCTCAGGTGATCCGCCCGCCTTGGCCTCCAAAGTGCTTGGATTACAGACGTGAGCCACCACGCCTGGCCTGCGTCTAAGTTTTTGTTCCATTTATCAGGTACACAGACTCTAACGATGGAAATTGAGAAACACACTTTTTTTTTTTTTTTGAGACGGAGTTTTGCTCTTGTCACCCAGGCTGGAGTGCAATGGCGCCATCTCAGCTCACCACAACCTCTGCCTTCTGGGTTCAGGCAATTCTCCTGTCTCAGCCTCCTGAGTAGCTGGAATTACAGGCACACGCCACCATATCCAGCTTTTTTTGTATTTTTAGTAGAGAGGGGGTTTCACTATGTTGACCAGGATGGTCTTGATCTCTTGACCTCGTGATCCACCCGCCTCGGCCTCCCAAAGTGCTGGGATTACAGGCCTGAGCCATGGCGCCCGGCAGGAGAAACACACTTTTTGAGAGGTCTCATTATGTTGCTCAGGCTGGTCTCGAACTCCTGGACTCAGCATTTCTGCCTCATAGTCCTATGTAGCTGGGATCACAGGCCTGCACCACTGTGCCCAGTTAGTGTTGTCTCTTGTATGTGACAGGAACAGACACCAGACAACCAAAATGAATACTTAGGGCCCCTCAATACCATTCAAAGACATGTATGGGCCAAGTTTATGCTGACATTATTATCAGTTTAAACTTTCTCATGTTCCATTCGACAGTTATAAAGTGTGTTTATCGTGTGTTGAATTTTTCATGTTAGAATATGTGGTGACAATGTTGAAACCGACTCCACTTCTAAATTCCTAGAAAATAGCAAAGGGGGGCTGGGCGCGGTGGCTCACGCCTATAATCCCAGCACTTTGGGAGGCTGAGGCGGGTGGATCAGGAGGTCAAGAGATAGAAACCATCCTGGTCTACGAGGTGAAACCCCGTCTCTACTAAAAATACAAAAATTAGCTGGGCCTGGTGGTGCCTGTAGTCCCAGCTACTTGGGAGCCTGAGGCAGGAGAATTGCTTGAACACAGGAGGCGGAGGTTGCAGTGAGCCGAGATTGTGCCATGGCACTCTAGTCTGGGTAACAGCAAAACTCTGTCTCAAGAAGAAAAGAAAATAGCAAAGGGTGGCCAGTTGCCATGGCCCACGCCTGTGATCCCAGCATTTTGAGATGCTGAAGAGGGAGGCTCGATTGAGCCCAGGAGTTGAAGACCACCCTGAGCAACAGAGGAAAGCCCCATCTCTACAGTTTTTTTTTAAATTACCAGAGCATGCTGGCACACACCTGTGGTCCTAGCTACTGTGGAGGCTTAGGAGGATCACCTGTGCCCAGGGAAGTCAAGACTGCAATAAGCCCTGCACTCCAGTCTAGGTGACAGAGCAAGACCCTGTCTCAAAAAATTATTATTAAGCTCAGCGCAGTGGCTCACGCCTGTAACCCCAGCACTTTGGGAGGCTGTGGCAGGTGGATCATGAGGTTTTAAGATATCGAGACCATCCTGGTCAACAAGGTGAAACCCCGTCTCTACTAAAAATACAAAAATTAGCTGGGCATGGTGGTGCGCGCCTGTAGTCCCAGCTACTCGGGAGGCTGAGGCAGGAGAATGGCTTGAACCCAGAAGGCGGAGGTTGCAGTGAGCCGAGATCCCACCATTGCACTGCAGCCTGGGTAACAACAGCGAAACTCCGTTTCAAAAAAGAAAAAAATAATAAAATAAAATAAAAATGAAAATTATTTGTGCCTGTGATCCCAGTTACTCAGGAGGCTAAGGTGGAGGATCTCTTGAGCCTGGTCCAGCCTGCAACGAACCCCGATTGCATTATAGCACTCCAGCCTGGGCAACAGAGCAAGACTCTGATTAAGAAAAAAAAAGCCGGGTGCAGTGGCTCACACCTGTAATCCCAGCACTTTGGGAGACCGCAGTGGGCAGATCACTTGAGGTCAGGAGTTTGAGATCAGCCTGGCCAACATGGTGAAACCCCTTCCCTACTAAAAATACAAAAAAATTAGCTGGGCGTGGTGACATCACCTGTAACCTCAGGCCAAATTCCCCTCCTTTGACTCATCAAGGATTACTGAATTCTTTGTCCCCACTGCCAGGTGCTCATGCACTGCCCCATACCTGGACCTTTCTAACCTTGCTCCTTGCTCCCTGCTCCACATAAAACCTTTTTTCTCTGTGGCTCTTGGGCGTGTGCAGACCTTGTGGTTGGAGCATCCTGTATTGTAATAATCCTTTTGAATACCATCTCTCCCAACCTAAGTATGAATTTGTGCTTTGACAGATGTAAGTATTTTCATTATGCCATCTGTGTTGGAATCTGTTCATTCTTTTTGTGTGTGTGTTTGGCGTAGGCTGTAAACTATACTCGACAGTTGAAAATAGTTCCTAGTTTAGTAAAATACTTTGAATCCTCAATGACTTGCATCTGTGTTATAATGATATTATAGGTAAGCATACGTAAAAATCTTTGACAAAATACCCATTTTTATTTAATAGAGTAAAACTATATCCATGTTGGTCCCTTGAAAATTTTATGCTAATTTTATATCCCAAAAGGATCATATTTGGGGTTTGTTTGTTTATTTATTTATTTTAAGACTGATAGACGGAGTTTCGCTCTGTCACTCAGGCTGGAGTGCAGTGGCTTGATCTCGGCTCACTGCAGCCTCCACTTCCCGGTTCCAGTGATTCTCCTGCCTTAGTCTCCCAAGTATCTGGTACTACAGATGTGCACAACCACGCCCAGCTAATTTTTGCATTTAGTAAATTTAGTAGAGTTTAGTAGAGGCGGGGTTTCACCATGTTGGCCAGGCTGGTCTCAAACTCCTGACCTCAAGTGATCCACCAACTCAGCCTCCCAAAGTGCTGGGATTACAGGTGTGAGCCACCACGTCCGGCCAGTTATTGCTATTTTTAAAAGCAACAACTGGTGACTTCACTTCTCACTGGCCTTAGCCCTCTACGCCCCGGGGGGCTGTCCCTAGGAAACTCTGAAGCTGAGCACAGGGTCACTCTGTTCCTCCCGAAAGGTCGGGAACGGAAAAGGAGAGGATTTCTATTCTGCTTTGTGGGCCGTCAGCATGAAATCGCATACTACACTCTGGCAGGGTTTGGCAGTTCGCATATTAACTTACATCGCTTTCACAGACAATCCCAGGGCTTTTTAATTGCTAAAATTAGTTTTTATGTATTCGTTTATTTCAGAGACAGGGTCTCCGTCGCCCGAGCCGGAGTGCAGTGGCCGTCATAGCTCCGTGTAAACTCGAACTCCTGGGTTCAAGCGACTCAGCCTTCGGGATAGCTGGGACTATGGCCGGCTCAAGATTAATTTTAATAGGAATTTTCCCGTATCTATTCATCAGCCGACTTTGCTTTGCCGGGGCGAGAGTACAGTTCGGAGACAGGTGAGCTGCTCCAGCCTCGCTAACAGATCTCACCTGCAAAACCCGGAAAACAGAGGCGCTGGGAGCGAGGCGTAGGGACGTGCAGGCCCCGCCCCTGCCCCGCCTCTTCCCGGCCACGCCCTGCTCCGACCCCCGTCGCTGCGCGCGCAGTTTCCCACAAACCCGGAAGCGGATCGCGTGGAGTGAAGGTCACGCTGTGGCGCGTGAGTTTCCCTTTGTCTAAATTAAATCTGTGCTTCCCAGCTCCCCCGCGCTTCTGTACCCGGAATCTGAGGGGCCACACGGACCTTGAAATCCCCGCACCGCTCCCTCTACCCGGACCAAATTAAGGAGTCTCTGTGAGAGTCCGGCGGTCGCTTCCCTGTGTGTTTAACTGTGTCGGCGGCGGGTCCTGTCCCCAGTCTTTCTGCCACAGGGCGGTGTAGTCACCTCCTATCGCGGAGTTTTCCTGCTTCACGTCCTTCAGTGATGCCTACACCGGCTCTACACCGCGTAAAGTCCTCCCTCACGAGGTGGATTCCGGTCTATCCGGTCCCCCTAGCCTCGCCCTTGTCGGCCCCGGAGCGCAGCGCTCCAATCTCAATCCAGGAGAAGCCGCGACCTCTGCCGGGTTGTGGGATTCTGCAGACCTCACCCCACTGTTGATCCAGACCGTACCCTTACCCTCCTTGATCCGGGGCCCCGTAGCTCCCCAGGCCTCCTCTTCCCAGCCACCGCTTCTCCGGACGCTGGGTGTGGGGAGGTGACTTATTTTGTCTCCTGACATCCAGTGTTCCTGCGTCCCAAATAACACTCCACTGAAAAGGCATTCTTCTTGTGGGCATCGGGTCCCAATCCCTTCCATGTGAGTGGGTGCAGAAAGAGAGATGGAGAGCGAGGGAGAAGAAAGGGAAATCTTTTGAAAGAGAAAAGAAGATTGAGGGAGAGCTATAAGTACACAGCAACGTAGAAAGTGGATAAGGGATTTGCACAGACAGAGAATGAGGCCGAGAATGTAGCAGGAGGAGAAAAGCAGCTAGAGAAATGCAGAGATAAGTTCCATCTCTGGAGACATGAAGGACAGCAAGATAGTGAGAGGGGCAGCAAAGTGGGAGGTTCCTCAGATTGAGAGTGGGGGAGAGGAGGAGGAATTTGGAGCCAGGGCAGACAGAGCAGCCTGGTGTTGGGACAGCAAGAGGGGTCAGCTGGTGACAAGGAGAGCAGAGGGAGAACCACAGCAGAGTGAGGCCTGGGATCTCGGGGTGCGAGAGAGTGGGGAAAAGGGGGTGTATCAGGGAAGAAGGGATTTAACAGGGGGAGCAGAAGGGGACCAGAGACAGGGAAAGAGGCAGAACCGGGCGTGGTGGCTCACACCTGTAATCTCAGCACTTTGGGAGGCCGAGGCGGGTGGATCACCTGAGGTCAGGAGTTCGAGACCAGCCTGGTCAACATAGAGAAACCCCGTCTCTACTAAAAATACAAAAAGTAGGCCGGTTGCGGTGGCTCAAGCCTGTAATCCCAGCACTTTGGGAGGTTGAGGCGGGTGGATCACGAGGTCAAGAGATCGAGACCATCCTGGTCAACACGGTGAAACCCCGTCTCTACTAAAAATACAAAAAATTAGCTGGGCATGGTGGCGCGTGCCTGTAATCCCAGCTACTCAGGAGGCTTAGGCAGGAGAATTGCCTGAACCCAGGAGGCGGAGGTTGCGGTGAGCCGAGATCATGCCATTGCACTCCAGCCTGGGTAACACGAGCGAAACTCCATCTCAAAAAAAAAAAAAAAAAAGTAGCCGGGCGTGGTTGTGGGAGGCGGAGGTTGCCATGAGCCAGTCACACCATTGCACTCCAGCCTGGGCAACAAGAGCAAAAATCCATCTCAAAAAAAAAAAAAGGCAGAAATAGGTGGAGATTGGGACGATCAAAGATTGGGCAGAGAGTTAGGAAAAGGGGTGAAACAAGTCGCCAGAATGGAGCAGGTGGAAGAGAAGTAATAGAAGGAAGAAGGGGAGAAACATCAGGAGAAGACAGCAGCTCAAGATGAGCAGAATCCTAGGGGGAAAAGAAAGGGGAAAAAGCTGGAAAAAGAGGGTGAGAATGGCCCGGCGCCGTGGCTCATGCCTATAATCCCAGCACTTTGGGAGGCCGAGGTGGGCGGATCATGAGGTCAAGAAATTGAGACCATCCTGGCCATGGTGAAACCCCGTCTCTGCTAAAAATACAAAAATTAGCTGGGCATGGTGGCACGCACCTGTGGTCCCAGCTACTCGGGAGGCTGAGGCTGCAGTGAGCCGAGATTGCGCCACTGCACTCCAGCCTGGCAACAAAGTAAGACTCCGTCTCAAAAAAAAAAAAAAAAAAAAAAAGGGTGAAAATGAGAGACACGTACAGAAGGAGGGAGGGAAACACACAGTACTGAGGAAAGAGGGGACCCTGGGTGCAGGTGGTGAATTGATTGGATATTATGATTAAGTTGTGACGTTGATTTCTCTATAATGAAATTTGCTTTAAAAATACAGATGAAGGCTGGGCACGGTGGCTCACACCTGTAATCCCAGCACTTTGGGAGACTGAGGCGGGTGGATCACGAGGTCAAGAGATCGAGACCATCCTGGTCAACATAGTGAAATCCCGTCTCTACTAAAAATACAAAAAATTAGCTGGGCATGGTGCCATGTGCCTGTAATCCCAGCTACTCAGGAGGCTGAGGCAGGAGAATTGCCTGAACCCAGGAGGCGGAGGTTGCAGTCAGCCGAGATGGAGCCATTGCACTCCAGCCTGGTTAAACAAAAGCAAAACTCCATCTCAAAAAAAAAAAATAGAGATGAAGATGAGATGTACAAAACTCCTGTCTGTAAGGCTGGTGTATTTTGTAATTCTTGGCATGAGAGTTTAGCGTCCACTCGCATTCCCTGTTCAGGCACAGGTCAGTGACTTGAGTCATTCATTGTGGGTCACCCACCTTCCTTTCCTGGGATGGCGAGTTTATGAGATAGCAGGCAAACCAAATCCTACTCTTGAATCAACGCAGTAGTGAACACTCGACACGGAATGCCTCCTATCTGATAAACAGAATGTGTGGGGGTTACTTCCCACCAACAAAGCGCTTCATCAGACACCACCTGGGTGTTCTGTAATTTCACTCAAGTTGACTCTGTCTACGTGGAGTTAGCCTCAGATCCCACAGGTTGGGGGCTCAGTTCCACGAGGCTGCCCCCGCTTCACATGCCGGCTGTAAGTTCCCGGTTGGGAGCTGAACTTCAACCGAACATCGAAGAATTGAAGATTCCCTTGACCCTTTCCTCAGACTTTATTAATTTGCTAGCTTGGTTTACAGAACTCAAGGAAACGTTTTGCTTAGTTTTACCCATTTGCTATGAACCCGGGATCCACAGAGAAGGGAGGGAGCTGTGCTCTGCATGGGGTTTGGTCAGGGCTGGGTCTGTGTCCTGAATGGGGCAGCTCAGTCCAGCCCAGCTCCCCACTGCTGCAGCGTGTGTGTGGGCTTCCAGGAGGGGAGCAAGGCCGGAAGAAAAGGGGCCAGAAACTGACTTGCTCTTCCTAGATGAGTTTCTTGTCCCTGCATCAACTCTGGTGCACTGGGCAGCGGAGGACACCTTTCTACAGGGTGCAGTCTGACCTGTGTGTGTGGTTGTGGCACAGGAAGGGGACTCTGGTGCAATGGGCAGTGGAGGACACCTTTCCACAGGGTGAGGTCTGACCTGTGTGTGTGGTTGTGGCACAGGAAGGGGACTCTGGTGCAGTGGGCAGCGGAGGACGTCTTTCCACAGGGTGAGGTCTGACCTGTGTGTGTGGTTGTGGCACAGGAAGGGGACTCTGGTGCCGTGGGCAGCGGAGGACACCTTTCCACAGGGTGAGGTCTGACCTGTGTGTGTGGTTGTGGCACAGGAAGGGGACTCTGGTGCAGTGGGCAGCGGAGGACGTCTTTCCACAGGGTGAGGTCTGACCTGTGTGTGTGGTTGTGGCACAGGAAGGGGACTCTGGTGCCGTGGGCAGCGGAGGACACCTTTCCACAGGGTGAGGTCTGACCTGTGTGTGTGGTTGTGGCACAGGAAGGGGACTCTGGTGCCGTGGGCAGCGGAGGACGTCTTTCCACAGGGTGAGGTCTGACCTGTGTGTGTGATTGTGGCACAGGAAGGGGGATGTGTTGATTCTGAGCAGTAATCAGCATATTTTAAACATTTAGGACTGACTGCTGAAGTGTCATGCTGTGTGATAAAAAAGCCCAGAAGAGAAGGAAGAGGAAAGCAAAGGAGGCAGGGATGGCTCTTCCTCAGGTAAGGTGATATTCTCAGTAGATCGGTTCATCTCCTTCCTTTCTGAAGTGCCGGGCATTGGATTTGTGAGTTTTTTTCTCAGTCTGAAGCGTCCTGCCTGACAGGTTTGCTGGCACTCACCCATGCCTTCCCTCAGTCCCTCTCATGTCAACTAGATTCCATCTCTAGTGACCCAGTGACATGAGCTTGGGAAGAGGTTGCGCTGGGCATGGTCCTGGGAAGGGCTCATGGGGTGTGGGCCCCGTGGTGTCAGGGCTGCTGGGCAGCAGGGATTGTTCAGGGGCCACATCGGGATGCACCGTCAGCTCTCTGTAGACCAGAAGCTGCATGTGGAAGTCATGTTTTGTGCACAAGCGCCTAGTAGATTCTAGGAAAGGAGTTCAGGAAGGAGAAACCTTTTCTGCCTGATTATTTTCTTTGGTGGTGGGGGACCAAGTCTCGCTCTGTCACCCAGGCGGGAATGCAATGGCGTGATAGCTCGCTATAACCTCTGACTCCCGGGTTCAAGCGATTCTTGTGCCTCACTCACCCAAGTAGCTGGGATTACAGGCACCCGCCACCACACATGGCTATTTATTGTATTTTTAGTAGAGACGGAAGTTTCACCATGTTGGCCAGAATGGTCTTGAACTCCTGACCTCAGGTGATCCACCTGCCTCGGCCTCCCAAAGTTCAGAGATTACAGTGTGAGTCACCGTGTCCAGGCTTCCTGCCTGATTTTTACTACCTTTGAAGTTAAATGCCTTTCCCAGTTTGTATGTCTAGCTTGGTTTAGGAGGATGTTTTCGCAGCATCCTCAGCACGTGCCTCTCACGGAGACTGGTTTTTCTTCAGGGAGTCTCCTGCAGCAGCTGTGTTGGGCAAAAAATATAATTTTGCTCAGAGATTGGAGCAGATTTTAGAGAGGAGGAAATCATATTCTTGTCCACCAATTATTATTACCATTTTTTAACGTCAAATTATGTATAAATTTGTCTTACAGGAAAACTCCAAATGTACAGGTCAGGCCATCAGATACAAAGCATGTCCTATCGTAAATGTCTAAATGACATGTATGTAGTTATGGAGGGCAGACTTCCACTCTCCCCCAGTCTCACTGGGGACCCACTGCTGTCAGCTCTGTCAAGTGAGAGCAAGGGCCTGGCGAGATGGCTCACACCTGTAATCCCAGCACTTTGGGAGGCCGAGGTGGGCGGAGATTGGGAGTTTGAGACCAGCCTGACCAACATGGAGAAACCCCGTCTCTACTAAAAATTCAAAATCAGCCGGCCGTGATGGTGGGCGTCTGTAATCCCAGCTGCTTGGGAGGCTGAGACAGGAGAATCGGTTGAGTCTGGGAGGCAGCAGTTGAGGTGAGCTGAGATCTCACCATTGCACTCCAACCTGGGCAACAATAGCAAAACTCCATCTCAAAACAAAAAAGAGTGAGAGCAAGTCCTGTAGAGATACATTTATACAGCGTTATGGTATTTTAAGTAAAATTCTCTGATTGTTTTGTGATACTTTGTTCTGTACGTGGTGAAAATTTGCTCCTTTACATGCTCATGTGAAGGTTCTCTGAATTAAAAATCGGTCACCTCTCTGTTTTTAGTGTCTGGCCTGGTTTAGGGAGGACATACTTCTCCGCCCAGCTGGAGACTCGGGAGGTCCCGAGCCTTGTCTGGGACGGGTCCTCCCAGGGCTTTGCTTGTCACTTCCTCACTGAAGTGGGTGGCCAGGTTCTACTCGGGAGCTCCCCTTTCTGCACCTGTTGTGCTGCCTGCGTGGGGCCGTAGGAAAGGTGTCTGCCCGCGTTACTGTGCCCTCTGGTTTATGCTGGTGTCTTTGTTTTCAGTGGCCTCCTGACCTGGGGCCCTGTTACTTCTATGCTTATGTTCAGTCAAGGCAGAAACTTGTCCCTCAGGCAGTCCCCCAGAAAGTCAGGAGGTTGGGTAGACCTCCCCATTGTTTTCCTCTCTCAGGAGAAATGGGGAGTTTGTGGTATCCTCTGGATGATGGCATGTCACGCCAGGCAGAGCTCTGGCGATCGGGTGTCACCCATTTTCCTCCTGGTCTCCCAGCAGGTTCACTTGGTACTGGTACATCTCTGGGTGCAGCCTCCTGAGTGGCCTCTGGATTTTTCACAAAGGCAGTTGGCCCATGTATTCTTGTTTAATTTGTGTCTACAGGGATTCAGAGTGGTCTGGGGCTTTCTGTTCTTCGGTCTTGCTGACATTACTCTTTTGGTAGAGTTGCAGATTTCTTACACAGGTCTGGAAGGTCTTTTAGTTAGAGGCCATGTATATTTCTTTTTTTTCCTCTCTTTTTCTTTTTTTGCTACAAAGATGTACCCAAAGGCCATGTATATTTCCTAAGGGAGATATAGGATGTTTCTTTACTCTATGTGTCTTTTTATAAATAGTGTTGCTGAAGACGGAAACTCATTTCAATATATTTTTTCTTTTTTAAAATTTCTTTTTTTTCTTTCTGTCTTCCTTCTCTTCCTTCCTTCCTTCCCTTCCTCCCTTCTTCCCCTCCTTCCTTCCTTCCTTCTTTTTTTTTTCTTAGAGTCTTGCTCTGTTGTCCAGGCTGGAGTGTAGTGGCGCGATCTTGGCTCACTGCAACCTCCGCCTCCCAGGTTCAAGCAATTCCCTGCCTCCGCCTCTGTAGTGCTGAGGTTACAGGCACCTGTCACCACACCCAGCTAATTTTTTTGTATTTTTAGTAGAGATGGGGTTTCGCCCTCTGGGCTAGGTTGGTCTTGAACATCTGACTTCGTGATCCACCCGCTCGGCCTCCCAAAGTGCTGGGATTACAGGCATGAGCCACCACACCCAGCCTTCTTTCTTTTTGAGATTGAGTCTTGTTCTGTCACCCAGGCTGGAATGCAGTGGCGTGATCTCAGCTCACTGCAACCTCTGACTCCTGGGCTCAAGCTATTGTCATGCCTCAGCCTCACGAATAGCTGAGATCACAGACGCCTGCCGCCACACCCAGCTAATTTTTTTGTATTTTTAGTAGAGATGGGGTTTCGCCATGTTGGTCAGGCTGGTCACGAACTCCTGACCTCAAGTGATCCTCCTACCTTGGCCTCCCAAAATGCTGGGATTACAAGTGGGAGCCACTGTGCTAGGCCAATATATTCTTGTAAGTTAATATGCTAAAATGATATTCTTTGTCTTGGTTCAATCATGTTGTTAATTTTTTTTTTAATCCAGCTCTTTCCTACCCCAACACTCACTAATTTTTTTTTTTTGAGACGGGGTTTCGCTCTTGTTACCCAGGCTGGAGTGCAATGGCAGGATCTCGGCTCACCGCAACCTCCGCCTCATGGGTTCAGGCAATTCTCCTGCCTCAGCCTCCCGAGTAGCTGGGACTACAGGTGCGCACCACCATGCCCAGCTAATTTTTCTATTTTTAGTAGAGACGGGGTTTCACCATGTTGACCAGGATGGTCTTGATCTCTTGACCTTGTGATCCACCCGCCTCGGCCTCCCAAAGTGCTGGGATTACAGGGGTGAGCACCGCGCCCGGCCTAATTTTTTTTTTAACCTCTGCTTCTGGTCCCTGCTCACACGTCCTGTGCAGTGGTGATGGGCTGGAGAAAAGACCCACCCCCTTTTCCCGGCCTGAAAGTAGAGGGAATGTCTGCCATGTTTACTGCTGATTATGTTGTTTCTTGAGCTGCTTTTGCTTGATAAAACTATGGTCGTTTCTGTTCTCCAGTTTTATTTTTGGTCTTATTTTTAATTGTATAGTAATTTCTTAGGATATATACTGCTGTGATATTTTCTTTGACTTAATTTGGTAAATTATAACATATCATTAATACATTTTCTATAATGTATTAATGTTTTATTAATGGAATATATTGATAAAACCCACCAGGCACAGTGGCTCACGCTGTAATCCTAGCACTTTGGGAGGCCGAGGTGGGTGGAGCATCTGAGATCCGGAGTTCAAGACCAGCCTGGCCATCGTGGTGAAACCCCAACTTTAAAAATAAAAAGAAGAAAAAAATAAACCCCATTGGGCTTTTGTAAATACACAAATACCTAAATTTTATGGACACAATTATTATGTAAGTCAGGGGTCAATCACATGTGTATAGAATCCCAGCTTCTTGGGATGCTGAGGTAGGAGGATTCCCTTGAATGCAGGAGTTTGAGACTATCCTAGGCAACATGCTGACACTCATTCTCAATTTTTAAATATATGTATATCATGTTTTTTATATAATTAGAGATGGGACCTCCCTACCTTGCCCAGGCTGGTCTCAAACCGCTGGCCTCAAGTAGTCCTCCCACCTTGGCCTCCCAAAGTGCTGGGACTACAGGTGTGAGCCACCAAGCCCAGCCTACATTTGTATTTTTGAATCTGGGTATTTAATAAAGATTGGAATTGAACCTGCTGTATTTTTTCATGGTCTACCTTTTTTTATTTTTGAGACGGAGTTTCACTGTTGTTACCCAGACTGGAGTGCAATGGCACGATCTTGGCTCACCGCAACCTCCGCCTTCTGGGTTCAAGCAATTCTCCTGCCTCAGCCTCCCGAGTAGCTGGGACAACAGGCATGCACTACCATGCCCAGCTAATTTTTGTGTTTTTAGTAGAGATGGGGTTTCACCTTGTTGACCAGGATGGTCTCGATCTCTTGACCTCGTGATCCACCTGCCTCTGCCTGCCAAAGTGCTGGGATTACAGGCTTGAGCCACCACACCCGGCCGTTTGGTTTCTTACTTGTATTTCTTTCTTTTTCTTTTCTTTGAGAAGGCGTCTTCCTCTGCCAGGCTGGAGTGCAGTGGCATGATCTCAGCTCATTATAACCTCCGCCCTCTGCGTTCAAGTGATTCTCCTGCTTCAGCCTCCGGAGTAGCTGAGACTACAGGCATGAGCCACCACACCCGGTCTCTTATTTTTGTTTCTTAAATGCCCACAAAATGAGTATCTATATTGATTTTTAAAATATAACTTCTTATGGAAAAGTATAATAAACCACAATTAATAGGCCAGGGGTGGTAACTCACATCTGTAATCCCAGTACTTAAGGAGACCAAGATGTGTGGACCAGTTGAGATCAGGAGTTCGAGACCAGCCTGGCCAACGTGGTGAAATTCTGTCTGTACTAAAAATACAAAAATCAGCCGGGTGTGATGATCCACACCTATAATCCCAACTACCTGGGAGGCTGAGGCACGAGAATTGATTGAACCCAGGAGGTGGAGGTTGGAGTGAGCCAAGATGGCACCACTGCACTCCAGCCTAGGCGACAGAGCAAGACTCTGTCTCAAGAAAAGAAAAAAACGCCAGGCGTGGTGGCTCACGCCTGTAATCCCAGCACTATGGGAGACTGAGGTGGGTGGATCATGAGGTCAAGGGATCAAGACCATCCCGGCCAACATGGTGAAACCTTGTCTTAAAAAAAAAAAAGAAAGAAAATAAAAAAACACATTATAGACACAACTACATCACAAATACCTTCATGTGGATTTGTCAGGAGATTCACTTCAATCGAGTTAATCCTTCCAACTCTCTTCTCATTTTGAGTGAAGACAAATACCCTTTCCATATCCTGTTGGTAAAATGTGTTTCATTTTAGGGACACTTGACATTCACGGATGTGGCCATAGAATTCTCTCAGGAGGAGTGGAAATGCCTGGAGCCTATGCAGAAAGCTTTGTACAAGGATGTGATGTTGGAGAACTACAGGAACCTGGTCTCCCTGGGTGAGGATCTTTCCCCTGCAGAAGCTGGGATCTGCCCTTGGTATCTTGGCACTTTCCCTTGTGTGCCTCCTGGGAGCCCCTGTATTGCTTGACTGAGATTAAAACCTTGTTGACTTGGGAAGGGCATGGTGGCTCACGCCCATAATCCCAGCCCTTTGGAAGGCTGAGGCAGGCGGATCACCTGAGGTCAGGAGTTTGAGATGAGCCTGGCCAACATGGTGAAACCCCGTCTCCACTAAAATACAAACATTAGCCAAGTGCGGTGGTGGGTTCCTGTAATCCCAGCTACTGGGGAGGCTGAGGCAGGAGAATTGCTTGAACCAGGGAGACAGAGGTTGCAGTGAGCCAAGATCACACCACTGCAGTCTACCCTGGGCAACAAAAGCAAAAGTCCATCTGAAAAAAAAAAAAACCTTGTAGACTCAAAAATGAAAAGCTCCATAGTGTTTTCTGGAGTTGAAAGGTCCCTTTTTTTTCTTTTTTGAGACGGAGTTTAGCTCTTGTTACCCAGCCTGGAGTGCAATGCAGTGATCTCAGCTCACTGCAACCTCCGCCTCCTGGGTTCAGGCAATTCTCTTGCCTCAACCTCCTGAGTAGCTGGGACTACAGGTGTGCGCCACAATGCCCGGCTAATTTTTTGCATTTTTAGTAGAGACGGGGTTTCACCATGTTGACCAGGATGGTCTCGATCTCTTGACCTTGTGATCCACCCGCCTCGGCCTCCCAAAGTGCTGGGATTACAGGCGTGAGCCACCGCGCCTGGCAAAATGTCCCTTTTCATCAGATACTCTGTCCCCTTCAGTATACATCATTGGGGGTTACCAGGGCTGAAGTATGCACAAAACCTTTCTTGTTTGTTTTGAAGTTGAGTCTTGCCCAGGCTGGAGGGCACTGATGTGCTCTTGGCTCACTTGAGCCGCAGCCTCCCTAGTAACCAGGATTACAGGCGTCTGCCACCACGCCTGGCTCATTTTTGTATTTTTCGTTTTTACAGTGTTGGCCAGGCTGGTCTCAAACCCCTGGGCTCAAGTAGTCCACCCTCATCAGCCTCCCAAAGTGCTGGGATTACAGGCATGAGCCACCACACCCAGCTGCATAAAACCTTATGGCAAACTTTTAAGATGCCACAGCACATTTTGATTCTTTTTTTACAAACAGGAATCTCTCTTCCTGACCTGAATATTAACTCCATGTTGGAGCGAAGGAGGAAGCTCTGGTCTGGTGAGAGTGAAGTGAAAATAGCAAAACGTTCAGACAGGAGGGAACACATCGAAGTTGTAAACAGAGGTAAGAGCTCAGGTGGGCAGGGTGGAAGCCGCGCTGTTGTTTGGGCTTCTTTGTTTTGTCTTGTTTCGGTTTTTGTTTTTATTTTCGTTTTTTTGTCTTGTTTTTGAGACAGAATGTCACTCTGCCATGAAGCAGAGCCTGGGAGACAGAGCAAGACTCTTGTATATACATACGTGTATATACACATACGTATATATATATACATATACACGTATATATATATATATTTTTTTTGACTAGAGATTTTATTTTTTCTTTCTTTTTTTCTATGTATTTACTTATTTGAGATGGAATCTCACTCTGTTGCCGAGGCTGGGGTGCGGTGGAGCGATCTCAGCTCACTGTAATCTCCACCGCCCCCCACCCCTTCCGCCCCGTTTCAAGGGATTCTGCTGCCTCAGCCTCCCAGGTATCTGCAATTACAGTCACCTGCCACCACGCCTGGCTAATGTTTTTTGTATTTTTAGTACAGATGGGGTTTTAGCATGTCGTCCAGGCTGGTCTCAAACTCCTGACATTAAGCGATCCACCTGCCTTGGTCTCCCAAAGTGCTGGGATTATAGGTGTGAGCCACTGTACCCGGCCTCTTTTTATTTTGCAGATACAGGGATCTCGCCGTGTTGCCCATATTGATTTTGAATCCCTGGACTCAAGCCATCCTCCTGCCTTGGCCTCAATTACTCTTGATTACCAGCATGAGCCACTATGACTGATCTTATTTTTTATTTTGAATTTAGATTTAATTGATTGCCAGGAATAAATATATATATATATATATTTTTTTTTTCGAGACGGAGTTTCGCTCTCGTTACCCAGACTGGAGTGCAATGGCGCGATCTCGGCTCACCACAACCTCCGCCTCCTGGGTTCAAGCAATTCTCCTGCCTCAGCCTGCTGAGTAGCTGGGATTACAGGCACACGCCACCATGCCCAGCTAATTTTTGTATTTTTAGTAGAGACGGGATTTCACCATGTTGACCAGGATGGTCTCGATCTCTTGACCTCGTGATCCACCCACCTCGGACTCCCAAAGTGCTGGGATTACAGGCTTGAGCCACCGCGCCCAGCCGTATTATTTATTTTTAATTTTTTTTTTTTTTTGAGATGGAGTCTCACTCTGTTGTCCAAGTGGTAGTGTAGTGGCGTGATCTTGGCTCATTGCATTCTCTGCCTCCTGGGTTCAAGTGATTCTCATGCCTTAGCCTCCTGAGTAGCTGGGATTACAGGTGTGCACCACCATGCCTGGCTAATTTTTTGTATTTTTAGTAGAGACAGGTTTTCACCATGTTAGCCAGGTTGTTCTCCATCTCCTGACCTTATGATCTGCCCACCTGAGCCTCCCAAAGTACTGGGATTACAGGCGTGAGCCACCATGCTCGGCCTATATCTCTGTGTATTATAAATCCCATGTATTATACATGGGAGTTCTGGAACCGATCCTCCCTGGAAACCAAGGAACAGCTGTATTCTGAATAGAAATAAAGCAAGTGGCTGGGCGCGGTGGCTCACGCCTGTAACCCCAGCACTTTGGGAGGCTGAGGCAGGTGGATCACGAGGTCAAGAGATCGAGACCACCCTAGTCAACATAGTGAAACCCTGTCTTTTCTAAAAATACAAAAAATTAGCTGGACATGGTGGCCTGTGCCTGTAATCCCAGCTACTCGGGAGGCTGGGGCAGGAGAATTGCTTGAACCCAGGAGGTGGAGGTTGCGGTGAGCCGATATCGCGCCATTGCACTCCAGCCTGGGTAACAAGAGCAAAACTCCGTCTCAAAACAAAACAAAAAAAAGAAATAATGCCAGTAGGATTTCTGTGTTCCTTTTTCCCCCTAATTATGGAGGAAAACTCTTCACTCTTTAAGCATCGACTATGATGTTACCTGGTGGCGTTTTCTATATGGCCGCTGTTAAGTAGGTGCCTTGTATTCCTTGTGTGTTGAGCGTTTTCATCGTAAGTGATTGTCGAAGCTTTTCAAATATTTTTCTGTATTAGCCAAGATCATCGTGTGGGTTTTTTTCTCTTTATTCTGTTATTGTCAGGTATCACATGGATTCCATGGTCATAAGTTACGTGATCGTTGCATTCTTAGAATAAATTCCACATTGTCATGGTGTGTGATCCATTTTAACCTGCTAATGAATTTGTTTTGATAGCATTTTGTGGAGGATTTTTGCATTCAATTAATCAGAAATACTCCTCTGCAGTTTTCTTGTAGGGCCTTTGCCTTTGCTTTCAAGTAACCCTACTCGTATTAAATGAGTTTGGAAGTGTTCTCTTCACCGTCATGGAAGATTTTTAGGAGTACTGGTGTTAAATGTTTTTTCAGTGTCTGATAGAATTTTGCAGTCAGGTCATCTAGTCCCTCGTTATTTTAGTTGGTAGGGTTTTTTTTTTTTTTTTTGAGACGTTGTTTTGCTGTTGTTACCCAGACTGGAATGCAATGGCACGATCTCGGCTCACCGCAACCTCCGCCTTCTGGGTTCAAGCAGTTCTCCTGCCTCAGCCTCCTGAGTAGCTGGGACTACAGGCACTTGCCGCCATGCCCAGCTAATTTTTTTATTTTTAGTAGAGACAGGGTTTCACCATGTTGACCAGGATGGTCTCGATCTCTTGACCTCGTGATCCACCCGCCTCGGCCTCCCAAAGTGCTGGGATTACAGGCTTGAGCCACCACGCCCGGCCCTTAGCTCTTCTTTATTGAGGAAAAGTCTAAATTTCTCCTTTGTTTTTTCAGGTGCCTTTTGCTAAATATAGTATTCTTGGTTGTTTTTAAGCACTTTCAATATATAATCTCACTGCCTTCTAGCATGCAAAGTTTCTGCTGGAAAAGTACATGGTCTTATACATTTTCCTCTAGATGGCAAGTATCTTTTTTGTTGTTACTGTCAAGATTCCTTCCCTGTCTTTGATGTTTGATAATTTGTTTATAACTTATCTCTGTCAGATATCCTTGGGTTAATTTTAATCCTGATAGTCAAGCTTCTTGAATTGTATATTCAGGTCTTTCTTCCGAACTGGGATTTGGACAATTATTTGGACATTGTTTCTTCATTTGCAATTTCTGATCCTCTGTCTTCTCCTTATGAACCTCTAATAATTTGTATGTTGTTACACTTGAGGGCATCCACAAACTTATTTGTGTTTGTTTACTTTTCTACACTGTTTTTTGGTTTTGGTCTTTGGAGCTGATATTCCACCCCCCCGCCCAACCACGGAAACGGAGTCTTGCCCTGTTGCCCAGGCTGGAGTACAACAGCATGATCTCAGTTTACAGGTGCATGCCACTGCGCCTTGCTAATTTTTGTATTTTTAGTAGAGACGGAGTTTCTCAGAAGCTTTCAGTTCCTGTTCTGTTTCTCTGCTGACAATCCCTCCCAAACTCACCCGTAATCCTCCTGATTGCTCCAGGTTTCTCAGCACTCCAGGTCATCACCTTACCCTCTTCTGTTTTCAGCACTGCCAATGTGATGTACAAAGTATGCAGATATTTCTTCCAGCGTTTGAGTCAGATGAGGCAGATTCTAGTTTTTTCATCAGACTCTAAACATGCCAGAATTATTGATCTGAAGTCCACTCTTTTCTTGTTTTTTTAGGGAGCAGCTGTGCACTGGGAGGCAGTGCAGAAAACAAACCCATTAAAACACAGCTTGGAGGATCCTTTCGCTTACATCTGTCCGAACTGGAGCTATTTCCAGATGAAAGGGTAATAAATGGATGGAATCAAGTTGAAAACTTCATCAACCACAGTTCCTCTGTTTCAGCTCTTCAAGAAATTTCTTCCAGTGTCAAAACCCCTGTTTTTAATAGGAATGATTTTGTTGATTCTTCATTACTCCTGCAGGAACAGAAAGTACGTATTAGAGAAAAACCTTATAAATGTAATGAGCATAGCAAAGTCTTTAGAATGTCTTCCAGCCTGACTAACCATCAAGTAATCCATACCACAGAGAAACCTTATAAATGTAATGAATGTGGCAAGGTCTTTAGTCGTAATTCACACCTTGCAGAACATTGGAGAATTCATACTGGAGAGAAGCCTTATAAATGTAACGACTGTGGCAAGGTTTTTAGTTACAATTCAAACTTTGCACGACATCAAAGAATTCATATCAGAGAGAAGCCTTATGAATGTAATGAATGTGGTAAAGTCTTCAGCAATAATTCTTACCTCACACGACATCAAAGAATTCATGCTGAAGAGAAACCTTACAAATGTAACGAATGTGGTAAGGGCTTCAGTCACAAGTCATCTCTAGCAAATCACTGGAGAATTTATACTGGAGAGAAGCCTTACAAATGTGATGAATGTGGCAAGGCCTTCTATAGAATTGCGCTCCTTGTACGACATCAGAAAATTCATACTGGAGAAAAACCTTACAAATGTAACGAATGTGGTAAGGTCTTTATTCAGAATTCACACCTAGCACAGCATTGGAGAATTCATACGGGAGAGAAACCTTACAAATGTAATGAATGTGGAAAACTATTTAATCAACTTTCAAATCTCGCACGACATCGAAGAATTCACACTGGAGAGAAGCCTTACAAATGTAAGGAATGCGGTAAAGCATTTAGTGAGTATTCGGGCCTTACAGCCCATCTTGTAATCCACACTGGAGAGAAGCCTTACAAATGTAATGAATGCGGCAAGGCATTCAGGCACAAGTTGTCCCTAACCAATCATCAGAGAATTCATACTGGTGAAAGACCTTACAGATGTAATGAGTGTGGCAAGGTTTTCAATCGGATTGCACACCTTGCACGACATCGGAAAACTCATACTGGAGAGAAACCTTACAAATGTAATGAGTGCGATAAGGCCTTCAGTCGCATTTCATACCTGGCACAACATTGGACGGTTCATATGGGATAGAAACTACACATGTAATAAATATGTTAAAGGATTTAGTGTGCACTCAAGCCTTCCTACCCATCTCTTATTCTATACTGCAAAGAAATTTGCAAATGTAAAAATATGACAAGGTCTTCAAACACAACTTTTTCTAATAATTCATTAGAGAATATATCAAGAACATTCATCACGATTGTAATGAAAGTGTGGAAAGTCTTCAGCAAAATTTCCCACCTTGCGAAAGGAGATCTAAAGAGTAGGAAATGACAAAGGAGACATTACCACCAACCCCACAGAAATATAAAAAACCCTCAGATTACTTTGAACACCTGTATGCACAAACTAGGAAACCTAGAAGAAATCGATAAATTGCTGGAAAGATATAACCCACCCAAGACTGAATGAAGAAAACATTCTAAAATTTATTTGGAACCAGAAGAGCCTAACCCAAGAAGAAATTGCAATCCTAAACAAACCAATAGTGAGTTCCCAAATTGAATCAGTAATTAAAAAGCTATCAAAAAAGCTCTGGACCTGACAGATTTATAGTTGAATTCAACCAGATTATAAAGAAGAGCTGTTACCAGTTTTACTGAAACTATTCAAAACATAGATCCAGAGGGACTCCTATCTGATTATATGAGGCCAGCTTCATTCTAATACCAAAACCTGACAGACCCAGTGAAAAAAGAAAACTTCAGGCCAGTATTCTTGGTTAATATAGATGCAGAAATCCTCAATAAACTAGTAGTAAACCAGATCCATCTGCACATCAAAAAGCTAATCCACCATGATCAAGCAGGCTTTACTGTTGGACTGCAAGGTTGGTTCAGGATACACAAATCAATAAATGTGACGCATCATATACACAGAAGTAAAAACAAAAACCACGTGACCATGATCATCTCTTTATATGCAGAAAGGTTTTTATTACAATTCAATATCCCTTCACATTAAAAGCCCTCAACAAATTACACATCGAGGGAACATACTTATAAGAACCATCTATGATGGACCCATAGCCAACACAATACTGAATGGGCAAAAGGTGGGAGCATTCCCCTTGAGAACTGTAACACAACAGGGCTGACCATTCTCACCACTTCTATTCAACAGAGTCCTGTAAATCCTAAGCTGAGCAGTCAGGAAAGATAAAGAAAAGGCATATACAAATAGGAAGAGAGGAAGGCAGTATCTCTTGTAGATGATATGATTCTGTACTTAGAAAACCCGTAGTCTCTGCCCAAAGGCTCCTAGATCTGATACACAACTTCAGAAGTTTCGGGATACAAAATCTATATGCAAAAATTAGTTGCGTATTTATACACCAGTAATGTCCAAGCTATGAGCCAAACCAAGAACACGACCCCATTCACAGTAGCCACAAAAAGTATAAAACAGGAATACAGCTAAACAGATAAGTGAACAATCTCTACGATGAGAATTACAAAGCAGTCAGAGAAATCAGAAACAACACAAATTGAAAAGTATTTCCTGAACATGGGTAGGAAGAATCAATATTGTTAAAATGCTGCCCAAAGCAATTTGCAGAGCTAATGCTATTTCTGTCAAACTACCAATGACATTTTTCACAGAATTAGAAAGCATTCTAAAACGTATTTGGAACCAGAAGAGCCCAACCTAAATAGCAAAAGCAATCCTTAAACAAAAAGCAAAGTTTGAGGCATCAAACTCTAACCTTCAAACCATACTACAAGGTTACAGTAACCAAAACAGGATGGTACTGGTACAAAAACAGTCACACAGATCAATGGAATCGATTAGAGGATCCAGAAATAAAGGCGGATACCTACAGTCCTCTGATCCTCAACAAAGCTGACAGGCAATGAAGAAGTTCATTCAGTAAACGGTGCTGGTGTAAATGACTAGCCATATGCAGAACATTGAAACTGGACCCCTACTCTTCACAGTATACAAAAATCAACTCGAGATGGATTCAAGACTTAAGTGTAAAACTACTAAATCCCTAGAAGAAAACCAAGGAAATGCCATTCCAGACATAAGCCTGGGAAAAGACTTAATGATGAAGACCCCAGTTTTTTGTTTTTGTTTTTCATGATCCAGTAGGGTTTATTTTTTGACATACATGAGGTGGGGCACAGTGTCATGCCTACAATCCCAGCACTTTGAGAGGCTGAGGCAGGCAGATCATCTGAGGTCAGAAGTTAAAGACCAGCCAACTAATGTGAAACTCTTCTCTACTATAAATACAAAAATTAGCCAGGCATGGTAGACAGCACCTATAATCCAGCTGCTTGGGAGGCTGAGGCAGGAGAATGGCTTGAACCCGGAAGATAGGTTACAGTAAGCTGAGATAGCACCATGGCACTCCAGCCTGGGCAAAAGAGCAAGAGTCCTTTCTAAGCTTCCAGGGTTCCTGGCATCTCAGCTGTGGTTCTCCAGTACCAGCAGGACACCAGGCCACAAGAGACTGGGCCTCTAGTAGCAGAAGTCAGCGAACGGCGAAGACAAGAGCCAGAACTCTGGTTGCAGCAAGCCACAAAGCCACTGCCACATCCCAGAAGACCCCAATTTTTGATGAAAACAAAAATTGACAGGTGGGACCTAATTAAATAACTCCCGCACAGCAAAAAAAAAAAAAAAGCTATTAACAGAGTAAACAGACAGCCTACAGAATGGGAGGAAATGTTTACAGACTGCATCTGATCAAGATCTCTTCCAGAATCTCTAAAGAACTCAAATCACCAATGAAAAAACAACCCCATTAATAACTGGGCCAAGCACATAAATAGATGCTTCTCAAAAGAAGACATACATGCTGCCAATAAGCATATGAGAAAAATGGTTATTATCACTAATCATTAAGGAAATGCAGTCGAAGCCACGATGAGAGACTGTCTGACATCTGTCAGAATGGGTGAGTCTAATACATGCTGGTAAGCCAACAGAGAAAGGGAAATACTTACACATGGCTGGTGGGAATGTAAATTAATCCAGCCATTGTGGAAAGCAGTGCAGTGATTTCCCAAAGACTTAAAACCACATAGCATTCAACCTAGCATCCCATTACTGGGTTTATACCTAAAGGAATATAATCATTTACCATAAAGATACATACATGTGTATGTTAATTGCAGTACTATTCACAATAGCAAAGACATGGGATCAACCTAAATGCCCAACACCAGACCAGATAAAGAAACTGGTACATGTGCACCATGGAATACGATGCAGCCGTCAAAAAGAACAAGATTGTGTACTTTACAGCAACATGGATGGAGCTGAGGCTATTATCCTAAGTCAATTAACGCAGGAACAGAAATAAAATATCCCATGTTCACTTATAAGTGGGAGCTAAACATTGAATACACATGTACTCACAGGTGGGTACAGTAGACACTGGGGCTTATTTAAGGGTGGAGGTTGGGAAGAGATGAAGATTTAATAACTAGCTGTTGGGTATTATGCTGATTACTGGGTGACAAAATTGTACACCTAACTTTTGCAACATACAGTTGAGTTATGTACACAAACTCCTTGAACCTAAAATAAAACAGGAAAAAAAGCAAATTTCACACCTTGTAAACTATCAAGGAATTTATGTTGTACAGAAACCTTACAAATGAAATGACTATAGGAGAGCATCTAGTGTACCTTCAAGTCTTAACTATTCAGCAGATGATCTGTAATACAGATTACCTTACAAAAGTAATGGAACCTTACAAAGGTAATGGAAGTGGGACTGGGCACCGTAGCTCACGCCTGTAATCCCAGCACATTGGGAGGCCAAATCAGGTGGATCATCTGAGGTTAGGAGCTCAAGAGTAGCCTGGCCAACATGGCAAAACCCCATCTCTATTAAAAATACAAAATTAGCCGGGCATAGTGGCATGGCTGTAATCCCAGCTACTTGGAAGGCTGAGGCAGGAGAATCACTTGAACCCTGGAGGCGAGTTCATCCCGGGAGGCTGCAGTGAGCTGAGATCAAGCCACTTCACTCCAGCCTGGGTGACAGCAAGACTGTCTCAAAAGTAATTATAATAACAGATGTGGCAAGGTCCTCACTCAGAATTCAAACCTTGCAAATCACAGAATCCATGCCGGAGAGAAACCTTACAAATGTAATGTGTAGTAAGGTCTGTAGTCACAGTTCACACCTTGCACAGCATCAGAGCATTCATGAGAGTCCTTACAAACTTAGTATGGCAAACTCTTCGTCATGAGTTCTGACATTAATTAGCATCAGAGTGTCGTACTAGAGAGAAATATAAATGTATGTGACACAGGCTTTATCCAGGCCTACCAAGCCACTAGATGTCAACACATCTTTGATGAAACCATAGGCCGTGTGCAGTGGCTCACGCCTGTAATCGCAGACTTTGGGAGGCCAAGGTGGGCAGATCACTTGTCAAGAGTTCCAGATCAACCTGGCCAACATGGTGAAACCCCATCTCTACTAAAAATACAAAAATTAGCCAGGCGCGGTGTCGGGTGCCTGTAATCCCAGCTACTCAGGAGGCTGAGGCGGGAGAATTGCTTGAACCCAGGAGGCGGAGGTTGCGGGGAGCCGAGATCGTGCCGTTGCACTCCAGCCTGGGAACAAGAGTGAAACTCCGTCTCAAAAAAAAAGAAAATACAAAATTAGCCAGCTGCAGTGGTGCATGGCTGTAATCCCAGGTACTTGGGAGGCTGAGGCAGGAGAATCACTTGAACCCTGAAGGCAGAGGTTGTAGTGAGCTGACATCACACCATTGCACAAGAGCAAAAAATGCGTATATTAAAAAATATATATATGTAAAAGATAGGAACTTTAAATGAGAGTTGCCGGGAAAAAACAACGAGCTAGGAACAAAGTGTGCCCGTACAAAGCACTTACCATGAGTGGAACTTCCAGAACCAGAGGTTACTCTGGGTGAGGCAGTGAGCAGGTGGCAGGTGAGTGTGGACACCTAGGACTTGCTGAATGCTACCGTAGGTGTTAGAAACACTGCACACTTGGGCTACCCACAATTTATTTTTTACAAATAAGGCAATTGTGCTGTGATGTTACCACGGCTGCAGTGTCACTGGGCAGTAGGAATTTTTTTGCTGCATTGTAATCTTGTGGTGCCACCGTGGTATACGTGGTCAGTAGTGACCAAAGCATTGTTACATAGTGTCCTTTCACTGGTGTCCTTTGCCACTTTAAAGTGATGGCGATCTTTGTACCGTAGCATGGTAGGCTAAGTAACGAGTCTCTGAAACATGTTAAGAGACAAAATACTGTAGGACTGAGGTTAAATTATTACTGATTACATATCATATGATGGATTAATAATGAAGGTACATGGCGGGGCCTGGTGGCTCAAGCCTGTAATCCCAGCACTTTGGGAGGCTGAGGTGGGTGGATCATCTGAGGTCAGGAGTTCAACACCAGCCTGACCAACATGGTGAAACCCCGTCTCTATTAAAAAAAAATTAAAAAATAATGAAGGCACATTAAATCTAGGAATAATGTAATTACTGACATTGAAGAAAAGACAAACACTAAAAGGGTCATTGAGACGGGGTCTTGCTCCGTGGCCCAGGCTGGAGCACAGTGGCATGAACACAGCTCACTGTTGCTTCAACCTCCCAGACTCCAGCAGTTCTCCCATCTCAGCCTCCAAGTAGCAGGGACCACAGCCATGCACCACCATGTGTGGCTACTATTTATTTATTTAGTACAGACAGAGTGTTGTTCTGTTGCCCAGGCTGGTTTTGAACTCCTGGGCTCAAGGGAGCCTCCCACCTTGGTCTCCCAAATGCTCGGATTACAGGTGTGGTGACACCCACCATTTTTTTTTCCTTTTTAACAGAACTGTCACAAGCTACATCTGCACCTGAAAACTGCCAGTCCTCAGAGTTTTTTTCGTATGAGACTCATCATAATGTTAACTTTTCCACAAACAGATATTGCTCAAGGCCAAGAGGGATAATAGTTTCACTATAATCAGCAGACCACAGATATTTTCTGTGCATAGTGCTGTGTCCATGAAGCACATAATATGCCCAGTTTTCAGAAAAAAATAAGTTATTTCTATTGCAGCCATTGCCTCCCAGACACTCAGTTTCTTGATAGAATTGTCACACAGTTCTCTTTATTCATCATGGCATGAAAAGAGGCTTTACACTCACACCTCTATTATCCTGAAAATAGTGTAATTTTTGTAGGCTGGATAAACTTCACGACTATAATTGAAGTGTGATTTAAATAGCAGATAATAGGCCGGGTTCGGTGGCTCACGCCTGTAATCCTAGCACTTTGGGAGGCCGAGGTGGGTGGATCACCTGAGGTCAGGAGTTCAAGACCAGCCTGGCCATCATGGTGAAACCCCACCTTGAAAAAAAAATAAAATATAATATAAATAAATAAATACCAGATAATAGTAGGATATAACATGAACTGTTACCACAAGTGTGGATTACATTAAATTAGTCAGAGGCATCAGGGATTTGTATAGAGTGTATTTGTATACAGTGTATAGGACCAAATGCTCCAGGAATTATTTCAGCAACTCATTGGGACATAGCTCTGGACCAGATTTTATGAAGAAGAATTTTCTTTTTCTTTTTCTTTTTTTTTGTTTTTGAGACAGAGTTTCACTCTTGTTACCCAGGCTGGAGTGCAATGGCACGATCTCGGCTCACCGCAACCTCAGCCTTCTGGGTTCAGGCAATTCTCCTGCCTCAGCCTCCCAAGTAGCTGAGACGACAGGCGCACACCACCATGCCCAGCTAATTTTTGTATTTTTAGTAGAGACGGGGTTTCACCATGTTGACCAGGATGGTCTCAATCTCTTGACCTCATGATCCACCCGCCTCGGCCTCCCAAAGTGCTGGGATTATAGGTGTGAGCCACCGCGCCCGGCCTAGATGAAGAAGAATTTTCTGACATAAGCACTTCTCCAGACTCCTGAAGCCCTCCTTCCCTTCACAGATGCGCCTCTCAGAATAAAACAGAAAATACTCACCAGACTCCTTTCTACTCCCAGGACGGTGGGCTCCGTGTGAAGGTTACCACAGCCAGACCCTGAGATAAAGGTTTGTGATTCTGTGACTTCACCTCCCTGAAGAACGACAGTTATTACCTTACCTTTAGCACAGTGGCTCTGCGTGCTAGGGAAGGCAAAAATAATTTTTCTAATAATTTGTCTTAGTTCTCAGTTACCAGAAACAATTACAGTACCTAGCGAGCATCTTCCATCTGCAGTATTTGGAAAGATTTATTTCCATGGACCCTGGAAGCAGATGCGGGCTCACGTGGAGAGTGCAGGACATGTGGAGGTCTGAGCCACAAGAGATTCTCTGCTAAGTGTACCTCTCACGGGACCTTCTTCTTCCTTAAGTTGTGCTCAGAATCTGACTTTTACCTGCCTCAGAGCCATATGCTTCCAGACCCCTTCTAGATTATGGGAAGACAAACGGGATACCATGAAGAGACCGAGAAGGATCTATGAATGAATGAAGACTGAAAGGAAGAATGTGATGTCAATAATAGTTTGAAACATTAAATGGCACTTTCTAATATGCACAAATGATTAAATAAGTAATTGGGGGAGAAGAGACCCAGCTTCTATGCAGAGGAATTCCAAATAACTCTTGTAGACGCTCGTGGAATACATGTAACTCCCAACTTCTCAAATACAGGCTGCACACAGCTGCTTCCTTTTAAACAGTAGAGTATAACAAGAGAATGAGAGGAACTTTATGGCTGAGAAACCTGACAGCCTCAGGTGATCAAGGTCAGCATCCACAGGGGACTGAGTCACGGTAATAGTGCGCACCTTTGATAGAATGTGATAAAAATGGCTCTTCTCTACGGGATCCACGGTGGCTCTGGCCAGTTGTCCTGGCACCTGAGGAAGCGAGGCCATGAGTTCAAGGCTAACCTGAGCAACGTTACATTCTCTCATTGATTGACCAAAAAAAAAAAGGCTCGTCTCTTTTGTCTTTGTATCCAACATACCTGACCTTTGTCTAATCACGGGAAACACCAGACACATCCCAGTAGAGTGGCAGTCCCCAGTAGCACATCGACAGCCTGCTGTACCTAACCAGGACTCCTCAAAGCTGACCAGATTATACAAAACAAGGACTCAGCTAGAGTCAAGGGGAGCCTAAAGACACATAATGCCTAAATGTAATGTGGTGGCCTCCACAGGATGCAGGCAAAGTGTTGAGTACCAGCCCCAACCCTGTTTGTGGGTGCCCCAAGCCCCAGCAAGTCACAAGGGACTAAGAAAGGAAATAGCTGGGCGTGGTGGCTCACACCTATAATCCCAGCACTTTGGGAGGCCGAGGCAGGTGTATCATGAGGTCAAGAGATCAAGACCCTCCAGGTCAACAAGGTGAAACACCGTCTCTAGTAAAAATATAAAAAATTAGCTGGGCATGGAGGCTCGTGCCTGTAATCCCAGCTACTCGGGAGGGTGAGGCAGGAGAATTGCCTGAACCCAGGGGGCGGAGGTTGCGATGAGCTGAGATCGTGCCATTGCACTCCAGTCTGGGTAAAAAGAGCGAAACTCCGTCTGAAAAAAAAAAAAAAAAGGAAATAAAGGGCCGAGCGTGGTGGCTCATGCCTGTAATCCAAGCACTTTGGAGGCCAAGGCAGACGAATCACCTGAGGTCGGGAGTTCAAGACCAGCCTGACCAACATGGTGAAACCCCCGTCTTTAAAAAAAAAAGGAAATAAAGACAAAGCTCAAGGAGTGGGTCCAGGGAACCAACGTAACGTACAAGGACCACGTTGGCCCTGAGTTCTGATTTCCACAGTTTTTTATTAGGTGTACACACTCGCTAGTTGAGGGGTGGAAAGCAGGGGGCAGTTATCAGGGGAGGCCTTGAAACTATCGGGGGAGGCCTTGAAACTATTGTGGGGCAAGCTAGCCAGGGGGAGAAGCGTGCATCATTAGAATCAGTGACACAGGTGGTTGTGAGATGCTAATCTAGTACACCACGTTTTACCACGGATTGTTATCAATAATGCAGCGGCACCTGAACGCAGATGGTAGGGCGCCACCAGGTCTGACCACACACGTTGCCTCAAGGGGCTTTTATCTCCGGAGTACTGTGGACTAGTTCAACCGAGATTACCCCATATTCTGAGAACACGGGCAGAGCAGGAGGTGTTCCACTATCTCCACCCAGAAGGCCTTGCTGCCTTGCCAGCTCCCATCTGCAAAGACCCCCTGGATCTTGTGAGCAGAGGTCGCCGACCTTTCCGGAGTGCTTCGCAAGCCCTCTCTACAAGACCCCTGTACAGACCCCATGTTGGAAAGGAGTTCGTGGGACCAAGGCGGTGTTTTCCTGCCCTGCAGCCACAGGAGGGATGTGCTGTGGTTATGGGGCGGTCTCAGACTGTCTAACTTTAGGCCTCCCATTACCACTTCTGCTTGTGCTTTGCTTTTTATTCACTATTGTTTATTTCAGGTATAAAGTTCAGTGTACAGAGAACTCTATAAGCTAATAAGCAAATCAGACATATTTGTTTAATCAGCAATAGTAGACACAGCATACGTCTGCCCCTGGTCATCTGGGCCCACAGAAAAGAACATGGGTTAAAACTAAGGAAATCAGAATAAATTATGAATAAGTTGATAGTAATGTGTCAAGAATGGTTTATAAATGGTAAAACCCATACTAAAATAGTATATGGTGTTAATAACAGGGAAAACAGGTCAGGGTATATAGAATTTGTTCACTTTTTTCAATTTTTAAAATAGTAATCTAAAAATGTTCCAAAATAGAGTTTATTAGTTTTTTTTTTTTTTTAATTTTGAGACGGAGTTTCACTCTTGTTACCCAGGCTGGAGTGCAATGGCGCGATCTCGGCTCACCGCAACCTCCGCCTCCTGGGTTCAGGTAATTTTCCTGCCTCAGCCTCCCGAGTAGGTGGGATTACAGGCACGCGCCACCATGCCCAGCTAATTTTTGTATTTTTAGTAGAGACTGGGTTTCACCATGTTGACCAGGATGGTCTCGATCTCTTGACCTCGTGATCCGCCCGCCTCGGCCTCCCAAAGTGCTGGGATTACAGGCTTGAGCCACCACGCCTGGCAGTTTATTCATTTTTAAAGTAACTAATTTAGGCCAGCCACGGTGGCTCATGCCTGTAATCCCAGCACTTTGGGAGACTGAGGCGGGCGGATCATGAGGTCAGGAGTTCAAGAGCAGCCTCACCAACAAAGTGAAACCCCGTTTCTATATGAAATATAAAAATTAGCCAGGCATGGTGGCGCATTCTTGTAGTCCCAGCTACTCTGGAGGCTCAGGCAGAGAATCGCTCCCAGCAGAACCTGGGAGGCGGAAGTTGCAGTGAGCCGAGATCTCGCCATTGTTTTTCTGGCAACAGCTTAATGGAGAGAACCAGCAGTGAAGAAGCGCTCTTCCCTACAGCACTTCATTAAGTCTCATGATTGTCTCCTTGTTTATAAAAGTAAAAGCCAGATAGAGACCTGCCAAATTCCCATCCTTTGACTTATCAAGGATTACTGAATTCTAAATTGTTAAGTGCTTTTTATTTACTTATTTTTAGGACAGGGTATACACTATGCCCAGGCTGGAGTGCAGTGGCCATGGCAGCTCGGCGTAGACTCGACCTCCTGGGCTGAAGTAATCCTCCGGCCTCAGCCTCCCAAGTGGCTGGGAGTACAGGTGCCCACCACCACAGCCGGTTTAAAATTCATTTTAGTGGGCCGGGCGTGGTGGCTCACGCCTTTAATCCCAGCAAGTTGGGAGGCCGAGGTGGGTGGATCACCTGAGGTCAGTTCGAGACCCGCCTGACCAACATTGTCCAACACCGTCTCTACTTAAAAAAAAAAAAATTAGCTGGGCTTGGGTGGTGGGCGCCTGTAATCCCATCTACACGTGAGGCTGAGGCAGGAGAGTCGCTTGAACACGGGAGGCGGAGGTTGCATTGAGCCGAGATCGCGCCATTACACTCCAGCCTGACAACAAGAGCGAAACCACGTTTAGAAAAAAAAAAATCATTTTAATAGCAGGACATTTCTTGGATCTAATTATCTACTGACGTTGCTTTGCTCCGGCACGATCCCAGTTTGCAGACGGCTGAGCTGCTCCAGCCTCACTGCCTGCAAAACTTTTCCGGGTTTTGCAGGCAGTCGGTCGAGGGACGCTCCGGCTCCGCCCCTTCGGGTCCTGCTACTTCCGTTGCGCGCGCAGTTTTTTGCAGACCCGGAAACAGATCGCGTGAATCGAAGGTCGCGACGGAGCGTGTGGGTTTCCCTTTGTTTAGATTCGGTCTGGGATTCCCAGCCACCCCGCTCTTCTGTACCCGGGATCCGAGGGTCGACAAAGACCTTGAAATCCCCGCATCTCCATTCACGCCCAGTAAATTCAGGCGTCTCCGTGAGAGTCGGGCGGTCGCTTTCTCGTGTGGTTAAAATCGCTCGGCGACGGGCCCTGTCCCCGGTCGTTCTGCCTTGGGCCAGGTAAACACGGATTTTCGAGACTTCTTTTCTCAGGGAGAGCAGAGAGGAAGCCGAGATAGGGAGGGCAAAAAACAGGCGGCCGTTTATGGAAATTGGGGGCAAAGACGGGACACAAAGAGGAACTAGGGGCAAAACAAATTGCCGTAATGGAACAGAACACGTGGAAGAGGGAAGAGGGGGAGAAACAGTAGGATAGGAGAGGGTCGGGAAAATGAGCCAGTGCCTAGGGGTAAAATGAAGTGGAGAAAGCAGGTGAGAATGAGAGAGATGTGCGCAATGAGGGAGGGAAACATACTCATGACAAGAGATGGGGACCCTGAGTGCAGGTGAGTGATGAGTTGGTTGAATATTACGATTAAGTAGTGATATACTGATTTCTCTCATTGTAATCTTGTAAATATAAAATGCATTTTAAAAATGCAGATGAAGATGAGACTTGCAAAGTTCCTGCCTAGAAGGCAGGTGCATTTTATCATTCTTGGCATCACAGGTTAGCTTCCATTCACAATCCCTATTCAGCCAGAGGTCAGTGACTTGCCTCATTCAGGTGTAGGTGAGTGTGTAAGATAGAAGGGAAAACCAAAGTGTTTTTCCTACTCTTATAGTCAACACAGTAGCGAACACCCAACACAGAATGCCACATCTCTGGTCACCAAAATGTGTGGGGATTATTTCCCACCAACAAGCAATTCGTCAGACACCACTTGGGTGTTCTATAATTTAAGTCAATTTCACACTTAACACTCTATATGGAGTTAGCATCAGATTCTACAGCTCGAGAGCTGCGTTCCACATTGCTCCTACTTCAAGTGCCACTTGCAAGTCCAGGGTTGGGACCACAGCCTTGTGACCAATTAGTCAACTATAAACTGGGGAATTTTGCTCACATTTTGTGCATTTGCTAGAGTGGTTCACAGAACTCAGGGAAATGTTTTGCTTCGTTTCATCCCTTTGTTACAAACAATATTGCAGAGGATACAGAAGAACAGCCAGATGGAAGAGCCTTCCTAGTAAAGTAATCAAAACGAGGGACTTTTGGACCAGGCATAGTGGCTCTCGCCTGTAATTCCAGCACTTTGGGAAGCCAAGGCGGGCAGATCACTTAAGGTCAGGAGTTCATGACCAGCCTGGCTGATATGGTGAAAACCCATCTCTACTAAGAATACAAAAATTAGTATTCATGGTGGTGTTTGCCTGTGGTCCCAGCTACTTGACTGAGGCACAAGAATCTCTTGATCCCAAGAGGTGGAGGTTGCATTGAACCAGGGTGGCGCCACTGCACTCTAGCCTGGGCGACAGCGAGACTCTGTCTCAAAACAAAGCACAGGCTCTTGGAAACCACGCTTTTGCTGTTGTTGTTGCCCAGGCTGGACTACAGTGGCACAATATCTCAGCTCACCACCACCTCTGCCTCCCGGGTTCAAGTGATTCTGCTGCCTCAGCTTCCCCAGTAGCTGATATTACAGGCATGCGCCAACATGCCTGGCTCATTTTGTATTTTTAGTAAAGATGGGGTTTCTCCATGTTGGTCAGCCTGGTCTCAAACTCCCAACCTCAGGTGATCCCCCTGCCTCGGCCTCCCAAAGTGCTGGTATTACAGGAGTGAGCCACTGTGCTCCGCCAGAAACCATGCTCTATTTGTTTGTTTGTTTTTAAAAAATAGAGACAAGGTTTCACCATGTTGGCCAGATGGTCTCGAACTCCTGACCTCAAGTGATCCGGCCCGCCTTGGCCTCCCAAAGTGCTGGGATTACAGGCATGAGCCACCACACCCGGCCTGTGCTTTTTATCTGCATCTAAACGCAGGGGCGCTCTTGTGGGACTGCATCTTTAACCTGTGGGATCTTTGCCTGCCTCCGGGTAGACAGTATCAAAATTGAGTTAACTTGTGGGATACACAACTGTGAGTGTACCACAGAACTGGTCAGCATGGGCTGGACGCGGTGGCTCACGCCTGTAATCCCAACACTTTGGGAGGCTGAGGTGGGCGGATCATTTGAGGTCAGGAGTTCGAGATCAGCCTGGCCAACATGACAAAACCTCATCTCTACTAAAACTACAAAAATTAGCTGGACACGATGGCATGTGCCTATAATCCCAGTTTCTTGGGAGGCTGAGGCAGGAGAATCGCTTGAACCCAGGAGGTGGAGGTTGCGATGAGCCAAGACCATCCTAGGTAACAGTGACACTCCGTCTCAGCCATGGGGGAAAACACACATTTTGGTAACAAGAGGCGTAGTATTCTGTGCTGAATATGAGTGTAGTAAAAACAGGTTTTTTTTTTTTTCTTACCTCAACCAGTAAAGGGAAGAGACTTGGCCCGTCCACTGGTCTCAGGGCCTGTGATATCTACTCAGTAGCAACGGGGAATGATCTGTCTCTGCTCCTGGCTGCTGCTGATCCTGAAATTGTCCACCATCTGCCAGCCCCACTCACAATCTCAGAGTGGGATGACATGTTTCCTCTAAGGTGTTACTGAATTTTTTGTCTAGGAAATTATTATTATTATTATCATTATTTTTTGAGACGGAGTTTCGCTTGTTACCCAGGCTGGAGTGCAATGGCGCAATCTCGGCTCACCGCAACCTCCGCCTCCTGGGTTCAGGCAATTCTCTTGCCTCAGCATCCGGAGTAGCTGGGATTATAGGCATGCGCCACCATGCCCAGCTAATTTTTTGTATTTTTAGTAGAGACAGGGTTGACCGGGATGGTCTCGATCTCTTGACCTCGTGATCCACCCGCCTCGGCCTCCCAAAGTGCTGGGATTACAGGTGTGAGCCACTGCACCTGGCCCAGACTGGTTTAAAACTCCTGAGCTCAAGTGATTTTCCCACCTCAGCCTTCCAAAATCTACCCAGATGGAGGCATCATTCATTCAAATACACTCCTACACAAAATAAAAGTTTTATTTTCCTTCTACTCTTCTATCTTTAAAACAAAAAAATACTACATTAACCATATTTCTTCCTATAGAAAGTACCCCTCTTCTGTGCTTCCAAAGCTCTGGAATTACAGGGATGAGCCCCTACACCAGGCTTAATACAGTTTATAAAAATTATTTTTTTGAAACAGAGGCTCGTTCTGTTGCCTAGGCTGGAGTACAGTGGCGTGATCTCAGCTCACTACAACCTCCACCTCCTTGGTTCAAGCAATTCTCCTGCCTCAGCCTCCTGAATAGCTGGGACTACAGGCACGCGCCACCATGCCCAGCTAATTTTCGTATATTTAGTAGTGATGAGGTTTCACCTTGTTGACCAGGATGGTCTCGATCTCTTGACCTCGTGATTCACCCGCCTCGGCCTCCCAAAGTGCTGGGATTACAGGCTTGAGCCACGGCACCTGGCCCAAGCTTCTTAAAAAGTTTGAAAACATGAACTTCAACACCAAAAGGTGTTTATTTGTAATTACGTATTTTGAGACAGAGTTTTGCTCTGTCCCCCAGGTTGGAGTGCAATGGCGCGATCTCGGCTCACTGCAACTTCCGCCTCCTGGGTTCAAGCCATTCTCCTGCCTCAGCCTCCTCAGTAGCTGAGATTACAGGTGCCTGCCACTACGCCCAGCTCATGTTTGTATTTTTAGTAGAGACGACATTTCGCCATTTTGGCCAGGCTAGTCTCGAACTCCTAGTCTTGTGTGATCTGCCTGCCTCAGCCTCCCAAAGTTCTGGGATTACAGGCGTGGACCACCGTGCCCAGCCCCAAAAGGTGTTTATTAATAGGAGAGTTCATGGTTCATTATCTGCTCACAAGAACATTTAGGAAGAAAAAATAAGCAAGCAAGCAAACCACTACGGATATTTTTCTTCTTCTCTCTCTCTCTCTTCTTTTCTCTCCTACTCAGCTGACTTTCAGATTCACTAGAAGAGCCTCAGGCAAGTTCTTCAGGAGGTATCCAGAAGAAGGCATTGTCATCCCAGGAGATGACAGCTCCGTCCATGTTGTTGCCCCAGGACCTTCCAGTGGGACAAGATGTGGCACTGGAAGACAGTGACATTGATGACCCTGGCCCTGTGTAGGCATAGGCCGATGCATGTGTGTGTGTCCTGGTTGTTGACAAAAAAGCTTAAAAGGGGAAAATAAATTTTAAATGAGAAAAATACTTTTTTAATATTTTATTTTTTAAAAAGTTTAAAAGGGGAAAGTAAATTGTAAAAGACAAAATATTTTTGTACAGCTATACAATGTCTTTTAAGCTAAATGTTACTGTAAAAGTCAAAAAGTTAAATTTAGAAGTTTATAAAGTCAAATATTGACGGTAAGCTAAGGTTAATTTGTCATTGAGAAAAACATGTTAGTGTAGCCTAAATACACAGTAAGTATGTAGTATGTATTTTATTTTTTTAGCTCTTATACAGAAGAATGTGTGTATGTATGTTTGAGACGGGCTTTCACACTGCCGCGCAGGCTGGAGTGCAGTGCCGTGATCCTGGCTCACTGCAGCCTCAACATCCTACGTTCAGAGGATCCGCCCACCACAGCCTCCTGCTTAGCTGGGACTACAGGTGTGTTCCACCATTCCTCAACTTATTTTTGTATTTGTTTTTTGTAGGCACAGGAGTCTCGCCATGTTGCGCAAACTGGTCTTGAACTTCTGGGCTCAAGCAGGCTGCTTGCCTCGTTCTCCAGACGTGCTGGGATTGTAAGTGTGAGCCACCACACGTGGCTGAGTATTCAGTATTCGTAAAATCTACAGCAGTACACAGTTGTGTCCTAGGCCGTCAGATTCTGTCACCACACGCTCACTGACTCCTCCAGAGCAATTTCTAGCCCTGCAAGCTCCATTCATGGTAAGTGCCCTATACAGATGTACCATTTTTTAAACATTTATGTCATATTATGACTGTACCTTTTCTATGCTGAGACATGTTTTTATTTACAAGTACATACCATTGTGTCACAGTTGGCTATAGTATTCAGTACGCAACATGATGTATAGATTTTTAACAATAGGTTATACCATATACTCTAGATGTGTAGTAGGCTGTACCATCATGGCTTATGTAAGTGCGGTCAATAATGAAATGGTCTGAAAATACATTTCTCAAAACAGGTCCCGTTGCTAAGCAATGTATGACTATATTTGCATTTAAACCACACACATCCTCCCATATACTTTAAATCATCTCTTGATTACTTATAATAGATTAATGAAACTTATAATGGATCAATGAAATTTACAAATGCAAATTTACAAATTTACAAATGAAATTTACAAATTTATAAATGGTTGTTATACTTTGTTGATATCTTCTGTTATATTACTTGCTTTTTTTTCTTGTTTTTTGAGACATTTCAAGAGTCTCTCTCTGCCGTCTAGGCTGGAGTGCAGTGGTACGATCTCGGCTCACTACAACCTCCGCCTCCTGGGTTCAAACGATTCTCCTGCCTCAGCCTCCTGAGTAGCTGGGATTATAGGAGTGCTACCACACCTGGCTAATTTTTGTAGTTTTTAGTAGAGATGGGGTTTCACCGTGTTGGTCAGGCTGGTCTCGAACTCCTGACCTCGTGATTCACCCCACTCAGCCTTCCAAAGAGTTGGGATTACAGGTGTGAGCCTTTGAGCCACTGCGCCCGGCTCTCCCCCCCGCCCCCCCGTAGTTAATTCACTCTGTTGTTTGTTGAATCCCTAAATTTGGACCCTAGAAATACTGAAGGCCGACTGTAGACTCTATCTGCCTATGAGTCATTTAATAGTCTTCTTTTGGCTGGGTGTGGTGGCTTACGCCTGTATTCTCAGCACTTTGGGAGGTCAAGGGGCATAGTTCACCTGAGGTCAGGAGTTCAAGACCAGCCTGGACAACACAGTGAAACATCTCTACTAAAAATACAAAAATTAGCCAGGCGAGGTGGCAGCCGTCTGGAATTCCAGCTACTCGGGAGGCTGAAACAGAAGAATCGTTTGAACCCAGGAAGTGGAGGTTGCAGTGAGCCAAGATCACTCCATTGCCCTCCATCCTGGGCAACAGGAATGAAACTTTGTCTCAAAAAAAAAAATAGTCTTCTTCTTGATGTGGTCCAACTTTTGGGGTATCTCAGTCCTTTGTTTAATCATTATTTTACTTAACAGTATCCCCCAAGCACATGGATATTGAGGCTGGCAGTTTGGATATGTCAGTGAGAAGCTGTCACATCCATAATTTAAGTGCAGTAAATAGGGTTCAGTCCTGTTTGAGGTTCTGGGTATCCACTGGGCATGTTGGAACATATCCCTCGTGGATTAGGGGATTCCACTGTGTTGTGTATCTGGCACTGAGCACCAAGGCTCTCTGTCCTCCGTTTGTGAGGGATTACATGAACCTGGGATCCACAGAGAGGGGAGGGAGCTGTGCTCTGCATGGGGTCTGATCAGGGCTGAGTCTGTGCCCTGAATGGGGCAGCTCAGTCCAGCCCAGCTCCCCACTGCTGCAGCGTGTGTGTGGGTTTCCAGGAGGGGAGCAAGGCCTGAAAAAAGAGTAAAATCTTCACTAGTTTTTGTAGGAGTTTCTTTTTTTTTGAGACAGAGTTTTGCTCGTTACCCAGGCTGGAGTACAATGGCGCGATCTCGGCTCACCGCAACCTCCGCCTCCTGGGTTCAGGCAATTCTCCTGCCTCAGCCTCCTGAGTAGCTAGGATTACAGGCACGCGCCACCATGCCCAGCTAATTTTTTGTATTTTTAGTAAAGACGGGGTTTCACCATATTGACCAGGATGGTCTGGATCTCTTGACCCAATGTATAATATTCTTAAATTTTCTGTCATATGTCACTGCTTTATTAACAAAATAAATCAGTAAATTCCATTGGGCTTTTGCTAATACCTACATATGTAAATTTTAATGGACAGAAGTGTATTTATAGGCCAGGGTTAGTGGTGTATGCCTATAATCCCACCTTCGTGGGAGGCAGGGGCAGAAGGATTAAACACTTCCATTGAACTCAGGAGTTTGAAATCTTTCTGGGCAACCTAGTAAAACCCCATCTGAATTTTTTAAAATATTAGATATATATTTTTGAATGTGGGTATTTATTAGAGATAGGAGTCAAAGTTTCTGTGTTTTAATGATCTGCCATTTTTAATGGCTTAATATTTAAAAATGTTTATAAACTAAATTGAGTACAATTTATACATTTTTAGTGTTGCAAACAATGTGGTCATCATTTTAGGGACACTTGACATTCATGGATGTGGCCATAGAGTTCTCCCAGGAGGAGTGGACATGCCTGGACCCTGCACAGCAGGCTTTGTACAGGGACGTGATGCTGGAGAACTACAGGAACCTGGTCTCCCTGGGTGAGGACAGTGTCCCTTCAGAAGCCGGGATCTGCTCTAAGCCAGCTTTGCATTTTCTCTTGTGTGCCTGTTGGGAGCCCCTAAATTGCTTAACTGAGTTAGAAACCTTGTTGACTCAGAAATGAAAAGCTCTATTGGGCCGGGTGCGGTGGCTCAAGACTAATCCCATCACGTTGGGAGGCTGAGGCAGGTGGATCACGAGGTCAAGAGATCGAGACCATCTTGGTCAACGTGGTGAAACCCCATCTCTACTAAAAACACAAAAAATTAGCTGGGCATGGTGGCTCACGCCTGTAGTCCCAGCTACTCGGGAGGCTGAGGCATGAGAATTGCCTAAACCCAGGAGGTGGAGGTTGCAGTGAGCCGAGATCGTGCCATTGCACTCCAGCCTGGGTAACAAGAGCAAAACTCTTGTCTCAAAAAAAAAAAAAGAAAAGAAAAGCTCTATTATGCTCTTTGGACTGGAAATGTCTCCTTTCTTCAGATGTTCTGCCCCGTTTGTGATACGTCACTGGGCGGCACCCGATGACCGGTTCTTTCTTTTCTCCCTGTGCTGACAAGTCAGTAGTTCTGGGAAGAGGTCTCGGTGGCTGCGTATTACAGTATTCCCTACGCACTCAGACGGAGGCAGTCTGTGGCTGAACTTGTGAAATATTTTTCTTTCTTACTTTTTTTTTTTTTGAGACAATGGCATGGTCTTGGCTCACTGCAACTCCCCCCTCCAGGTACAAGTGATTCTTCCGCCTCAGCCTCCTGAGTAGCTGGGACTCCAGGCTCGTGCCAGCACACTCGACTAATTTTTGTATTTTTTTTTCTTTTTCGTGTTTTTTTTTCTTCTTCTTCTTCTTCTTTTTAAAATTTTTAAATTACAGCCTCAAGCAGACGGAATTTTTTGTATTTTTAATAGAGATGGGGTTTCACTATGTTGAGCAGGCTGGTCTCAAAGTTCTGACCTCATGATCCACCTGCCTCGGCCTTTCAAAGTGCTGGGATAACAGGCTTGAGCCACCGCGCCCGGCCGCAAGGTTATTCTTCATCCATCTGTAATATCCTCTCTTACGTAAACATGGGGCTTGGATTTTGGAGATGCCCCAGCACATCTTGGTTCTTTCTTTTTATAAACAGGAATCTGTCTTCCTGACCTAAGTATTATCTCCATGTTGGAGCAAAGGAGAGAGCCCTCGACTCTTCAGGGTGAACTTAAAATAGTAAAAATTCAAGACGGACGGGAACGTATCAGAAGTGTGACCGCAGGTAAGAGCTCGGATGGGCAGAGTGGCAGCTGTGGTTTTTATTTTTTTATTTTTTGAGACAGGGTGTTGCACTATCACCCAGGCTGTGGTGCAGTGGCAATCATAGCCCACTGCAGCCTCAAACCCCTAGCTAGACTCAAGCAGTCCTCCTGCCTTGGCCTCCCAAAGTGGTAGAATTACAGCCACATACCTTGCAAAGCCATACAATTGTTTTTTGAGATGTAGTCTTGCTCTGTTACCCAGGCTGGAGTGCAGTGGTGTGATCTCAGCTCACTGTAACTTCCGCCTCCCAGGTTCAAGCGATTCTCGTGCCTCAGCCTCCCCAGTGGCTGGGTGTACAAGCGTGTGCCACCACACACAGCTAATTTTTGTATTTTTAGTGGAGAAGGGATTTCACCATGTTGTCCAGGCTGGACCTCAAGTGATCCGCCTGCTTCGGCCGCCCAAAGTGCTGAGATTACAGACATGAGCCACCACGCCCGGCCGAGTGTGTCTTTTTTTTTTTTTTGAGAAAGTAAAAGAGGGAAAAGAAAAAAAGGGAAAAAGAGAAAAAGAGGGAAAAAGAAATATTACATCATTCCTGAAATAGGTATTAATAATGGCACAATCTGAGCTCACAGCAGTCTGCCTCTCTCAGGTTCAAGTGATTTTTGTGCCTCAGCCACTCGACTAGCTGGAATTACAGGTGTGTGCCAGCACACCTGGTTAATTTTTGTATTTTTAGTAGACAGAGGATTTCACCATGTTGGCCAGGCAGATCTCGAACTCCTAGCCTCAAGTGATATCCACCCACCTCAGCCTCCTAAAGTACTGGGATTACAAGCATGAGCCACTGTGCCTGGTCTGGACATTATTACTTGAATTATTACTTGAATCTCGCAAAAGACAGGGATCCTCTGTCTTCTTCTGAACCCCCAGGAGTTTGTGTATAATTCTGTTTGACAGCATCCCAAAATGTTGGGGTTCGTGTGTTTTTCTTTGTCATTTTTTCTTTCTGTTTTTTATAGCTGATATTTTGAGTATCCTATCTTTAAGATTGCTCATTCATCTCTGTGTCTAATTTAGTCTGCTGTTGAAACCGCTAGTAAATTTTTACTTGGTTGTATTTCAGCTCTAGAATGTTTGGTTTTTGTTTTTGTTTTTTAAGATGGAGTTTTGCTCTTGTTGCCCAGGCTGCTGGAATGCAGTGGTGCAATCTCGGCTCACTGCAACCTCCAAGTCCTTGGTTCAAGCGATTCTGTTGCCTTAGCCTTCCAAGTAGCTGGGATTACAGGTGCCTGCCACCATGCCTGGATAATTTTTGTATTTTTAGTAGAGATGGGGTTTCACCATGTTGGCCAGGCTGGTCTCGAACTCCTGACCTCAGGTGATCCACGCACCTTGGCCTCCCAAAGTGTGGGGATTACAGGCATGAGCCACTGCGCCCAGCAAGAATGTTTGGTTTTTAAAAATTAGTTTCTGGCCAGGCTCAGTGGCTCATGCCTATAATCCCAGCACTTTGGGAGGCCGAGGCAGGTGGATCACGAGGTCAAGACCATCGAGACCATCTTGGTCAACATGGTGAAACCCCGTCTCTACTAAAAATACAAAAATTAGCTGGACATGGTGGCGTGTGCCTGTAATCCCAGCTACTCGGGAGGGTGAGGCAGGAGAATTGCCTGAACCCAGGAGACGGAGGTTGTGGTGAGCTGAGATCGTGCCATTGCACTCCAGCCTGGGTAACAAGAGTGAAACTCCGTCTCAAAAAAAAATTAGTTTCTTTTACTGATAGATACAACCTTGGTCATTTTGGAAAAAAAAAAAAGAAAAAAAAAATGGTGTGTCTTTTGCTTGATATTCTCTATATTATTATGTATTGTTCTCCTGAATTCAGTTACTTGTCTGTTCCTTAGCAGCTGGGATTACAGGCACATGCCCACATGCCCAGCTGGATTTTTTTGACTTTTAGTAGCGATGAAGTCTTGCTGTGTCACCAGGCTGCTTCTGAACTGCACTCACACAGTCCTCCTGCCTCAGCCTCCCAAAATACTGAGATTACAGGCACGAGCCACCATTCCCAGCCTCCTTAAACGTCTTAAGGCATTTGCTTTAAGTATTCTTCAAGTAATTCACAAGATTACATGTTTTTAGGTTTGGTTTCTGAAGATTTATACATTTATTATTATTTTGGCCTTTTAGCCATATTTCCCCATCTTTTTGTAGGCCTTGTACCTCTCATTTTAGGTTTGGTAAAACTAAACTACTTCTTTCAGTTGTTTTATGTAAGAATTGTGGCCGGGCGCGGTGGCCAAAGTCTGTAATCCCAGCCCTTTGGGAGGCTGAGATGGGTGGATCACGAGGTCAAGAGATTGAGACCATCCTGGTCAACATGGTGAAACCCCATCTCTACTACAAATATAAAAAATTAGCTGGGCATGGTGGCGCGTGCCTGTAGTCCCAGCTACTCAGGAGGGTGAGGCAGGAGAATTGCCTGAACCTGGGAGGCGGAGGTTGCGGTGAGCCGAGATCATGCCATTGCACTCCAGCCTGGGTAACAAGAGTGAAACTCCGTCTCAAAAAAAAAAAAAAAAAAAAAAAAAAAGGAAACCTTTCCCGAGTAGCCTATTATAGAGAGTGTGGGGACCCCCAGTCCTTTTCTGGGGATGTGTCTTTCCTAGCTTTATGCATATATTATACTATTACTAATGTCCATACAACTGCTCTTAAATGTCTTATTTTCTCTAAGGGGCTCATCCCTGCTTTTTTTTCTTTTCTTTTTTTTGAGACGGAGTTTCGCTCTTGTTACCCAGGCTGGAGTGCAATGGCGCGATCTCGGCTCACCGCTACCTCCGCCTCCTGGATTGAGGCAATTCTCCTGCCTCAACCTCCTGAGTAGCTGGGATTACAGGCACGTGCCACCATTCCCAGCTAATTTTTTGTATTTTTAGTAGTGACAGGGTTTCACCATGTTGACCAGGATGGTCTCGATCTCTTGACCTCGTGATCCACTCACTTCGGCCTCCCAAAGTGTTGGGATTACAGGCGTGAGCCACCGCGCCCGACTATCCCTGGTTTTTCTGAGAAGCTTTCAGTTTCTGTTCTATTTCTCTGCCCTTTATCTTTCTCAACGTCACCATAATCCTTCCGAGTCCTGCAGATTCCCCACTGCTCCAGTGCATCAAGTCACCCCCTTGTGTTTTCAGCTTTCATAATGTGACACACAACGTATACCGATACTTTTTTTTTTTGAGACTGAGTTTCACTCTTGTTACCCAGGCTGGAGTGCAATGGCACAATCTCGGCTCACTGCAACCTCCGCCTCCTGGGTTCAAGTGATTCTCCTGTCTCAGCCTCCCAAGTAGCTGGGATTACAGGCCGGCGCCACCATGCCCGGCTATTTTTTTTGTATTTAGTAGAGACAGGGTTTCACCATGTTGGCCAGGATGGTCTCGATCTCTTGACCTTGTGATCCACCCGCCTTGGCCTCCCAACGTGCTGGGATTACAGGCGTGAGCCACCGAGCCCAGCCATATACCGATAATTCTAGTGTCTGAGTTGGGTGGGACAGATTCCAGTGCCTCCACCAGACTGTAAACATGCCAGAATCATGGGTTTCTGTTCTACTCTTCCTTGCTTTTCTAGGGAGAAGCTGTATATTAAGAAGCAATGCAGGAAACAAGCCTATTAAAAATCAACTTGGATTAATCCTTGAGTCACATCTGCCTGAATTGCAGCTGTTTCAAGCTGGAAGGAAAATTTACAGAAGTAATCGAGGTGAAACGTTCACAAACCATAGTTCCTCAGTTTCACCACTTCAAAAAATTTCTTCTCATTTCACAACACACATTTTTAATAAATACAGAAATGGTTTGATTGATTTCCCATTACTCCCACAAGAAGAGAAGGTAGACCTTAGAGGAAAATCTTATGAATGTGAAGGTGGCAAAGCCTTTAGAGTGTCTGGAAGCCTGACTAACCATCGAGTAATCCATACAGATAAACCTTACCAATGTACTAAATGTGGCAAGGTCTTCAGTCGGAATTCACACCTATTAGAACATTGGAGAATTCATACTGGACAGAAGCCTTACAAATGTAGTGAATGTGACAAAGTGTTTAATCGCAACTCAAACCTTGCTCGACATCAAAGAATCCATACTGGAGAGAAGCCTCACAAATGTAAGGAATGCGGCAAAGCATTTAGAGAGTGTTCAGGACTTACTGCCCATCTTATAGTCCATACTGGAGAGAAACCTTATAAGTGTAATGAGTGTGGCAAGAACTTTAGGCACAAATTTTCTCTCAGCAATCATCAGAGAAGTCACACTGCAGAAAAACCTTATAAATGTAAGGAATGTGGCAAGGTCTTTAGTCTGCTTTCATACCTTGCACGGCATCAAATAGTTCATAGCACAGAGAAGCCTTATACATGTAATGAATGTGGAAGAGCATTTCGCAAGCGTTCTGGCCTCATGGCCCATCTTCTCATCCATACTGGAGAGAAACCTTACAAATGTAATGAATGCGGCAAGGTCTTTGGGCGCAAATTATACCTAAGCAACCATCAGAGAATTCATACTGGAGACAGGCCTTACAAGTGTAATGCATGTGGCAAGGTCTTCAATCAAAATCCACACCTTGCACGACATCGGAAAATTCACGCTGGAGAGAATTCGCTGCGCCCCTTCCAGATGCAATGAATGTGACAAAGTCTTTAGTTAAAATTCATACCTGGCACAACAATGGAAGACTCAGGAGCAAAGCCTTACAGATATTGTAAAATGTGGCAAAGAATTTAGTTTCCATTCAAGCCTTATTACCCATCTGTTGATCCACCCTGAAAGGAAACCTTACAAATGTAAAGCTGATGACATATATATCAGTAATATATAAAGAGAGAACAGGGCTGGGTACGATAGCTCACACGTGTAATCCTAATAGTTTGGGAGGCTGAGGCGGGCGGATCATGAGGTCAGGAGTTCGAGACCAGCGTGGCCAACATGGGGAAACTCTGTCTCTACTAAAAATACAAGTAGTGGCACATGACTGTAATCCCAGCTACTCGAGAGACTGAGGCAGATCACTTGAACCCGGGAGGCACTGGGATTACAGGTGTGAACCACCATGCCCAGCCTAGTTTAAATTTTTCTTAGTGTGAATGCATACATGCTTTTTACCAACATTGTTTAATCTTACCTCAGGAGGATAATTTATAGCACAGATAATGTCCCATTAGGATTTGAAGATTGAAGCAGCCAGAACTGTGTCGTGTGAGTGTGTGAGACATAACATACACTTGGGTACACATACTTCGGTAAGTATGATTTTGAGTAATTACATGTAGTACTCGCGTCGTTCTTTGTATGCTGGAGTAGGATGCTTGCTTACGTGGGGAAAGTGAAAAATCAGTTTGTGAGTAGCGGTGCCATTTCAGCCTTGTACACCCTCACGTGTACACCAGTGTTCATGAGCATGCCCTGTCTTATGTTTCTGTGTGCCCCTTTCTTGTGTACCCAATAAGACCCATGGTGTGCACCTTCATTTTCGTGCAGCAAAAAGAAATAGTAATACAACAAATAGTATGAAATAAGGTATGGGCTTGGGGGTAGAAATGCTGTAACATAATTTCTTTTTGTACCTGTACTCTGTGACGTAATTTGGAAGTATTCATGTTCATCCGTCTTTGAAGTGTAAGCACGCAGGGAATTTTGTTTGGGTGAATTAACTAGAAACTTCGTATAGTCACCCTCTCACGTGTTTTGGTGATACGTTAACTAGAAACTTCCTACAGTCACCCTCTCACATGTTTTGGTGATACATTAACTAGAAACTTCATACGGTCACCCTCGCGAGTGTTTTGGTGATATGTTCACTAGAAACTTCATACAGTAGCCCTCACAAGTGTTTTGGTGATTTGAACTTCTGACCACTCTTCTGGAACTTGTGTAAGTCTCCCTGAGGGTTGGCGTGGATATTGAGAATGATGACACCATACACTGACGTGGTCTGAGAGTGTTCGTTAATAATGAGGCTTTTTGGCAAAAGCAGGGTATACTTTTCCACCTGGTCCAAAAGTGGCTTCAGGGAAGTGAGATAGGTGACTGGCTTAGGGGTGTGCCCACTTGTTTGAAATTCCAGTTGGTTCCAGAGGAGTGGGCACTGGGGCTTCATTATGATTTGACCAGATCCACATAGTAGGAAGAGGGAGTGAGAGGTGTACACGGTGTGAGTGTTCAGACATAACACAGGCAACTCTAGTGCAACACTGAGTATTTCCTCTCGAAACTCCTGCCAGCGTGGTTAGGAAAGACCCCAGTTCTCTTCATGGTAACACCTTACTCTATTCCTTTTATGGATGCAGATAGAGGTCTCATTGCACAATATCACTGTTGAAATGCTTGTGAAATAGAGTTTAGTAAAATTACCTAAGGTTTTTTTTTAACAGTAGTTCAATGAAAATCATTCTGTGGAAGTGTTTATAATAAATATCATATAATTTTATAATACCTAATTATAGAATAAATATGACATAATTTTGTAATGTATTACCTAATAAATGACAATTTGTCATCTATATTATACAATAAATACAATTTTACAACAGCATTTTTCCAAAAGCTATGGATAGGTCATTTTCAGATTATGGGATTATGCAATGTATTCCATGCTTCACTTTAAATTGTAGTAAAATTATATTTTTTGTGTGTATATATATTTTTACATTTTTTCATATGTTGCATCCAAATTCAATGTTTACTACATTTCTACCGGGCGCGGTGGCTCACGCCTATAATCCTAGCACTTTGGGAGGCCGAGGGGGTGGATCACGAGGTCAAGAGATCGAGACCATCCTGGTCAACAAAATGCAACCTTGTCTCTACTAAAAATACAAAAACTAGCTGGGCATGGTGGCGCGTGCCTGTAATCCCAGCTACTCAGGAGGCTGAGGCAGGAGAATTGCTTGAACCCAGGAGGTGGAGGTTGCGGTGAGCCTAGATCGTGCCATTGCACTCCGGCCTGGGTAACGAGCGAAACTCTGTCTCAAAAAAACAAGAAAAAAGAAACATTTCTTCTCTGTTGCTCTCGTGAAAACGTTACAGGACAAATAAATGAGGATGTTGATTGGAGACAAAATTTTGTGACACAAGACAGCATGGTGGCATGACCCTGTAGTCCCAGGTACTTGGGAGGCTGACGTGGGAGGATCACTTGATCCCAGGAGGTCCAGGCTGCAGTCAGTGAGCTGTGATTGTGCGACTGCACTCCAGCCTGGGGGACAGAGTGACACCGTCTCAAAGAATTTGTGACATGAGTGTCCCATAAGACAATGGCAGTTACAGACTAGGTTTAAAATCAATATGAAAAAATACTTTTACTCTGTTGAAGACTTCAAATCATGTGAAGGGATTCCAGCCCTTTATTATTTTCAGATTTTCTGGATGTTCTGGCTTTTGGGTTTTTGTTTGCTTGGTTTTTTTTTTTTTTTTCTTTTTTTTTTGGCATTTCATAATATTGAATAATCTTGTCAGTTATCTACAAAATGCCTTGATAGGAAATATATTAATCCCATGTATCAGTGTAGGGTAATTTCACATTGTTTGCTGAGTCTTCCAATACCAGGATGTTACATATGTGTCTATTGGGTCTTTTTTCAGGATTTTGTAGTTTTAACATAAAAGTCCTGTAAGTGTTTTGTTAGACTGACACATATTTCTTCAACCATTTTTACTGTATTTTTTTTTTTGAGATGGAGTTTTGCCCTTGTTGCCCAGGCTGGAATGCAGTGGTACGATCTTGGCGCACCGCAACCTTTACCTCCTGGGTTCAAGCAATTCTGCTTCAGCCTCCCGAGTACCTGGGACTATAGGCACGCGCCACCATGCCCAGCTAATTTTTGTATTTTTAGTAGAGACGGGGTTTCATTTTGTTGCCCAGGCTGGAATGCAGTGGTTCGATCTTGGCACACTAAAATCTCCGCCTCCCAGGTTCAAGCAATTCTCCAGCCTCAGCCTCCCAAGTAACTGAGATTACAGGCACCCAATACCAGGCCCTGTTCATTTTTTGTACTTTTAGTAAGAGACTAATTTTCACCATGTTGGCCCGGCTGGACTTGAACCCCTGACCTCAGGGATTCAACCGCCTTCGCCTCCCAAAGTGCTGAGATTATAGGTGTGAGCCACTGTACCCGGCCCTTGTATCCTTTTTCTACTGACCCTTGTGATCATATCATTTTATTAGAGAAACCAGGGCGAACTTTCATCTCAAGATCCTTAAGTGATCACATTTGCAAACTCTTAGCACATAAACTAACCCAGACTGTGTGGATGGAAATAGGGACATCGGTTGGAAGGACATGATTCATTCTATCATAATTATCATACATTCCGATAATGGATATTCTATTATATCTTCCTTTCTGGTATCATATTTATATGTCTTTTTTCCTTTATTTCACTGGCTACGTGCCTAATACTGTGTTCAGTAGAGTAACTTGCTATAGTCTCAATCTCTTGAAATATTTTCAAATGTGAAACATTTAAGTTTTTTTTTCTTTTTTTTGAGACAGAGGTTCGCTCTTGTTACCCAGACTGGAGTGCAATGGCGCGATCTCGGCTCACCGCAACCTCCGCCTCCTGGGTTCAGGCAATTCTCCTGCCTCAGCCTCCCGAGTAGCTGGGATTACAGGCACGCACCACCATGCCCAGCTAATTTCTTGTATTTTTAGTAGAGACGGGGTTTCACCTTGTTTACCAGGATGGTCTCGATCTTTTGACCCCGTGATCCACCCGCCTCGGCCTCCCAAAGTGCTTGGATTACAGGCGTGAGCCACCGCGCCCGGCAGGTAGTTCTATTTTTAAGTTTCTGAGATCCCGCCCAGGCGGGAGTGGATTGGCCCGGATCTGGGCTCACTGCAGCCTCCAACTGATGGACTCAAGCGATCCTCCCGCCTCAGCTTCCGGGGTAGCTAGGACCACAGGCGAGCGCCCCTACGACCGCCTTAAAATTAATTTTAATAGCAGAAATTTTTGTGGATCTTATCACCAACCGAGTTTCCCCGCCGGGGCACGATCTGTTTTCAGGAAACTGAGTTGCTGCAGAGTCCAAGGCAGGTCCCGCCTCCAAACCCGAGGAGCCGGGAATGAGGCGAAGAGAAGCGCAGTCCCCGCCCAATCCCGCCGGACCTGGCCTCTCGGCTGCGCGCGCAGTTTCCTGGAGACCCGGAAGCGGATTACGTGGAGTGACCGTTATGCTGCGGCGTGTGAGTTTCCCTTTGTTTAGATTAAATCTGGGATGCCGGGCTGGGCGCGGTGGCTCAGGCCTGTAATCCCAGCACTTTGGGATGCCGAGGCGGGTGGGTCACGAGGTTAACAGATCGAGACCGTCCTTGTCAACATGGTGAAACCCCGTCTCTACTGAAAATACAAAAAATTAGCGGGGCGTGGTGGCGCGTGCCTGTAATCCCAGCTACTCGGGAGGCTGAGGCAGGAGAATTGCCTGAACCCAGGAGGCGGAGGTTGCCGTGAGCCGAGATCGCGCCACTGCACTCCAGTCTGGGTAACAAGAGCGAAACTCCGTCTCAAAACAAAAAATGAACAAAATCTGGGATGCCGATTCCCTTCTCGCTTCTATACCCGGCGTTTCCGGGGACACAGAGACCTTGAAATCCCCGCACGGTTTCCTCCTCCCCGAGTAAACTCAGACATTCTAAGAGTCCAGCAGTCACTTCACTTTTTTTTTTTTTTGAGGTGGACTTTTGCTCTCGTTACCCAGGCTGAAGTGCAATGGCGCGATCTCGGCTCATCGCAACCTCCGCCTCCTGGGTTGAAACAATTCTCCTGCCTCAGCCTCCCAAGTAGCTGGGACTACAGGCGCGCGCTACCGTGTCCAGCTAATTTCTGTATTTTGAGTAGAGACGGGGTTTCACCTTGTTGACCAGGATGTTCTCTATTTCTTGACCTCGTGATCCACCCGCCTCGGCCTCCCAAAGTGCTGGGATTACAGGCGTGAGCCACCGCGCCCGGCCGATTTTTTCTTTTTATCACGTTAATATTGATTAAACGTCATATATTGATTGATTGATTCTTCTCACAACCCAGTTTGGACAGAACATTAAATTTTAAATGATTAGGCTGGGCGCAGTGGCTCACACCAGTAATCCCAGCAGTTTGGGAGGTCGAGGCAGGCAGATCACGTGAGGTTTTTGTGGGATGCATTTGTATTTTCATTGTTTTAAAAAGTGTTAGTTTAATAATTCTTAATTTTTTTAATTGACTCGCTGTTAATTCTGGAGTATGTCTCAAGGAAGCTGAGTAGCTGAGGGACAACATGTTTAATATAAGTGTGGAAAATGGTTATTTCTTCTGAGACGAGGGGCCTCTGGTTTCTAGGAACAGACTTTGAGAGTTACAGCTTTAATTACGGCAGGGAGGCTCAGGGAACTGTAAAAGAAAACGTTCTTTTCAGCCTCACCCAGTGCCCCCTGTGCTCAGCAGTTGGGACAGTAAATGGGATGAGCTGCAGGATTACACTTAGGCAAAGCCTTGGCTCTCCACCCAGCATCCACGCTCACCCTGCACACACTTCTGTCCTTCCATATTGTCTTCTCGAGACAGGCAGAGCTGCTGTGCTGCTTCCCTAGTTGTGTTGTGTGGTCGGTCTTTTTGTGCCTCTCCTCCCCACCCCCTCAGGTCTTTGACCTTCCTTTCTATTGCTCTCCTCAGACTTTCACTTCTTGCAGTTGCACTATCAGGTGGCCTCACCCAAGACCCAAGGATTTAGATCTGTGAATAATATTCAAGCCAACATCATTGCCAAGTGAGAAATCTTTTTTTTTTCTTTTTGAGACAGAGCCTTGCTCTGTTGCCCAGGCTGGAGTGCAGTGGTGCAATCTCGGCTCCCTGCAACCTCTGCCTCCTGGGTTCAAGCAATTCTTCTGCCTCAGCCTCCCGAGTAGCTGGGATTACCGGCACATGCCACCATGCCTGGTTAATTTTTGTGTTCTTAGTAGACGGGGTTTCACCATGTTGGCCAGGCTGGTCTCAAACTCTTGACCTCGTAATCTGCCCGCCTTGGCCTCCCAAAGTGCTGGGATTTCAGGCATACGCCACTGTGCCCGTTCCATAAGTGAGAAATCTTTAACCCCAGGACCTTTTCTCTGTGGAGGGATCTTGGCAGCATAGAAACTTCTCTTTCTGCAGAGTTTAGTCTCTTATTGGAAAAGCAGGTCACTGCTCCTGCTCAGCTCCCTCTCACTCACAATGGACACCATCCCAAGTACACTGGCATGCCCTCTGGCATGGCCTTCATTTTGGGGGCCGGAACCCTCAACACACCCATCCCCCAAAGCGAAGGCAATGCCAGAGGGTGTGTGAGTGTCACTGTGTCACTCTTTTACCCAGTAAATGCAGAGAATGTATTTTACTCCCACCTTTGCTGTTCTCACCAGGGATGAAAATGGGAAAACAACAGAATAGATACTTCTATCCTACTTAGTTAATTTTTTTGAGAAGAGGGGAGGAGTGAGAAAGGGAGGAAGAGAAAAAAGGGAGGAAAACAAAAGTCTAGTTTAAGTGTTGGATTTCTATTGCTAATATTTTGTTAAGAATTTCTACATCTTAGCTGGGCGCGGTGGCTCACGCCTATAATCCCAGCACTTTGGGAGGTCGAGACAGGTGGATCACGAGGTCAAGAGATCCAGACCATCTTGGTCAACAAGGTGAAACCCCGTCTCTACTAAAAATACAAAAATTAGGTGGGCACAGTGGTGCGTGCCTGTAGTCCCAGCTACACAGGAGGCTGAGGCAGGAGAATTGCCTGAACCCAGAAGGCGGAGGTTGCGGTGAGCCGAGATTGCGCCATTGCATTCCAATCTGGGTAACAAGAGCGAAACCCTGTCTCAACCCAGAATTTCTGCGTCTTTATTTATGAGGGACTTAGCTTTCAGTCACCATTTTTTCCTTGAAAGTATGTTTGTCTAGTTTTGGTGCCACTTAATTTTCAGACACTTTTTTTTCTGCTAATGTCTTTGCTTAGCTTTGGTTTCATGCTAATACTGATCTCATTAGTTGAGTGGGACTCCCATAATCATTGTGGGATTATTCACAATAGCCAAGATGGGTCAGCAACCCAAATGTCTCTTGATGGATGGGTGGATAAGAGAAATTCCCTCCTCTTCTACATTGTGAAAGAAATTCTGTACAATTGCTGTAAGTAATTCTTTACAAATCTGACAAAATTGTCTAGTGTCACCATCTGTTCCTGTATATTTCTTCATTTGGGATAATTTTTTTCCTTCTGAGACAGAATTTCACTCTTGTCACATGGCCTGGAGTGTAATAGCCTGATCTCACTTACTGTAACTTCCACCTCCCAGGTTCAAGTGATTCTCCTGTCTCAGCCTCCTGAGTAGTTGGGATTACAGACACCTGCCACTACACCTGGCTAATTTTTAAATTTTTATTAGCAGTGGGGTTTTGCTATGTTGGCCAGGCTGGTCTCGAACTGCTGACCTCAGGTAATCTGTCCGCTTTGGCCTCCCAAAGTACTAGGATTACAGGTGTAAGCCATCGTACCTGACTGGTAATTTTTAATTGAGAAAATAATACAAGGGCCAGGTGCGGTGGCTCACGCCTGTAATTTCAGCACTTTGGGAGGCCGAGGCAGGTGGATCACGAGGTCAAGAGATCGAGACCATCCTGGTCAACATGGTCAAACCCCGTCTCTACTAAAAATACAAAAAATCAGCTGAGCATGGTGGCGCATGCCTGTAATCCCAGCTACTCAGGAGGCTGAGGCAGAAGAATTGCCCGAACCCAGGCGGTGGAGGTTGCGATGAGTCGAGATCGCGCCATTGCACTCCACCCAGGGTGACAAGAGCCAAACTCCGTCCCAAAACAAAAAACAGAAACCAAAATATGACCTCTAGCCCTTAACAGATTTTTAAGTGTACAATTCAATACTAATCAGTACAGGCATTCTTATAGAGCACATAGTTATGTATCACACATAGATATATATCCAGAAGTTAGTCACCTTGCATAACCGAAATTTTATATCCTGTATCTAGCAAATATTTTCCCGCCCATCTTCATCCTCTGGCAACCAGCATTCTACTCTATGTTTTTATATGTCTAACTCATTAGACACGTAATTGATATAACTGGCATTGTGTTGTATTTCCCTCTCTCTCTCCCTCTCTCTCTTTTTTAGCTCCTTTCTCCGTTTACCAGTATTTGTCTTTTTGTGACTGGTTGATTTCAGTTACCCTGTTGTGCTCAAGGTTTATTCGTGTTGTCATATTTGAGGGAATTTCCTACTTTTTAAAGGCTGAATAAGATTCCATTCCATGTATATACCATAATTTTGTTATCCACCATTAATAGACATTCGGGTGGCTGACCCATCTTGGCTATTGTGAATAATGATTATAGGAGTGCAAATATGTTTTTATGATCCTGATCTCAGTTCTGGATAAAATCCTAGAGGTGGAATTGCTGTATTAATGTGGTAGTTCTATTTTTTTTTTTTTTTTTGAGACTGAGTTTAGCTGTTGTTACCCAGACTGGAGTGCAATGGCAGAATCTCGGCTCATCGCAACCTCCGCCTTCTGGCTTCAAGCAATAATTCTCCTGCCTCGGCCTCCCGAGTAGCTGGGACTATAGGCGCGCACCACCATGCCCAGCTAATTTTTGTATTTTTAGTAGAGACGGGGTTTCACCATGTTGACAAGGACAGTCTCGATCTCTTAACCTCGTGATCCACCTGCCTCGGCCTCCCAAAGTGCTGGGATTATAGGCGTGAGCCACCGCGCCCGGCCAAAACTTGTGATATTCTTTCAATTAGTGTAGATTTCTAATTTTGTGGACAACAAAAGAAATAGAAAAAATTAACCCACAGTTACCTCTATGGTAGCAGATACTATTTTTTTTTTTTTTTTTTGAGACGGAGTTTCGCTCTCGTTACCCAGACTGGAGTGCCATGGCGCGATCTCGGCTCACAGCAACCTCCGCCCCCTGGGTTCAGGCAATTCTCCTGCCTCAGCCTCCTGAGTAGCTGGGATTACAGGCACGCGCCACCATGCCCAGCTAATTTTTGTATTTTTAGTAGAGACGGGGTTTCACCATGTTGACCAGGATGGTCTCGATCTCTTGACCTCGTGATCCACCCGCCTCGGCCTCCCAAAGTGCTGGGATTACAGGCGTGAGCCACCGCGCCCCGCAGGTAGTTCTATTTTTAAGTTTCTGAGATCCCGCCCAGGCGGGAGTGGATTGGCCCGGATCTCGGCTCACTGCAGCCTCCAGCTGATTTGGACTCAAGCGATCCTCCCGCCTCAGCTTCCGGGGTAGCTAGGACCACAGGCGAGCGCCCCTACGACCGCCTTAAAATTAATTTTAATAGCAGAAATTTTTGTGGATCTAATCACCAACAGAGTTTCCCCGCCGGGGCACGATCTGTTTTCAGGAAACTGAGTTGCTCCAGAGTCCAAGGCAGGTCCCGCCTCCAAACCCGAGGAGCCGGGAATGAGGCGAAGAGAAGCGCAGTCCCCGCCCAATCCCGCCGGACCTGGCCTCTCGGCTGCGCGCGCAGTTTCCTGGAGACCCGGAAGCGGATTACGTGGAGTGACCGTTATGCTGCGGCGTGTGAGTTTCCCTTTGTTTAGATTAAATCTGGGATGCCGGGCCGGGCGCGGTGGCTCAGGCCTGTAATCCCAGCACTTTGGGATGCCGAGGCGGGTGGGTCACGAGGTTAACAGATCGAGACCGTCCTTGTCAACATGGTGAAACCCCGTCTCTACTGAAAATACAAAAAATTAGCTGGGCGTGGTGGCGCGTGCCTGTAATCCCAGCTACTCGGGAGGCTGAGGCAGGAGAATTGCCTGAACCCAGGAGGCGGAGGTTGCCGTGAGCCGAGATCGCGCCATTGCACTCCAGCCTGGGTAACAAGAGCGAAACTCCGTCTCAAAACAAAAAACAAACGAGCAAAATCTGGGATGCCGATTCCCTTCTCGCTTCTATACCCGGCGTTTCCGGGGACACAGAGACCTTGAAATCCCCGCACGGTTTCCTCCTCCCCGAGTAAACTCAGACATTCTAAGAGTCCAGCAGTCACTTCACTTTTTTTTTTTTTTTTTTTTTTAAAATGGAGTCTCGCTGTGTCTCCCAGGCTAGAGTGCAATGGCGCGATCTCGGCTCACGGCGACCTCAGCCTCGCGGGTTGACGCGATTCTCCTGCCTCAGCCTCCCAGGTAGCTGGGACTACAGGCGCGCGCCACCATGCCCAGCTAATTTTTGTATTTTTAGTAGAGACGGGGTTTCGCCATGTTGGCCAGGATGTTCTCTATTTCTTGACCTCGTCATCCATCCGCCTCGGCCTCTTAAAGTGCTGGGATTACAGGCGTGAGACACCGCGCCGGCCTTCCCTGAGTGTTAATAGCGCTCGGAGGCTGGTCCGGTCCCCGGTGTTTCATTACGGGACCAAGTAGACAGCTCCTATTGCCGAGTTTTCCTCCTTCAGACCCCCTAGACACGCCCCGCGCCGCGTAAAGTTCTCACCTGCTAGATGGGTCCAAGTCTCTCTGGTCCCCCAAGCCTCGCCCTCTTTTCACAGGCCTGCCCCTTTTTTTGTGCCCTAAATGAGAGGAAATCTATTTGATGTTTATTACTGATTGTGATGTTTCAATCTCCATTGGACTTTTCCTAATACCTAAATATTTGGTTGAGAAAATTATGTTTTGTTTAGTGCAAAAGTAATGACAAAACCGTGATCACTTTTGCACCAACCTAATATTTATGTCCAGGGGGAGTGGCATGGTCCTGGAATCCTATTTTCTCCAGAGTCTCAGGCTGGAGAATTCTTTGAGCACAGTAGTTTGAGACCACTCTGGGCAACATAGTGAGGCTCCCATCTCAATTTTTAAAACAGTATGGGTGTTTAATAGAGATTGGAATTCAAGTTTCTATGTTTTTACATGATCTTTTTTCACTGGTTTAATATGCAGTAACGTTTATAAAGTGAATTGAGCACAATTTATACATTTTTATTCTTGCAAACGTGCTGAAATGTACATTAGCAAAAACAAGGACACCCAGGCACAGTGGTGCATGCACACCTATCATTCTAGCTAGTCGGAGAGGGTGTCATTTGAGGCCAGGAGTTCAAGGCTGTATTGTGCAATGAATAAGCCCCTTCCCTGCAACCTGGGCATAGAAAAAACAAAAAGACAAATATAATTTAAAAAAGAAGGCACTGAGAGACAACTCTGTCAGGTGTCATGTATATGTTTACTAGAGTATATGTGTGTATATATATGTATTTGTGTAAGTGTGTACATGTTTGCATGAGTGCACAGATGAGTCTATGGTTTTTATGAAAGGCACATCATAAGTTTACATACATTTTACATTTTTGAATTGTTGAAATTACATCTTAAATATTTTCATGATTTTAAAATTGTTCTATACTGTTATAGTGAGTTTATGATTTTAAGAATAGCAACCTCTTATGGGGACACCTGTGCGAGTTTTTTGATTTTAATCCTGGAAATTGTTTTAACTTTACTCAAATAGGTCTTTGTCTGTCAGTTTACTTTTGATGCTGCTTTGATACTTCATCGTTTGATCTCTTTTTGTCTTTTACTTTTTTTGAGAAGGAATCTTGCTCTGTCACCCAGGCTGGAGGGCAGTACCACCATCTCAGGTCATTGCAACCTCAGCCTTGGGTTAAAGTGATTCTCCTGCCTCGGCCTCCCAGGTCCTGAGATTACAGGTGCCCACCACGATGCCTGGTTAGTTTTTTTTTATTTTTGGTAGGGATCGGATTTTACCATGTTGACCATGCTGGTCTTGAACTCCTGACCTCAAATAATCCATCTGCCTCGGCCTCCCAAAGTGCTGGGATTACAGGTGTGAGTCACCGCACCTGGCCTGATTCTTAAAGTTTTATTCTAATGCTGAAACACCTGGCATCCGGTGCTTACTCTGCCATGTTTAGCCTTCACACCTGGGGCAAGTTTCTTAGTGTGTCTGTGAAAGAGTTGTCTCCTCAGTAGGATGGGAACAGATTTTTCTTTCATGGGCTTTTGTTGTTATAGCAGTTAGTACATGTAAAACATTTAGAATACGGCTTGTCACATGGGAAGTATTCAAAAGTTTCATCCTGGCTGAACTCAGTGGCTCGTGCCTGAAATCCCAGCGCTTTGGGAGTTTTGGGCAGGCTGATCACTTGAGGCCAGGAGTTTAAGACTAGCCTGGCCAACATGGTGAAACGCCATCTGTATTAAAAATACAAAAATTTGCTGGGTGTGGTGACGTGTGCACCTGTAATCCCGAACTACTCCTAGAGGTTTAGTCAGGAGAATCACTTTAACCCGGGATGTGGAGGTCACAGTGAGTCTAGACTGCAGTACTGCACTCCAGCCTGTTTGAGCAAGACTCCATCTCAAAAAACAAACAACAACGAAACAGAAGCTTCAGCCATTGCTGTTGCTATAGCATCACAGCTTCCAGATTCTGATCATTTTGCAAAACCGCTAGAGACATTGTCATCTCTGAAGATCCCAGTTATATTTCAGGTAGATGCTGAATATCACTTGCCGTATTAAAAATAGTATCTGACACGGCCCGGCCCAGTGTCTCAAGCCTGAAATCCCAGCACTTTGGGAGGCCGAGGCAGGTGGATCACGAGGTCAACAGATCGAGACCATCCTGGTCAACATAGTGAAACCCCATCTCTACTAAAAATGCAAAAAATTAGCTGGGCATGGTGGCGCGTGCCTGTAGTCCCAGCTACTCAGGAGGCTGAGGCAGGAGAATTGCAAGTTTTGGCCGGGCACCGTGGCTCATGCCTATAATCCCAGCACTTTGGGAGGCTGAGGTGGGTGGATCATGAGGTCAAGAGATCAAGACCATCCTGGTCAATAAGGTGAAACCCCGTCTCTACTAAAAATAGAAAAATTAGCTGGGCATGGTGGTGCACACCTGTAGTCCCAGCTACTCGGGAGGCTGAGGCAGGAGAATTGCTTGAACCCAGGAGGCGGAGGTTGCGGTGAGCCGAGATCGTGCCATTGCACTCCAGCCTGGGTAACAACAGTAAAACTCCGTCTCCATAAAAAAACAAAATCATAAGTTTTTATGCAGAAATACAATAAAACACAATTAGAAACACATAACCAGCTCAATAATACCTTCATGTTGATTTGTCAGAATGTTCACTTCAATCAAGTCATTCCCTAGAATTGTTTTCTCATTTTGTGTGATTCCCTGTTGGTGAAATGTGTTTTTTATTTTAGGGACATTTGACATTCAGGGATGTGGCCATAGAATTCTCTCAGGAAGAGTGGAAATGCCTGGAGCTTGCTCAGAGGGCTTTGTACAGGGACGTGATGCTGGAGAACTACAGGAACCTGGTCTCCCTGGGTGAGGAGAATGTCCCTCCAGAAGTCGGGATCTGCCCTGATGTATTTTTTTGCATTTTCTTATGTGACTCTTAGTATCTTAGGAGTCAATGTATTGCTTGACTGAGGTTGTAACCCTGTTGACTTAGAAATGAAAACTCCACAATGCTTGATAATGCTGTATTTTTCAGAAACGACACGCTCCATAATGCATTCTGTACTTAAAATAGCTGCTGTCTTCAGATGTTCTGCCTCCTTCATAATTCATTCCTGAGTGGTACCAGGGCTTAAGTATGCATCAATCCTTATGACAGACTTAGATATATAGTTTTGGCTCAGTGCAGTGGCTCATGCCTGTAATCCCAGCACTTTGGGAGGCCAAGGCGGGCAGATCACCTGAGGTCAGGAGTTTGAGGCCAGCCTGGCCAACGTGGTAAAACCCTGTCTCTACTAAAAATGCAAAAACTAGCTGGGCATGGTGTTGGGCACCTGTAATTCCAGCTACTCAGGAGGCTGAGGTAGAAGAATTGCTTGAACATAGGAAACAGAGGTTGCAATGAGTGGAGATCGTGCCACTGCACTCTAGCCTGGGCAACGGAGCGAGACTCCATCTAAAAAAAAAAAAAAAAAGATATCCACCCCCATGCTTATGAGTCATTAGTTCTTGCAAGAGAGCTGGATGCCTGTATTTCCTCAGCCTTTAGAAGGAGGCAGTCATCGGACGAATTGCTGAAATATTCTTGATTCATTTATAATATCCTCTCTCCTACCCAGACATAGTGCTTGGATTTTGCAGATGCCACAGCACACATTTATTCTTTCTTTTTATAAATAGGAATCTGTCCTTATGACCTGAGTATTATCTCCACGTTGGAGCAAAGTGGAGGTCCCTGGAACCTGCAGAGTGAAGTGAAGATAGCAAACACTCCAGATGGCAGGGAGTGCATCAAAGGTAAGACCCTGAATGGGTAGAGTGTGGGCACCATAATTTATTTTGAGACAGAGTCTCTCTCTGCCATCAGGCTGCAGTGCAGTGGTGCGATCTTGGCTCACTGCAACCTCCACTTCCCAGGTTCAAGCGATTCTCCTGCCTCAGCCTCCTGAATAGCTGGGCCTACAGGCACCCACCTGTAATCACAGCTACTCCAGAGGTTGAGGCAAGAGAATCACTTGATTTTTACCAGAAAATTTTTTGTATTTTTATTACAGGCGAGGTTTAACCATGTTGATCAGGATGATCTCGATCTCCTAACCTCGTGATCTGCCTGCCTTGGCCTCGAAAAGTGCTGGGATTACAGGCATGAGCCATCACGCCTGAGCTTAATTAATTAATTGATTGATTCTATTTATCTATTTATTTTGAGTTTCTCTCAGAAAAGAGCAGTGGTGCAATCTCGGCTGGTTGCAACCTCTGCCTCTTGGGTTGAATCCATTCTCATGCCTCAGCCCCCCAGTAGCTGGAATCACAGGTGTGCAGCACCAAGCCTGGTGGACTTTGTTTTTGTGTTTTCAGCAGAATGGAGTTTTGCCATGTTGACCAAGCTTGTCTCAAACTTTTGGCCTTAAGTGATCCACCCACTTTGGCCTCCCAAAGTGCTAGGATTACAAGCATCAGCCACTGCACCTGGCCATATTATCATTATTATTATTGTTGTTGTTATTATTATTAATTTTACTAGGTTTTTGGGAACAAGTGGCTATTAGTTGCATTGGTAAGTTCTTTAGTGGTGATTTCTGAGATTTTGGTGCACCCATCACCAGAGCAGTGTACACTGTGTTCAATGTGTAGTCTTTTATCCCACACCCTACTCCCACCTTTTTTCCCATGACCCCAAAGTCCAGTGCATTATTTTACACCTTTGCATCCTCCTAGCTTGACTCCCAGTTATGAATGAGAACATACAATATTTGGTTTTCCATTCTTGAGTTAGTTCACTTAGAATAATGATCTTCAAATTCTATCCAGGTTACTGTGAATGCCATTATTTCGTTCCTTTTTATAGTTCAGTAGTATTCCATATTTTATATATATATATATACACACACACATACATATACGTATATACAAAGGAATGTATATATGTATATATATGTACACACGTATATATATGTGTATATGTATACCTATATATATATATGTGTGTGTGTGTGTGTATATATATATATCCACAATTTTTTTTTTTTTTTTTTTTTGAGACGGAGTTTCGCTCTTGTTACCCAGGCTGGAGTGCAATGGCGCAATCTTGGCTCACCGCAACCTCCGCCCCCTGGGTTCAGGCAATTCTCCTGCCTCAGCCTCCTGAGTAGCTGGGATTACAGGCACGCACCACCGTGCCCAGCTAATTTTTTGTAATTTTTAGTAGAGACGGGGTTTCACCATGTTGACCAGGATGGTCTCGATCTGTTGACCTCGTGATCCACCCGCCTCGGCCTCCCAAAGTGCTGGGATTACAGGCTTGAGCCACCGCGCCCGGCCCAATTTTTTTTTTTTTGAGATAGAGTCTTAGTCTGTCACTCAGGCTGGAGTGCAGTGGCACGATCTCGGCTCACTGCAACTTCCACCTCCTAGGCTCAAGCAATTCTCCTGCCTCAGCTTCCCAAGTAGCTGAGTTTACAGGCATATGCCACCACACCTGGCTAATTTTTTGTATTTTTAGTAGAGACAGGGTTTCACCGTATTGGCCCGGCCAGTCTCGAACTCCTTACCTTGTGATCCACCCGCCTCAGCCTCCCAAAGTGCTGGGATTACAGGCCTGAGCCACCACGCCCAGCTACCACATTTTTTCTTTTTGAGACAAGAGTCTCACTGTCTTGCCCAGGTTAGAGTGCAGGAGTTTTAAAATGGGTAGTGTAAATATTTCTTTACTTGATTTAGCATCCACTATTAACGAGTATTTTTGTCAGTTAAGTTTATTAGAATGTATAAATTGGGAATTTATTTCCATGTTTAATTTTTTTAGAGACAGGGTTTCACTCTGCCACTCAGGCTAGATGGCAGTGGTGCAGCTTTAGGTCAGTGCATCCTTGACTTCCAGGGCAAAAGTGATCTTCCCAACTCAGCCTCCCCTGTACCTGAGACTATTGGTTATGCCAACATATTGGTGTTGAACTGGCTTCAGACACCATCTCAGGCTTCCAAAGTGCTGAGATTATAAATGTGAGGCACTACAGCCAGCAATGAATTTTTGATACCTCAAAAATACACTGTTTTAAAGTTGTTACCATCTTAGGTCCAGAAATACCAACACATTGACTCACCATAATTTTTTTTTTTTTTTTTGAGAGGGAGTTTCGCTCTTCTTACCCAGGCTGGAGTGCAATGGCGCGATCTCGGCTCACCGCAACCTCCGCCTCCTGGGTTCAGGCAATTCTCCTGCCTCAGCCTCCCGAGTAGCTGGGATTACAGGCACACGGCACCATGCCCAGCTAGTTTTTTTTTGTATCTTTAGTAGAGACGGGGTTTCACATTTTGACCAGGATGGTCTCGATCTCATGACCTCGTGATCCACCCGCCTCGGCCTCCCAAAGTGCTGGGATTACAGGCTTGAGCCACTGCGCCCGACCGACTCACCATAATTTGTTACTTAAGTCTGAGAAGAACAACTCAAACTGTTTAATCTCTGTTTGGTCTCATACCTAACAACAGTAAATGCAGAAAAATTTTTTGACCGAATATGTAGGTTTTTCTCTTCTAATAAGCAAGCAGTCAGTTCTGCTGGATGTACTTAAATGAAATTCTGACATTGTGTAGCTGGAGAGAGCATCGATATGGTTTGGTTCTGTGTCCCCACCCAAATCTCATCTTCAATTGTAATCCCACTTGTCAGGGAGGGACCTGGTAAGAGGTGTTAGATCGTGGGAATGGTTCCCCCGTGCTTTTCTCGTGATGGTGAGTGAGTTTTCACGAGATCTCATGGTTTCAAAGTGTATGCTCATATTCTTTCCAATGCCTGAGTCAGATGAGACAGAATCTAGTTTCTGTGTCAGACGTTAAACATGCCATTGTCATGGGTTGTAGTTCCTCTTTTTTCTTTCTTTTTTAGAGAGCAGCTCTAAATTGGGAAGCAACACAGGAAACAGATCTCTTAAAAAGCAACTTGGATTAAGCTTTCAATTACATCTGAGTGTACTGAGGCTATTTCAAGCTGAAAGGAATATTTCTGGATGTAAACATGTTGAAAAACGTATCAACGACAATTCCTTAGTTTCCCCACTTCAGAACATTTATTCTAGTGTCAAACCCCACATTTTAAATACATATAGAAATGATTTTGATGAGTCTCGGTTACTCCCAGAAGAACAAAAAGCACAAATGAGGGAAAAACCTTGTGAACGTAATAAGCATGGCAAAGTCTTTAGAGTGGCTTCAAGACTTGCTAACCATCAAGGAATCCATACTGCAGATAACCCTTACAAATGTAATGAATGTGGCAAGGTCTTTAGGAGTAGTTCAAACCTTGTACAACATCAAAGAATTCATACTGGAGAGAAGCCTTACCAGTGTCTTGAATGCGGCAAGCTCTTCAATAGAGTTTCACTCCTTGCACGACATCAGAGAATCCATACTGGAGAGAAACCTTACAAATGTAATGAGTGTGGCAAAGTCTTCAGTCAAAATTCCCACCTTGCAAATCATCACAGAATCCATACTGGAGAGAAACCGTACAAATGTAATGAGTGTGGCAAGGTCTTCAGTCGAAATTCACACCTTTCACGACATCGGAAAATTCACAGTGGAGAGAAACCTTACAAATGTAATGAATGTGGCAAAGCATTTTCAGGGGCTTCAGGCCTTACTGCTCATCTTGTAATTCACACTGGAGAGAAACTTTACAAATGTAATAATTGTGGCAGGGTCTTCAGCCAAAATGCACACCTTACCAGACATCAAACAATCCATACTGGAGAGAAACCTTACGAATGTAAACAATGTGGCAAGGTCTTCAGGCATAAGTTCAGTCTAACAGATCATGTTAGAATTCACACTGGAGAGCAACCTTTCAAATGTAATGAATGTGGCAAAGTCTTCAGTTACAATTCACGCCTTGCACAACATCAGATAATACATACATCAGAGAAACCTTACAAATGCAGTGACTGTGGCAAGGTATTTGGTCGACTTTCATGCCTTACACGACATCAAAGAGTTCATATGGGAGAGAAGCCTTACAGATGTAATGAATGTGGCAAGATCTTTAGGTGTAAGTTATTTCTAAGCAACCATCAGAACATTCATACTGGAGAGAAACCTTATAGATGTAACCAATGTGGCAAGGACTTCGCTCGACGTTCAAGCCTTGCAACTCATCGCAGAATCCATGCTGGAGAGAAACCTTATAAATGTAGTGAATGTGGCAAAGCCTTCAGTCAAAATTCACACCTTGCACGACATAGGCTTATTCATACTGGAGAGAAGCCTTATAAATGTAATGAATGTGGCAAGGTCTTCAGCCACAAGTTTAACCTAACAAAACATGAGAGAATTCATACTGGAGAGAAACCCTACAGATGTAACGAATGTGGTAAGGACTTCACTCGAAATTCACACCTTGCAAATCATTACAGAATTCATACTGGAGAGAAGCCTTACAGATGAAATGTGTATTGTAGGAGCTCTGTTTTTGAGACAGAGTTTCACTCTTGTTGCTCAGGCTGGAGTGTAATGGTGTGATCTCAGCTCACCTCAACCTCCGCCTCCTGGGTTCAGGCAATTCTCCTGTCTCAGCCTCCCAAGTAGCTGGGATTACAAGCGCACACCACCATGCCCAGCTAATTTTTGTATTTTTAGTAGAGACGGCGTTTCACCATGTTGAGCAGGATGGTCTTGATCTCTTGACCTCGTGATCCACCCGCCTCGACCTCCCAAAGTGCTGGGATTATAGGTGTGAGCCACCGCGCCCGACCAACTTTCATTCTTAACTTTAAAATCACTTAATGTGACTTTTTTACAGACCTGTCATTGTGGTCTCTTGAAAAGAATCAGTAGGATGACAGGGTTGACTTTATTAGCTGAAAAGCATTTCTATACAGTTTCCCAAGGAAGAACAACAGTACATTTTCAGTTCATTGGATTTAGCATGGAGGTCGGCAGGAATCTTATGAAACTGTGATGGCAGTCTGATGGCAGATCATACTGTTGTATTCAGCACGTTTTTCCTGACTGAAGGGCATGGTGCTGCTGTGCTCTACCAACTAGCCATGAAATACGGCATATCTGTAGAAATCATGCAGGGGAGATGGTGGCCAGCCTGGCAACACGGTAAACCCTGTCTCTACCAAAATACAAAAAATTATCTGGGTGTGGTGGCGTGCGCCTGTAGTCGCAGCTACTCGGGAGGCTGAGGCAGGAGAATTGCCAGAACCTAGGAGGCGGAGTTGCAGTAAGCCGAGATCGCGCCACTGCACTCCAGACTGGGCGACAGAGCAAAACTGCCTCTCTAAAAAGGAAGTAGTCATATTTGAAATGGACTAGAGAACGGTTATGTCAGATTAGAGAATTTACTAGTGTGCCATGTTCTTGAGTAGCATTCACATTTAAATGTTGGCATGATTTCCAACTGTTGATTTAGAATGTACGTAGTTCTCATGTTTTGGTTAATAAAGTTAAAATTTTCCTAAGTATTAATGAATCACGTCATTTCTACCAACCGTTTTATTCCTTCCTTAGGAGAATATGGTGCACAATAAAGCACCATTAACAGTAAATACTTAGCAGTGCAGTTTTCTTTGTATTCACTGTGAGCTATGTAGTGGTGATATGTGTCTAACCACTCTAACTTCAGTGTTAAATAGGCATTGAAAAAAATGCACCCTTCGAATTTTAAGATTGACACATCTAGAATGATTGTGTGTGAAATGAAATAACATATACTTACCAAATCCTTGGGTAAGTATAATTTAGACTAATCCTACTTAATACTTGAGTTATTCTCTCTGTGCATTTGCAAAGGATGCTTATATGGGTACATACAAAATTCTGTAACACAGGCGGCCACGGTGGCTCACTTCTGTAATCCCAGCACTTTGGGAGGCTGAGGTGGGCAGATCACGAGGTCAGGAGATCGAGAGCATCCTGGCCCACACGGTTAAACCCCATCTCTACTGAAATACAAAAAACTAGCCAGGCATGGTGGCGGGCACCTGTAGTCCCAGCTACTTGGGAGGCTGAGACGGGAATCGCTTGAACCCGGGAGTCAGAGGTTGCAGTGAGCTGAGGTCACACCACTGCACTCCAGCCTGGTGACAGAGTGAGACCCTTTCTCAAAAAGAAAAAAAAAATGCTATAATAATGCAACTTCAGCCTCATACACCCTCAAAAGTGCATCAGACATTCACTGTTTGTTATATTTCTACATGCCTCTTTTGTGCCAAAGAAGACTCATAGTGTGCACCTTAATTTTTATGAAGCAAAAGTACAAATATATGACAAATTTAATGAAAGTATGTGAATAAGTGAAAATACTGTACCACAATGTCCTTTTTTTCCTAATAGTGCTCAGTGACTTAAGTGGAAAATACTAATGTTCATAAATTTTCTCTTAAGAATGGTCACACAGGCCGGGTGTGGTGGCTCACGCCTGTAATCCAAGCACTTTGGAGGCCAAGGCGGGCAGATGACCTGAGGTTGGGAGTTCAAGACTACCCTGACCAACATGGTGAAACCCCGTCTTAAAAAAAAGAATGAGCCAGGCGTGGTGGCTCAAGCCTGTAATCCGAGCACTTTGGAGGCCAAGGCGGGCGGATCACCTGAGGTCAGGAGTTCAAGACTAACCTGACCAACATGATGAAACCCCGTCTTAAAAAAGAAAAAAAAAGGTCACACAGAATGGGAATTTTTTTGCTTTTGTAGATTAACCAGAAACTTCATATGTTCACCCTCATAACACTTGGTAATTTGAACTTTTGACTGCTCTACTGGAATTTGTTTGAGGTCCACCTCAAATTTGGGTTAGATATTGAATATGATGATTCCATAGACCAATGGTCTGCAAATGTCTACTACATAATGAGGCTTTCTGGCAAAAGCAGGATGGACTTCCGCAACTTGTCCAAAAATGGCTTTGGAGAAAAGAGACAGGTGTGTAGTTTGGGATGTTTTATTAGTCTGTTCTCATGCTGCTAATACACACATACCCAAGACGGAGTAATTTATAAAGAAAAGAGGTTAATGGACTCGCAGTTCCACAGGACTGGAGAGGCCTCACAATCATGGCGGAAGGCGAAGGAGCAAACGCATGTCTTCCATGGCGGCAAGCAAGAGAGGGCCTGTGCAGGGCAACTGCCCTTTATAAAACCATGGATCTCATGAGATTTATTCACTGTCATGAGAACAGCACGGGAAAAACCCACTCCCATGATTCAGTTACCTCCCACCAGGTCCCTCCCACAACGTGGGGATTATGAGAGCTACAGTTCAAGATGAGATTTGGTGGGGACACAGTCAAACCATATCATTTCACCTCTGGTCCTTCTAATCTCATGGCATCATATTTCAAAACCAGTCATTCCTTCCCAACGGTCCCGCAAAGTCTTATTTCAGCATTAACTCAAAGGTCCACAGTCCAGAGTTTATTTGAGACAAGCAAGTCTCTTCTGCTTATGAACCTGTAAAATGAAAAGCAAGTCAGTTATTTCCTGGGTACAGTACAGCCACAGGCATTGGGTAAAGCCTATTCCAAATGGGAAAAATTGGCTAAAACAGGGGTTCCCATGCAAGCCCGAAATCCAGCGGGGCAGTAAATCTTAAAGCTCTGAAATGATCTCTTTTGACTCCATTTCTCACATCCAGGTCACGCTGATGCAAGAGGTGGGTTCCCATGGTCTTGGACAGATCCTCCCTGCGACTGCAGGTAGCAGCTCCTCTCCTGGCTGCTTTCACAGGCTGGTGTTGAGTGTTTGCTACTTTTCTAGGCACGCAGTGCAAGCTGTTGGTGAATCTATCATTCTGGGGTCTGGGGAGGGTGGCCCTCTTCTCACAGCTCCACTAGGCAGTGCCCCAGTGAGGAGTCTGGGGGGGCTCCAACCTCACACTTTCCTTATGCACTGCTCCAGCAGAGGTTCTCCTTGAGGGCTGCACCCCTGCACTTCTTCTACAGCCCACTTCGACTCCAGTTCCCAGTAAAGCTCCTTATCTCCGTCTGAGAACCTCAGTGTGGACTTTGTGCTCATTCAGCAGCCATTCTTTAGGAAGCTCCAAACTTTCCCATGTCTTCCTGTCTTCTTTTGAGCCCTCCGAACTGTTCCAGCCTTTGCCTGTTACCCTGTTACAAATTTTCCATGCTACTGTTTTCCATACGGACTGCAGTATTTTAGATTCTTAACAAATATACAAAGATACAGTTTCTCCACAACCTTGCTTGTGAAGCAGGTTCACCGCACACTGGTTGCCACCGTGTCTGAGTTGAGAGAGAGATAACCTCACACACACACAGTAAGTGACATGAAGTGGATTTGTTCCGTACAGATGGGCAGATGCCTGGGATCGTGCATGCTGCTCCCCAAGGCTCAGGAAATCCCCCCAGTGCAGATGCAGTCTCTCTGTGTGCTGCACTTGCATCACAGCTGAGGGGCCCTGAAGGGCAGCCCATCCTGGGTTTCGTGCTCCAAGGATGCATGGCACCTTGGCCTAAAGCATCAAAGGACATCCTGTTCTGGGGCTCTGGAACACATCCCGTCCTTTTTTCTGGCTGGTTCTTTCCTCTCAGGATGCTGCATTTCCAGTACATTCTACATTCATTCTTGGGAACCACAAGTGAGAAGCCAGATACAACTGGGCCAATTCAACCCCACTTGAATGCTATCCTGCCGTCTCCCCACCAGTTCAGATATCCCTTTTATTTTTATATTTTTTGAGACGGAGTCTTGCTTTGTCTCCCAGGCTGGAGTACAGTGGCACAATCTTGGCTCACTGCAACTCCGTCTCGCAGATTAAAGCAATTCTCATGTCTAAGCCTCCTGAGTAGCTGGGACTACAGGCATGTGCCACCATGCCTGGCTAATTTTTTTTTTTTTTTTTTTTTTTGGTATTTTTAGTAGCAACGGGGTTTCACCATGTTGACCAGGCTGGTCTTGAATTCTAGACCTCGGATGATCTGGCTGCCTTGGCCTCACAAAGTGCTGGGATTATAGGCGTGAGTTACCATGCCTGGTCCAGATATCCTCTTTAATAAAGCTAGTCCATTTATGTGTGCACTGACCTCCCTGAATCTGGAGATAGCTGTTGGTCTCAGGAGACTGAAGTGACACACGTTGACTGTCAGAATCTCAGTGCAACATCATTGAGATACGGCCAGATGAATTTCGCTAGGCTTAAGAGGATTGCCACCTTAAGCAGGATAAGCAGGCCTGCCTGGAGCTGTGCCGTAGTCCGGGATCCCAGCGACTTAAGTGAGAAGTCGGTATTCAGATCAAAGAAAACTTCTTTAAATGGCCCCACTCTCTGCAGCCAATGGGCCTGTTTGTGGGTCTTATGTATTTGTATTTCCAAAATAACCTGAGGTCCTGATGTGGGGTCCTTACCTCTTGTGCAAGGTGACTCATGCCTATAATCTGAGCATTTTGGGAGGAGCAGATGGGAAGATGGCATGAGGCCAGAATTTGGAGACCTGGCTAGGCAACATAGAGCCAGACTACATCTCTATTAAAAACAAATAAACAACAGAAAATTAGCACAGTGCAGAGGCACAGGCCTTTACTCCCAGCTACTTGGGAGGCTGAGACAGGAGTTGCCCAGGACCCGGGGAAGTCAAGGTTGCAGTGAGCTATGATTGCACCACTGCATTCCAGCCTGAGTGACAAAGACCCTGTCTTAAAATTTTAAAAAGCATAGAAAAACCAAGTTGGACCAGGCGTGGTGGCTACTCTGGAAGCTGAGGCAGGAGAATCACTTGAACTCAGGAAGCAGAGGCTGCAGTGAGCTGAGTTCATGCCACTGCACTCTAGCCTGAGTGACAGAGGGAGACTCCTCAAAACAACAACAAAAACTAAGTCATTTGTGACTACTTTTGAAAGTTATTTCCTCTTTTTTGTTTTTTAAAGAAACAGTTGGTTAACGTATCTTCATAGTGGCTTTAGTCCTTCATGCCCAACGTGGTGTCCCTAGGAAAGTCTCTGGAATTGAACAGAGGGTTGACTGTCACCCTCTGGAGTTAATGGGGACTAGAAATGAAAAGCATTTATTTTCTGTGGGGCATTGACAAGAAATTGCACATTCCACCCTGGGAGGGTTTTGCATTTCACATTTTCGCTTGCATCCTGTTCACAGACAATTCGAACGTGTGTTAATTCAATTCCTAAAACTTCTCCTTCCTTCTTTTTCTTCTTTTCCTTTCCCGTCTTCCCTTCCCTCCTTCCTTTTCTTGTCATTTCTCTTCGCTTTTTTCTCTTTGTTTTCTCTCTTCTTCTACTTATCTCTCTTTTCTCTCTTCTCTCTCTGCTTCCACAGAAAGCAGGTGGGACTTGAAATTCATTTTAATAGAAGGAATTTTCGTGGATATAATCACCAACTGATTTTGCTCTGCGTAGGCAAGATCCGTTTTCAGACCGCTGAGCAGATCTTGCCTCCAAAACCCTGAAAACAAGCACAGTGCAGTATCACTGAGGTACAGCCGGATGTATGTAGGATAACCAGGCTTGCCTGGGCCAACAACACGGCAACAGCATTGGAGGGAGGCGAGTCAGGCAAACTGAAGCGCAGGCTCCACCCCGGCCTCGTCCCGGCCTGCCTAGGTCCCGCCCCACCAAGTACCAGCCAGCCTAGGTCCCAGCCCGTCCCGGCCTCTAGGATGCGCGCGCAATTTCCTGCAAACCCGGAAGCGGGTCACTGGGAGTGAACGCCTAGAGAGGAGTTTCCGGTAGACCCGGAAGTCTATCGCTTGGAGAGAGTGTTTCGCAGAAGCGCGTGAGTTTCCCTTTGTCTAGACTAACTCTAGGCTGCCCAGTTCTTCTGGGCTTCTATACCGGGATATGAGTGGCAGGCAGACCTGGAAATCCCGGCACGGCTTCCTCCACCCCGAGGAAATTCAGACGTCCTTTAAGAGTCTCGGAGTCGCTTTCCTGCGTGTTAAAATCGCTTGGAGGCCGCTCCTGTGCCCGGTCTTTTTGCCCTGTGGCCACGTAGACATCTGCTATCGTGGGGGTTTCCTGCTTGAAATTCTTTACTAATACCTAGACACGCCCCGTACCACCTAAAGTCCTTACCCGCAAGGTGGATTCAAGTCTCTTGGGTCCCCCAGCCTCGGCCTTCTTGGCCCCTGGAGCGCGGCGCCGCAACGCGGCACGAGACATCGCGTACTCTGCCCGGTTTCTGCAGACTCCACTCCTCTCCTGGCCCACTCCTGCCTTTTTCCTCCTTGATGTGAACTCTGTGTTCCCCAGGCCTCCCTTTCCCAGCCAGCGCTTCTCCTGACCCCGAGTGTGGGGAGTGACTTCTATCTCCTGACATCCAGTGTTCTCTGGAGCCAGCTTCCAGCGCACTGAAAATGAGCTCTTCCGGAGGTGGGCATCTGACTCCAATCTCCTCCCTGTGAATGTGTGGAGAAAAATAGATGGAGAACGAGTCAGAGGAAGTAGAGAAATTTTTTTTCTTTTTTCTTTTTTTTTTTTTTGAGTCGGAGTTTCGCTCTTGTTACCCAGGCTGGAGTGCAATGGCGCGATCTCGGCTCACCGCAACCTCCGCCTCCTGGGTTCAGGCAATTCTCCTGCCTCAGCCTCCCAAGTAGCTGGGATTACAGGCACACGCCACCATGCCCAGCTAATTTTTTGTACCTTTAGTGGAGACGAGGTTTCACCATTTTGACCAGGATGGTCTCGATCTCATGACCTTGTGATCCACCCGTCTCGGCCTCCCAAAGCGCTAGGATTACAGGCCACCGCGCCCGGCCTGAAGTAGAGAAATTTTAAAAGAGAAATGAAGAATAAGAGACCCGTTAACAGACGGCAAAGTAGAAGGAGAGTGAGGGGTTTGCAGAGACACAGTGAAAGAAGGTGCCAAGAAAGTAGCAGGGGGAGAAAAATAACTAAAAATGTAGGGAAAACTGGATCTACAGAAAGACAAAAGTTCAACAAGATTGGGAAGGCTCCTCAGACAGAGTGGGAGAGAGGGAGAGGGATTTGGAGCCAGGGCAGACAGAGCAGCATGGTGCTGGGACAGTCAGAGGAGGCAGCTGGTGACAAAGGAGAGGGAGAACCACAGCAGGGGTAGACCTGGTATCTCAGGGTGCCAGAGAGTGGGGACAGAGGGTGTGTTACAGGGAAGATGGGATTTTACAGGGAGAGCCCAAGGGGAGCTGAGATGTGGGAGGAAAGAGGCAGAAATATATGGAGATTAGGGACAACGAAAGATTGGGCAGAAAGAGCAATACGAAGTGAAACAAATTGTGAAAATGGCACAGAACCGGTGGGAAAAAAGGAATAGAGCAAAGAAGGGGACAAAGAGAAGAAGAGAACGGGCTCGAAGTGTACAGAATCCTAGGGGAAAATAAAGAGAAAAAAGCTAGGGAGAAGAGAATGAGAGATAATGTACAGAATGAGGGAGGAAAACAGTAGTGAGAAAAGAGGGGGACTCAGGTTACAAATGACTGGTCAGTTGACTGGAAATTATGATTAAATTGTGACATTAATTTCTCTGTAATATAAAATTTGTCTAAAATACATGAGGCCTCGGACTGTGTCTCACGTGTGTAATTCCAACACTTTGGGGGGCTGGGGTGGGCAGATCACTTGACTTGAGACTAGTCTGGCCAACAAGGTGAAACCCTGTCTCTAGTAAAAATACAAAATTAGCTGGGCATGATGGCCTGCGCCTGTAATCCCAGCTACTTGGGAGGCTGAGGCAGGAGAATCGCTTAATCCTGGGGAGGCAGAGGTTGCAGTGAGCCGAGATCGCACCACTCCCCTCCAGTTTAGGTGACAGAGCATTACTCTGTCTCAAAAAAAAAAAACACATACACAAACACACATGAAGATGCGTGTTTATAAGGCATGTGCATTCTATAATTCTTGGCATCAGAGGTTAGCTTCTACTTGTAATCTCTATTCTGCCAGAGGGCCAGAGGGCAGTGACTGGGCTCATTCAGGTGTGATTCACTTTCTCTTTTCCTTCTTTTTTTTTTTTTTTTTTTTTAATTGGAGACAGTGTCTTGTTCTGTTGCTCAGGCTGGAGTGCAGTGGCATCATCTCGGCACACTGTAACCTCCACGTCCCTGGTTCAAGCAATTCCCCTGCCTCGGCCTCCTGAGTAGCTGGAATTACAGGCACACACCATCATGACCAGCTAATTTTTTCGTATTTTTAGTAGAGGTGGAGTTTCACCATGCTGGCCAGGCTGGTATCAAACTCCTGACCTCAGGCAATCTGCCCACCTTGGCCTCCCAAAGTACTGGGATTATAGATGTGAGCCACCATACCTGGCCACTCTCTTCTCTTTCCTTGGGATGGATTAGGGTGTGAGTGAGTGTATAAGATAGGAAAAAACCAAGTGATTTTTTGTACTCTCGCAGTGAACACAGAATGCCTTATCTCTGGTCACCAAAATAATATGGGGATACTTGTCACCAACAAGCAATTCTTCGTCAAACAGCAGCTGCGTGTTCTGTAATTTAGCTCAGTTTAACTGGTCAGTGTAGGAACAACCACACACATGTTTTGATCACTAGACGTGAGGTATTCTCTGTGTGGTGTGAGAGTAGTAAAATCAGTGTGGTTTCTTCCTATCTCAAATAGTCAGAGGAAGAGTTTTCCAACAGGCCCACTCACCTGTCTCTAGATCTCTGTTCTTACTGAGTAGTGACTGTGAATTGTCCCTGCTGCTGGCTGCTGCTGACCATGAGACTTTGTGCCACAAGCCCGCCCCATTCACACTCTCATGATGACATGGCATCCCTCCTCCACAGTGTCATCAGTTTTTACTTCAAGGGAATTATGTTGATCAGAGTACCCGTTAACACACACACACACACACACACACACACACACACACACACAATAATTCCTTTTTATTGTTATTTTTTTAAAAAGATAGGGTTCACCATGATGACCACACTGGTCTTGAACTCCTGACCTCAGGTGATCCACCCACCTTGGCCTCCCGAAGTGCTAGGATTACAGGCATGAGCCACTGAGCCCAGCCACAGTAATGCCTGTATTGGTCAGTGTACCCAGATGGAGGTGTTGCCCATTAAAACACACACACACATACACACACACACACACGCCTTTATTTTATTCCCTACTGTTTCATCTTCAGAAGAAAAAGCGAAGTATTAGCTACATTTTTACTTGCAGTAAGTATGCCTTTTCTGTGCTCCATGTAAGAGCACAATATACCAAAATCGTGTTTAGGCTCTTTCCCTCTCTCTCTCAAACGCCTCCAGTTCTTCCTTGATCCCGTCCAATCAGGTTTTGACACCAAGCATTCTACTGTTCCTTTTTTTTGTGAGTCGCCATTGATTTCTCAGTTTCTAAATCCAGTTATTTTTTTCATTCATTTAATTTTTAGAGACAAGGTCTTGCTCTGTCACCCAAGCTGGCATGCCGTGGCACAGTCATAGTTCATTGTAACCTTACACTCCTGGGCTCCAGCAGTCCTCCCGTCTAGCCTCTGGAGTAGGTAGGACTATGGGCCTGTCCCTCTGCCTAGCTGATTTAAACAAAAAAAAAAATTTTTTTTTTTTTGGAGAAGGAGTCTCACTCTGTTGCCCAAGCTGGAGTGCAGTGGCGTGATCTCAGCTCACTGCAACCTCTGCCTCCCAGGTTCAAGCAGTTCCCTGCCTCAGCCTCCCGAGTAACTGGGATTACAGGCGACCACCACCACGCCTGGTTAATTTTTGTATTTTTAGTAGAGATGGGCTTTCACCATCTTGGCCAGCTGGTCTTGAACTCCTGACCCTGTGATCCACCGCCATGGCCTCTCAAAGTGCTGAGATTACAGATGTGAGTCACCGCGCTTAGCAAAACAAAATTTTGTTTTTAGAGACAAAGTCTCACTATATTACCCAGGGTGGTCTTGAACGCATGACTTCTAGCCATCTTCCTACAGAGAAGTCACAGCGTGATGGGATTATAGGCATGAGCCCCTGTACCACGCTTAAATCCTCATCTGAATTTTCTGTCCTCATCTTTCTTGAAGCATGTTTCACAGCTCATCACTATTTTTTTCTCAGCTTTGAAGACAGTGTTCATATTTTTTTCTACTTCAATTTTCTGTGGAAAGTGTTTATATTTTAAAAAATCTGTTTAAAGTTTTTCTCATTACTTTCATGTCTTTTTTTTTTTTTTTTTTTTAATTGAGACGGAGTTTCGCTCTTGTTACCCAGGCTGGAGTGCAATGGCACGATCTTGGCTCACCGCAACCTCCGCCTCCTGGGTTCAGGCAATTCTCCTGCCTCAGCCTCCTGAGTAGCTGGGACTACAGGCACGCGCCACCATGCTCAGCTGATTTTTTGTATTTTTAGTAGAGACGGGGTTTCACCATGGTGACCAGGATGGTCTCGATCTCTTGACTTCGTTATCCACCCGCCTCGGCCTCCCAAAGTGCTGGGATTACAGGCTTGAGCCACTGCACCCGGCCTACTTTCATGTCTTACGAGTTTCCTCTGCTGGTGTCTCCTGAGGTTTCTTCTCTGAATATGGAAATGCCACCCAATTTAGTCCTTAAACCTGTTCTGTCCACAGCCTCTGCTTTTCCTTTTGAGGTCATCTTATGGCTTTACATACCACCAGCATGTCTGTTTTTCCTCTGCACCCACGCCTCACCCCTGAATTCCAGAGTCCTGTGTCTAGTTGTGTTCTCGACATCTTCTGGGACACCCACAGGCATCTCCACCTCCATGTGTCCAATAGAGACTTTCCGAACTCCCCAAACACCTTCTCCTCCAGTCCAGCACATCATCTCGGATGAGGGACACCTTGTGCTTTCTGGGGATTAACCCTGGGGATTAACATTTTAAGAATGTGCTTAAAATACAGGAGATACTATTTGTGTTTTAATTTATAATGCAAAGAATAAATGACATATTTACTTAAAATGACCGAAGAAATAGATCGTTTCAAAATTTCTTTTGATGTGTTGGAGAAAAATATTTGAGGAGCTCAGCCCTGCCTGATCTGCTTCCCCAGGAGCTCTCTGATCTCCTTTCCCGCCTCTGTTCTTCCCGCTCCCTCTACTGCAACCACACAGCCCCTTTCCTTTTCTGTGAGCAAGTCAGTGGCGTGATCTTAGCTCACTGCAACCTCTGCCTCCTGGATTCAAGTGATTTACCTGCCTTAGCCTCCTGAATAGCTGGTACTACAGGCATGTGTCACCACACCCAGCAAATTTTTGTATTTTTAGGAGCGATGAGGTTTCACCACGTTGGCCAGGCTGGTCTTGAATTCCTGACCTCGTGATCTGCCCGCCTCAGCCTCCCGAAGTGCTAGGATTACAGCCGTGAGCCACCACGCCTGGCCATGTTTTGTATTTTTAAAATAAGTGGTTGATTAAAGCACGATTTTAGGAATCACATGGTTTATTACCACATATGAATAGTTTTTTTGGTTTTAGATTCACAATTTTAAAGCAGGGAAGAATAAAGTGAAACAATCTCGGAGGGAATCCACTCAACAGAGGAGGTACCTTAGCCTCATAGTGGAGAGATTTCCGAAATTGTTAACATCCGTTTGCTTAGTTAGGCTGAATCAGGCCTCTGAAGAAAGTCAAAGTTGGAGGAGTACCTCAGGGGGAGGTCTTTCCTTTGTGTGTGGCTGTGGCACGGGAAGGAGGTATGTTGATTCTAAGCCCTAAACAGGATATTTTTGACATTCAGGATTCAGTTCCAAAGAGACATACGTGAGGAAGCGACTCGGAAGAGGGAGGGAAAGAAGTCAGGAATGGCCCGCAGTCAGGTAAGGCAACTTGCTCAGTGCCTTGTTCTCTGTTTCTTCCTGAAATACCTGGCGTTGGAGTTGCTAATCTCTGACTCCGAAGCATCCTTCCTGTCCGGTTTCCTTGCATTTACCCATGGCTGCTTCCAGTCCCTTCATTTCCACTTGAGATTCTAGTTCGCTATGACCCAGTGATGGCTTGGGAAGAGGCTGCACTGGGCATGGTCCTGGGAAGGGCTCTCCCCCAGACGTGGATGGAGACGGGATGTGGGTCCCATGGTGTCAGGGCTGTTGGGCAGCAGAGATTGTTCAGGGGTCACATCTAGATGCACTGTCAGTGTTCTGTGGACTAGAACTAGAGAAGCTGTGTGTAGAAGTTACTTTCTCTCTTTCTTTTTTTTTTTTTTGAGACAGAGTTTTGCTCTGCCAGCCAGGCTGGAGTGCAGTGACATGATCCCTGCTCATTACAACCTCTGCCTCCCAGGTTCAAAGGACTCTTCCACCTCAGCCTCTCGAGTAGCTGGGATTACAGGTGCGCACCACCATCCCCATCTAATTTTTGTGTTTCTAGGGGAGATGGGCTTTTGCCATGTTGGCCATGTTGATCTTGAATGCCTCAAGTGATCTGGCCACCTCGGCCTCCCAAAGTGCTGGGATTACAGGCATGAGCCACCTCACCCAGCCAAAAGTTACATATTAATGTGCATGAGTATTTGGTAAATTCTGGAAAAAGAGTTGACAAAAGGGACATGTTTTCTGCCTGGTTCTGGATGACATTGGAAGCTAAACAATCCATCTGTCTTACTCAGATATCTTAATGATTGGCAAAGGAATGGAATGTTTAGAAAAAGACATCAGTGATAGAGAGTGTTTTATTCCCTTTATAAACTATTCTGTTTTAAAATATGAAATCGAAGGCCGGGCGTTGTGGCTCACGCCTATAATCCCAGCACTTTGGGAGGCCAAGGTGGGTGAATCATGAGGTCAAGAGATCGAGACCATCCTGGTCAACATGGTGAAACCCCGTCTCTACTAAAAATACAAAAATTAGCTGGGCACGGAGGCACGTGCCTGTAATCCCAGCTACTCAGGAGGCTGAGGCAGGAGAATTGCCTGAACCCAGGAGGCAGAGGTTGCAGTGAGCCGAGATCACGCCATTGCACTCCAGCCTGGGTAACGAGAGCAAAACTCCGTCTCAAAAAAAATAAAAATAAATAAATAAAATAAAATATGAAATCGGCTGGGCGCCGTGGCTCACGCGTATAATCCCAGCACTTTGGGAGGCCGAGGTGGGTGGATCACGAGGTCAAGAGATCAAGACCCTCCTGGTCAACATGGTGGAACCCTGTCTCTACTAAAAATACCAAAATTATCTGGGCATGGTGGTGCGCGCCTGTAGTCCCAGCTACTCAGGAGGCTGAGGCAGGAGAATTGCTTGAACCCAGTGTCCGACCTACCCTCTGCGGGAAGACTGAGCTCGTTCGGAAAAAACCGGACCGCAGGCTAGAGGAAATTCCTTAAGTTCAGGCTTTATTGAGAGGAAAGAGCCTCCGGGCGGGCCAGCTGGGACGAAAAGGAAAAATGGCCGCGCTGCTCAGAGGGGCAGGGTTGTTTTATAGGGGGCTGAAGGGCTGGGGGGTGGGGAAGCCAAAAGCCGAGGTGGTGGGCAACTGTTGGTCAGTTTGAACTGCTGGGCGGGAAGCTGGGCGGCGGGAGGGCTAGGGCCGGTATGTAAAGTGAGAGATAAGGGAGCCTCTTTGTGGGGGAGGGAAAGAGAGAGAGATTTTGCGGTATGGGCAGAGTTTTCCAAACACCCAGGAGGCGGAGGTTGCGGTGAGCCGAGATCGCGCCATCGCACTCCAGTCTGGGTAACGAGCGAAACTCCGTCTCAAAAAAAAAAAGAAATCAAGCTAAATGTCTTAACAGCAGGACATTCAAAAGCATTTACAAATCTGTCACCTTTTCCTGTTTTTTGTCTCTGTCTCTGGTTTGGTTCAGGGAAGATGCCCTCTCATCATTCTCAGCACAGGCTTCCCACAGAGACTGGCATTCCTGCAGGCAGTCTTGTGCAGCTGCTGTACTAGTTGGGAAAGGTTCTAATTTTGCTTACAGATTGCAGCTTAATTTTTTTCTTTATTTCTTCTTTTTTTTTTTCTTAAGTGATGGGATCTCACTATGTTGCCCAGGCTGGTCTTGAATTCCTGGTCTCAAGCGATCCTCCTGCCTTGGCCTCCCAAGGTGCTGGGATTACAGGTGTGAGCCACTGCACACGGCCTAGAATCTTTTTTGTCACTAGAGAGGAGGAAATCATGTTCTTGTACTACCAATTATTATTAAGTATTGTTTTTTCTTTTTTTTTTTTTAAGATAGAGCTTCCCTCTTATTGCCCAGGCTGGAGTGCAATGGTGCAATCTCATCTCACTGCACCCTCTGCCTCTCAGGTTCAAGGGATTCTCGTGCCTCAGCCTTGAGAGTAGCTGGGATTACAGGTGCTGCCACACCTGGCTAATTTTGTATTTTTAGTAGAGACAGGTTTTCTCCATGTTGGCCAGGCTGTTCTCAAACTTCTAACCTAGGGTGAGCCACCTGCCTCGGCCTCCCAAAGTGCTGGGATTACAGGCGTGAACCACCACACCTGGCCAAGTATTGTATGTTTTAAGCAATCAAATTACGTGTATTCATAATGAAAGTCCAAACAAACATGCAGCTTATCAGCATATCAGGTACAAAGCATCCCATGCCCTGTCCAGCCTTCCACCCTCCCTCATATCTCATTGGGGAGCCACTGTTGTCAGCTCTGCGTCGAGTCCTCTCAAGTCCTGGGTGAATGTATATTTGTGGCATTGTGATACGTTTTTAAATCCTCAGTGATTTATTTATTTATTTTAATTTTTTTTATCCTCAGTGATTTTTCTTTTTTTTTTTTTTTTGAGACGGAGTTTCGCTCTTTTTCACCCAGGCTGGAGTGCAATGGCGCGATCTCGGCTCACTGCAACCTCTGCCTCCTGGGTTCAGACAATTCTCCTGCCTCAGCCTCCTGAGTACCTGGGATTACAGCCACGTGCCACCATGCCCAGCTAATTTTTTGTATCTTTAGTAAAGATGGGGTTTCACCATGTTTACCAGAATGGTCTTGATCTCTTGACCTCGTGATCCACCCACCTCTGCCTCCCAAGGTGCTGGGATTACAGGCTTGAGCCACCGCACCCGGCCATCCTTGGTGATTTTTCTGTTGTGACATTTCATTCTGAAAGTTGTGAAAATTTGCGTGTTTTCATGTTAGGAAGATGGAGTGCTCCTTTACATCCTCATGTGAACTTTCTCTGAATTCGAAATCAGTCACCTCTTTCACCATGCCTGGCTAATTTTGTATTTTTAGTAGAGACGGGGTTTCTCCATATTAATTAGGCTGGTCTTGAACTCCTGACCTCAGGTGAGCCACCTGCCTCAGCCTCCCAAAGTGCTGGGATTACAGGTGTGAGCCACCACACCCAGCTGGTCTCCCATTTTTAATCACCTACCATATGTTTATAAACTAAATTGAGGACAACTTACACATTTTTATTGTTGCAAACATGCTGAAATACACATTAGGAAAAATAATACTTACAGGTAGGCACAGTGGTGCATGGCTTTAGTTTCCCACGTGGGAGGCTGAGGAAGGAGGATCCTTTGACGCCAGGAGCTCAAGGCTGTGGTTCACTATGAATGGTCACTGCCATTCAATTTGGGCAATGTACTAAGATCCTGTGTCTAAAAATTGCGAACCAAAGTAATAATGAAAAATATCATGTAAAAAACAGGTCACTGAGAGACAACTCCTTATTTCAGGTGATGTGTGTAAGTGTATATGTGTACTAGTGTATGAGTGTTAGTGTATATTTGTGTTTGTACCTGTGATGTGTGTGCATGAGTGCACAGATGAGCAAGCCTATGGTTTTTATGAATGGCATGTTGTCATTTTATGTAAATTGTATATTTTTTATCAGTTGAAATTACATCTTAAATATTTACCAGGATGTTCAAATTTTTCTACACTCTCATGTTAATGAGCTGATATCTGTAAGAATCATAATGTATTATGGGGATATATAACTATATATATGCAGCTATAATGACCTTTTAGGCAGTTTGGTGGTTTTTTTTTTTTTTTTTTTTTGAGATAGAGTTTCCCTCTTGTTACCCAGGCTGGAGTGAAATGGCGCGATCTCGGCTCACCACCACCTCCGCCTCCTGGGTTCAGGCAATTCTCCTGCCTCAGCCTCCTGAGTAGCTGGGATTACAGGCACGCACCACCATGCCCAGCTAATTTTTTGTTATTTTAGTAGAGATGGGGTTTCACCATGTTGACCAGGATGGTCTCGATCTCTTGACCTCGTGTTCAACCCGCCTTGGTCTCCCAAAGTGCTGGGATTACAGGCTTGAGCCACCACGCCTGGCCTCATCTTCAGCCTTTTTAAGTTTGTGCCAGATGTCACAGGCAGATTGGGAGATAAAATGGGTATTAAGACCAGTAGTTTCAGTTTCTTTTTTTTTTTTTTTTTGAGACGGAGTTTCACTGTTGTTACCCAGGCTGGAGTGCCATGGTGCGATCTTGGCTCACTGCAACCTCCGCCTCCTGGGTTCAAGCAATTCTCCTGCCTCAGCCTCCCGAGTAGCTGGGACTACAGGCGCGCACCACCATGCCCAGCTAATTTTTTTTATTTTTAGTAGAGATGGGGTTTTACCATGTTGACCAGGATGGTCTCGATCTCTTGACCTCGTGATCCATCTGCCTCGGCCTCCCAAAGTGCTGGGATTATAGGCGTGAGCCACCGCGCCTGGCCCAGTTTGGTGTTTTTAATCCTTGAACTTGTTTTAAGTTTACTGAATTAGGTAATTGTCAGTTTACTTTTGTTAGTGATTTGTTACTTAACTGTTTGATTTGTTAGGTTTGATTCTAATATCCAGACGCATGGAATCTGGTACTTACCCTGCCATTTTCAGCCCTCACACCTGGGGCAGGTCTCCCAGAGTAAATGTGAAAGAGTTTTCTCTTCAGTAAGATAGGAACAGATCATTCGTTCATGGGGTTTTGGTGCTATAGGAGTTAGTTCATGTGAAGCATTTAGAGTAACGCCTATCACATGGGAGGTGTTGCGTTCAGCCATTGCTATTGTTACCATCACAGCTTTCAGATTTACATCATTTTTCTTTTTTTTTTTGAGACAGATTTTCACTGTGTCACAAGGCTGGAGTGCAGGGGAACGATTTTGGCTCATTGCAACCTCCACCTCCTGGGTTCAAGCAATTCTCTTAGCCTTTTGAGTAGCCGGGATTACAGGTGTTTACTACCATACCCAGCTAATTTTTTTGTATTTTTACTAGAGACAGGGTTCTACTGTGTTGGCCAGGCTGGTCTCAACTCCTGACCTCAGGTGATCTGCCTGCCTTGGCCTCCCAAATTGCTGGGATTACAGGCATGAGCCACCACATCTGGCCAAGATTTTGACCATTTTAAAAAACTGCTCTAGGTAGAGTGTGGTGGCTCACACCTATAATCCCAGGACTTTGGAAGGCCGAGATGGGAGGATGGCTTGCGTTTAGGAGTTCAAGACTAGTCTGGGCAACATGGTGAGACCTCATCTTTTTTTTTTTTTTTGAGACAGAGTTTCACTCTTGTTACCCAGGCTGGAGTGCAATGGCGCGATCTCGGCTCACCGCAACCTCTACCTCCTGGGCTCGGGCAATTCTCCTGCCTCAGCCTCCTGAGTAGCTGGGATTACAGGCACGTGCCACCATGCCCAGCTAATTTTTTGTATTTTTAGTAGAGATGGGGTTTTACCGTGTTGACCAGGATGGTCTCGATCTCTTGACCTCATGATCCATCTGCCTTGGCCTCCCAAAGTGCTGGGATTACAGGCATGAGCCACCACACCTGGCCCGAGACCCCATCTTTACAAAAAATACAGAAATTAGCCAGGTGTGGTGGCGTGAGCTTGTATTGCCCGCTACTCCAGAGGCTGAGAATGGAGGATCACTTGAGCTTGGGAGGGGGAGGTTGCAGTGAGTCGAGATTATGCCACTGCACTCCAGTCTGAGTGACAGTGACACCCTGTTTCAAAAAAAAGAAAAACCACTGTAGGCATCATCATCTCTGAAGACACCTCTTGAATTGTATCTCAGGTAAACACTGGATACCACTTGGTGTGTGAAAACACCCAACACTTTGTATATAGGGATAACCCTGGTTTAATTTTTTTGTTTGTATTGTCCACAAAATGAGACATCTGTACTGAAAGAATGTCATAAGGCCAGGCGTGTTGGCTCACGCCTGTAATCCCAGCAGTTTGGGAGGCCAAGATGGGTGGATCACCTGAGGTCGGGAGTTCAAGACCAACCTGGCCAACATGGAGAAACCCCATCTCTAAAAAAAAAAAATGTTGGCCGGGCACAGTGGCTCACGCCTGTAATCCCAGCAGTTTGGGAGGCCGAGGTGGGTGGATCACCTGAGGTCGGGAGTTCAAGACCAGCCTGGCCAACATGGAGAAACCCCATCTCTAAAAAAAAAAAAAGAATGTTGGCCGGGCGCGGTGGCTCACGCCTGTAATCCCAGCACTTTGGGAGGCCAAGGAGGGTGGATCACGAGGTCAAGAGATCAAGACCATCCTGGTCAACATGGTGAAACCCCGTCTCTACTAAAAATACAAAAAATTAGCTGGGCATGGTGGCGCGTGCCTGTAATCCCAGCTACTCGGGAGGCTGGGGCAGGAGAATTGCCTGAGCCCAGGAGACGGAGATTGCCGTGAGCCGAGATCGTGCCATTGCACTCCAGCCTGGGTAACAAGCACGAAACTCCGTCTCAAAAAATAAAAAAAAGAATGTCATAACTTGTCATGGGAAAGTATAATAAAGCAACAATTACAGACACGTAACTAGCTCAAGAGTACCTTAATGTGGATTTTTCACAGGGCTCACTTCAGTGGAGTCAGTCCTTAACAGCTGTCTTCTCATTCTGTGAGAAGATGAGCACTCTCTCCATACCCTGTGGCTGAAATGTGGATTTCCTTTTAGGGACCCTTGACATTCATAGACGTGGCCATAGAGTTCTCTCAGGAGGAGTGGAAATGCCTGGACCCTGCCCAGAGGACTTTATACAAGGACGTGATGTTGGAGAACTACAGGAACCTGGTCTCCCTGGGTGAGGATAACTTCCCTCCAGAAGCTGGGCTCTGCCCTGGTGGATCTCTGCATTGTCTCTTGGGAGCCTCTTGGGAGCTCCTGCATTGCTTGACTGAGATTGAAACCTTGAGAAATTGAAAAGCTCCATTATACTTTCTGGACTTGAAATGTCCCCTTTCTTCAGGTGTTCTGCTCCCTTCACGATTCATCATTGGTGGCACCAGGGGTGAAGTATGCATGAAAGCTTAGGACAAATTTAAAAAATATCCAATTTCTTGTTTCCCCCCCCGCTTGTGTTTTTGATTCTGTAGTTCCTGGAAGGGGGTTGATGTCTGTGTGTTGCCTAAGCATTCAGAAAGAGGCAGTCAGTGGATGAATTTGTGAAATGCTACTTTTTTATTCATTTGTAATATCCTCTCTCCTACCTAAATATAGGGCTTGGACTTGGGAGATGCCATAGCATGCATTTCTTCTTTCATTTTATAAATAGGAGTGGATCTTCCTGACCTGAGTTTTATCTCCATGTTGGAGCAAAAGAGAGAACCCTGGACTCTGCAGAGTGAAGAGAAAATAGCAAGGAATCCGGATGGCAGGGAATGCAGCAAAGGTGTGAACACAGGTAAGAGCTCAGGCGGGCAGAGGAAAGGCCCCATAATTTTTGTCTTTTGAGACAGTGTCTTACTCTGTCATCCAGACTACGTGCAGTGGCAATCATAGCTCACTGCAGCCTTGAGTTCCTGGACTCAAGGGATCCTCCTGGCTCCGTCATCCAGTGTTGGAATTACAGGCATGAGCCACTGTATCGTGCAAAGCCACACTCTTAGATAGTGTTTGGGAGAACTCTTATGGGAAAACAAAAGTTGAAGTCTTGTGAGTTCTGAACAGGCATTTTTCTTTATTTTCCTATGTATTTTTGGAAACGGGTCTCTCTTGCATCACCCAGGCCAGAGTCCAGTGGCATGATTACAACTTGCTGCATCCCTGACTTCCTGGGCTCGGGATTCTTCCACTGCAGCCTCCTGAATAGCTGGGACTACAGGTGTGCGCCACCATGCCTGGCTAAGTTTTTATATTTTTTATGGAGATGGCGTTTCACCATGTTCTCCAGGCTGCTCTCGAACTCCTGGCCTCAAGCAGTCCACCTGCCTCAGCTTCCCAAAGTGTTAGGATTACAGATGTGAGCCACCATACCCAGCAGGGTGTGTTGTTTAATTGGTACATATTTGTGGATTGTTAAATTTTTCTTCTTTTGGCTGGGCAGAGTGACTCATACCTGTAATCCCAGCACTTTGGGAGGCCAAGGCAGGCAGATCTCTTGAGGCCAGGAGTTCAAGATCAGCCTGGCCAACATGGTGAAACCCTGCCTGTACTAAAAATACAGAAATCAGCAGGGTGTAATGGCAGGCACCTGTAATCCCAGCTACTCAGGAGGCTGAGACAGGAGAACTGCTTGAACCCAGGAGGCAGAGGTTCTAGTGAGCCAAGATCATGCCATTGCACTCCAGCCTGGGTGATAGAGGGAGACCCGTGTCAAAAACTGTAAAAAGGGCTGGGTGCGGTGGCTCAAATCTGTAATCCCAGCACTTTGGGAGGCCGAGGCGGGTGGATCATGAGGCCAAGAGATCGAGACCATCCTGGTCAACATGGTGAAACCCCGTCTCTACTAAAATTACAAACAATTAGCTGGGCATGGTGGCGCGTGCCTGTAATCCCAGCTACTCACGAGGCTGAGGCAGGAGAATTGCTTGAACCCAGGAGGCACAGGTTCCAGTGAGCCAAGATCATGCCACTGCACTCCAGCCTGGGCAACAGAGAGAGACCCAACTCAAAAACTGTAAAAATAAAAATACATTTTTTTGTTTCGTTAATTTCAACATTTCATCCCTCTGCCTCCCGAGTAGCTGGGATTATAGACATGCACCACCACACCTGGCTAATTTCTATACTTTTAGTAGAGACAGGATGTTTCCATGTTGGCCAGGCTGGTCTCTAACTTGTAGCCACATGTGATTAGCCCCCGTTGGCCTCCCACAGTGCTTGGGATTACAGGCGTGAGCCACTGCACCCGGCCCAAAACATTTCATTTTAAATGTTAACAGCTTATCTTTGATTAGGTACAGAAAGCTGTGCTTACCAACTCTGCTCTCACTTTCTGTTATTACTGGCATAAATTAATTCTATATATTTTATGTTCCCATTAACATATTTTTATAATGCTTTTTAAATGAATGTGTCCTTTTTTTTGAGGTGGAGTCTTCCTCTATTACCCAGGCTGATCCTGGCTTGCTGTAGACTCTGCCTCCTGAGTTCAAGCGATTCTCCTGCCTCAGCCTCCTGAGTAGCTGGGATTAAAGGTGTCTATCACCACCCCTGGGTAATTTTTGTATTTTTAGTAGAGATGGGTTTTTGCCATCTTGGCCAGGCTGGTCTCCAACTCCTACCTTGGCCTTCCAAAGTGCTGGGATTAGGCGTGAGCCACCGCACTGGCCTGATTGTGTCTTTTAAACTGTAGGAAATATTTAAAGTCAAATTACAAGTGAAAAGTGTAGTAATACATGTTTCTGTATTTCATCATTTGTTAACCTTTTATGATGAGCTTTTTTATTGTGTTATTTTGGGGGCATGGAGTTTTGCTCTTGTCGCCCAGGCTGGAGTGCAATGGCAGGATCTCGGTTTACTGCCACCTCTCATCCCGGGTTCAAGTGATTCTCCTCCCTCAGCTTCCCCAGTAGCTGAGATTACAGGGGCCCACCACCACACCCAGCTAATTTTTATATTTTTAGGAGAAATGGGATTTCATTGGCCAGGCTGGTCTCAAACTCCGGACCTCAGACTATACACCCACCTTAGGCTCTCAAAGTGCTGAGATTATAGGCGTGAGTCACCGCACCCAGCCTGTGATGAGCTTTACGTTTTTATTTAGGTTAAAGAGTGGTTTCCTTTCATCTTGAATGCTGCTTTTTGCATTTCTTCTTGAACAGGTCTAGAATACTAATTAACGTCCTCAGCTCTTCTTTATCTAGGAAAGTCTAAAAGTCTTTATTTTTGCGGGTGAGTTTTGCTACGTGTATTTTCTGTATTGCTGTTTTGCTTATTTTTCTATAAGCACTTTCAGTGTATCACCTCACTGCTTTCTTTTTTTTTTTTTTGAGACGGAGTTCCAGCCTTTTTACCCAGGCTGGAGTGCAATGGGGTGATCTTGGCTCACCACAACCTCCGCCTCCTGGGTTCATGCAATTCTCCTGCCTCAGCCTCCCGAATAGCTGGGATTACAGGCACGCGCCACCATGCCCGGCTAATTTTTTGTATTTTTAGTAGAGACGGGGCTTCACCATGTTGACCAAGGTAGTCTCGATCTCTTGACCTCGTGATCCACCCACCTCGGCCTCCCAAAGTGCTGGGATTACAGGCGTGAGCCACTGCGCCCGGCTCACCTCACTGCTTTCTAGCCGGAAGATATCAGCTGGAAAATACCTATAATCTTAGAGTGTTTCCTGTTGTTTGACAAGTCTCTTTTTTGTTGCTACTGTCAAGATTGTGTCTTTGTCTTCTTTTGACTTTTGATAATTTCTTTACCGTATGTCTCTGTGTAAATGTATTTGGATTAATTTTAGTTAGAATGGTCAAGCCTCTTTTTTCTTTTGAGATAGCGTTTCATTCTTGTTGCCCAAGCTGGAGTGCAATGGCATGAAATTGGCTCACTGCAATCTCCACCTCCCGGGTTCAAGCAATTCTCCTGCCTCAGCCTCCCAAGTAACTGGGATTACAGGTGCCTGCCACCACGCCTGGCTAATTTTTCAAATTTTTGTTTTGTTTTGTTTTGTTTTGTCAGAGGTGGAGTCTCACTGTCGCCCTGGCTAGAGTGCAGTGGTGCCATCTCAGCTCGCTGCAGCCTCTGCCTCCTGGGTTCAAGCCATTTTCCGGTCTCAGCCTCACAAGTGTCTGGGACTACAGGTGCACACTGCTGTGCCTACCTAATTTTTTATATCTTAGTAGAGATGGGGTTTCACCATGTTGCCCAGGCTGGTCTCAAACTCCTGAGCTCAGGCAGTCCACCCACCTTGGTCTCTCAAAGTACTCAGATTACAGGTATGAGCTACTGTACTTGCTAATTTTTGTTATTTTTTAGTAGAGACAGGGTTTTACCATGTTGGCCAGCTAATCTTGAACTCCTGAGCTCAAGCAGTCCACCCCCTTGGCCTCTCAAAGTGCTGGGATTACAGGTGTGAGCCATTGTTTCCAGTCTGGTCAAGCCTCTTGAATTTCTGTATTCAGTTCTTCACTCAGATTTGGGTTGCTTCAGAAATTATTTCTTCAATTGCAATTTTTGATCCTCTGTTTTCTCCTTATGCGCCTCCAGTAGTTCGTATATTTTCCTACTTGATTATTATTCAAAAATCTGTAAGAAAAACTATTGTTTCCTTTTCTTCATTGTGTTTTGTTTCCTTTTTTTTTTTGAGATGGAATTTTGCTCTTGTTGCCCAGGCTGAGTGCAGTGGCATGATCTGCTCATTCAACCTTTGCCTCCCAGGTTGAAGCGATTCTCTTGCCTCAGCCACCCAAGTAGCTGGGATTACAGGCATGCACTCTCACGCATGGCTATTTTTTTTTTTTTTTTTTTTTTTTTTTAGAGTTGGGGTTTCTTCATGTTGGCCAGGCTGGTCTCGAACTCCCAACCTCATATGGTCCACTGACCTCAGCCTCCCAAAGATCTGGGATTACAGGTGTGAGCCACCTCACTTGGCTTGTTGTGTTTTCTTTTTGCTCATTGTTCTTGAAGTCTGCTGCTGAACCCTCCAGTGAACATTTACTTCAGTCATGGTATTTCAGTTCCACACTCTTCTTAATACTTTCTCCCATGTTTTGTATTCCCCCCCACTTTTTTTTTTTTTTTTTTTTTGAGACAAAGTCTCATTCCGTTGCCCAGGCTGGAGTGCAGTGGCACGATTTTCGGTCACTGCAACCTCTGCCTCCGGAGTTCAAGTGATTCTTCAGCCCAGGCCTCCCAAGTAGCTGGAATTACAGGCACCTGCCATAATACTCTCCTTTTCCTGCGTGGTTTTCCTGATTTCATACATTTGTCTCTCTCAGTTATGTTTTAGCTCGTTCAGCATCTTAAGACAGTTGCTTTCAATATTTGTCAGGTAATCAGAGGGCTGCCTTTTTCTATGGAGATTTGTTTCTTTGTTTAATTTTAGCCATATTTCCATGTCCATTTGTAGGCCATGTAATTTTCTTTTTAGGTTTGCTAAAACAACCACTTCTCCCAGTTCATTTCTTTCTTTCTTTCCTTTCCTTTCTGTTCTTTCCTTCCTTCCTTTCTTCCTTCCCTCCCTCCCTTCTTTCTTTTCTTTTTTTTTTTCTTCTTTTCTTTTATTTCCCTTCTTGAGACTGCATCTCACTTTGTTGCCCAAGCTGGAGTGCAGTAGCACAGTGTTGGCTCACTGCAACCTCTGCCTCCTGGGTTTAAGCAATTCTCCTGCCTCAGCCTCCTGAGTAGCTGGGACTACAGGCATGTGCCACTGGGCCCAGCTAATTTTTGCATTTTTAGTAGAGACTGCATTTCACTGTGTTTGCCAGGCTGATCTCAACCTATTGACCTGAAGTGATTGACCTCATAGTGTGTTTCACTGTGTTAGCCAGGCTGGTTGCCCTCAAGTGAAACCAGCCCACCTTGGTTTCCCAAAGTGCTGGAATTACAGACGTGAGCCACCGCACCAGCCATTCCAGTTCTTTTATGTAAGGATTGTACAGGGTGAGACGGTTACTGGGAACACGCAGTCCTTTTCTGTGGATGTGATTTTTCTGGATGTGGAAGTTTACTAATGTCTATATAGCTGTTCTTGGATTTCTGGTTTTCCCTAAGAGGCTCATCCCTGCTTTTTCCCAAAAGCTTTCAGTTTCTGTTGTACTTCTGTACTTATAACCTCTTTCAGACTTCCCCATAGTTCTCTCGACTCCTGCAGATTCCCCACTGCTCCAATGCATCACCTCAGCTCCTTGTGTTTTCTGCACTGCCAGCATGATCTACACAATATGCTGATACTCCTACCAATGCCTGAGTCAGGTGAGGCAGAATCTAGATCCTCTGTCAGACACTAAACATGCCATTATCATGGGTTGAAGTTCCACTGTTTTCTTTCTGTTTTAGAGAGGAGCTCTAAATTGGGAAGTAATGCAGGAAACAAGCCATGTAAAAGTCAACTTGGACTCATGTTTCATTTACATCTGAGTCATCTGCAGCTATTTCAAGATGAAAGGAAGATGTCTGGATATAAGGATGTTGAAAAACTCATAAGTGACAATTCCTCAGTTTCACCACTTCAAAACACTTCTTCCAGTGTCAAATCCCGCCCTTTAAGTAAATATAGAAATAATTTTGATGATGCTCCATTACTTCCACAAGAACAGAAACCACATATTAGGGGAGAAACTTGTGAATGTAATGAGCATGGTCTAGTCTTTAGAGCCTCTGCAAACCTCACCAACCATCAAGTAATCCATATTGCAGACAATCCTTACAAATGCAATGAGTGTGGCAAGGTCTTCAGTCGTAGTTCAAACCTTATATGCCATCAGAAAATTCATACAGGAGAGAAGCCTTACAGATGTAGTGAATGTGGCAAGGTCTTCAGTCGTAGTTCAAATCTTACATGCCATCAGAAAATTCATACAGGAGAGAAGCCTTACAAATGTCATGAATGTGGCAAGGTCTTCAGTCGTAGTTCAAACCTTATATGCCATCAGAAAATTCATACAGGAGAGAAGCCTTACAAATGTAGTGAATGTGGCAAGGTCTTCAGTCGTAGTTCAAATCTTATATGCCATCAGAAAATTCATACAGGAGAGAAGCCTTACAAATGTCATGAATGTGGCAAGGTCTTTCGTAGCGGTTCAAAGCTTGTACAACATCAAAGAATTCATACTGGAGAGAGGCCTTACGAATGTCATCAGTGTGACAAGGCCTTCAATCAAATTGCACACCTTGTACGACATCAGAAAATTCATACTGGAGAGAAGCCTTACAGATGTAATCAATGTGGCAAGGTCTTTAGTCGCCATTCATATCTAGCAGAACATCAAACAGTTCATACTGGTGAGAAACCTCACAAATGTAAAGAGTGTGGCAAAGCGTTTTCAGTGCGTTCCAGCCTCATTACCCATCAGTTAATTCACACTGGAAGGAAACCTTACAAATGCAAAGAATGTGACAAGGTCTTTGGGCGCAAGCGTTTCCTGACCTCTCATCGGAGAATTCACACTAGAGAGAAACCTTATGGATGCAGTCAGTGTGGCAAGATCTTCAGTCAGAACTCCGACCTCATACGACATCGGAAAATTCATGCTGACGAGAAACCTTACAAATGTAATAAATGTGGCACAGCGTTTAGAGAGTTTGCAGACCTCACTGCCCATTTTCTAATCCATAGTGGAGAGAAACCTTACGAATGTAAAGAATGTGGCAAAGTCTTTAGGTACAAGTCTTCTCTAACTAGTCACTATAGAATTCATACTGGAGAGAAGCCGCCGTACAAATGTAATGAATGTGGCAAGGTCTTCAGTCGTAGTTCAAACCTTATATGCCATCAGAAAATTCATACAGGAGAGAAGCCTTACAAATGTAGTGAATATGGCAAGGTCTTCAGTCGTAGTTCAAATCTTATATGCCATCAGAAAATTCATACAGGAGAGAAGCCTTACAAATGTCATGAATGTGGCAAGGTCTTCAGTCGTAGTTCAAATCTTATATGCCATCAGAAAATTCATACAGGAGAGAAGCCTTACAAATGTCATGAATGTGGCAAGGTCTTTCGTAGCGGTTCAAAGCTTGTGCAACATCAAAGAATTCATACTGGAGAGAAGCCTTACAAATGTCATGAATGTGGCAAGGTCTTTAGTAGCAATTCAAACCTTTCACAACATCAAAGAATTCATACTGGAGAGAAGCCTTACAAATGTCATGAATGTGGCAAGGTCTTTCGTAGTGGTTCAAAGCTTGTGCAACATCAAAGAATTCATACTGGAGAGAGGCCTTACGAATGTCATCAGTGTGACAAGGCCTTCAATCAAATTGCACACCTTGTACGACATCAGAAAATTCATACTGGAGAGAAGCCTTACAGATGTAATCAATGTGGCAAGGTCTTTAGTCGCCATTCATATCTAGCAGAACATCAAACAGTTCATACTGGTGAGAAACCTCACAAATGTAAAGAGTGTGGCAAAGCGTTTTCAGTGCGTTCCAGCCTCATTACCCATCAGTTAATTCACACTGGAAGGAAACCTTACAAATGCAAAGAATGTGACAAGGTCTTTGGGCACAAGCGTTTCCTGACCTCTCATCAGAGAATTCATACTAGAGAGAAACCTTATGGATGCAGTCAGTGTGGCAAGATCTTCAGTCAGAACTCCGACCTCATACGACATCGGAAAATTCATGCTGACGAGAAACCTTACAAATGTAATAAATGTGGCACAGCGTTTAGAGAGTTTGCAGACCTCACTGCCCATTTTCTAATCCATAGTGGAGAGAAACCTTACAAATGTAAAGAATGGCAAAGTCTTCAGGTACAAGTCTTCTCTAACTAGTCACTATAGAATTCATACTGGAGAGAAGCCGTACAAATGTAATGAATGTGGCAAGGTCTTCAGTCATAGTTCAAACCTTATATGTCATCGGAAAATTCATACAGGACATCAAATAATTCATACTGGAGAGAGACCATACAGATGTAATGTATGTGGCAAAGCGTTTAGAGGGTGTTCTGGCTTTACTGCCCATCTTGGCAATCCATGCTGAAAGGGAAGCTCATGAATGTAAAGAATGTGGCAAGATCTTCAGTCACAAGTCTTCCCTAACCAATCACCAGAGAATTCATATTGGAGAGAAACCTTACAAATGCACCCTGTGCAGTGAGGCCTTTAGTCCCAACTCTGACCTTGCACAGCATTGGAGAGTTCATTCGTGAGAGTTCTTACAAACCGTGTGGCAAGATCTTCATCTTGAGTTCCAGCATTAACATCAGAGAGTCCGTACTAAGTGGAAATCATATAAATGAAATGTATGTGACTCAGGCTTTACGAAGCTCTGCCACGTCGTTGGACATCAAAATATACTTCTGGGATGAAACCACATAGATGGATTGTGTGTACTCAGGCTATTATACAAGGACCATTACTATAGAATACAATAGGATTTGCACAAGTAACTTAGTCTCTGGTTCTCCAGTATTTATGATATGGCATGCTGAAGAATAATGCTGTTAAAATATGTTGAATCTCATGAGATGATGTATATCGAAGGTGCAAGGGCATGTGGAAATGATCAGCTATATTCAGGTTATAAAAAATTCAATTATTTGGGGCATGTAGAAAAGGCTGTTCTTTATGATTTTGAAATCTCTTCATGTGCCTTCCATACAGGCCTTTCACTGTGGCCTCTGGGAAAGAATGAGTAGGATGACAGGGCTGACTTATTAGCTGAGGATTATTTCTTTCTTTTTTTTTTTTTTTGAGACGGAGTTTCGCTCTTGTTACCCAGGCTGGAGTGCAATGGCGCGATCTCGGCTCACTGCAACCTCCACCTCCTGGGTTCAGGCAATTCTCCTGCCTCAGCCTCCCGAGTAGCTGGGATTACAGGCACACGCCACCAGTGCCCAGATAATTTTTGTATTTTCAGTAGAGACGGGGTTTCACCATGTTGACCAGGATGGTCTGGATCCCTTGACCTCGTGATCCACCCGCCTCGGCCTCCCAAAGTGCTGGGATTATAGGCGTGAGCCACCGCGCCCGGCCTATGTAGACTCTTAAGTGGACCGTGTTTGCAGACTCCCTTTTGACGTATCCAGTACCACAGCGATGACTTGCACAACCATATTTTCCGTTTGGACACTTTATTTTTCTCCTGTCCTCAAGGCACCCGCCTTCCTCACCCTTCCAGAAAGTGCTGTGATTTCAGGCCTCGGATACCGTAGCCAGCCTGTCACTTTTATCTGCTTTTCTTCCTTTATTTCACAGGCTGGAACCGTTCATACTGTGTGGAATAATAGTGGTAACAGCGGACTTCCTTGCTTCATCCCGAACCCCTGGGGGAATCTTTCTGACTTTCACCAGAACATGTGATGATTTTTATAAATTTGCAGGTAATGCTAAGCTGAAGAAGTTTCCCATGATACTGTTTTCCATACTGACTGCAGTATTTTTTTTTTGAAAAATACTTTTTTTTTTTTTTTTAAATTGGCAACTGTCAAAAGAGATATTCACAAAAAGACTTAGAACAAGGGCAGAAACCCCAGACAGGTGGTTTTCTTAATTCATCAGGCTGGAGCAGACTTTAAACCAAACTGGAGGAACCATTCCGGATCTGGCCACCACCTAATCTCTACATCCTGGCCTCCTTTTCATTGGCTGGAAGCTGGCTCACTTCATCCAAGGGCCTGGTTCGAGGGCATTCATGGCTTCCGCAAGTTAGAGCATCCCTTGCTCCTGGCGCTAATGGTTCCACTCAACCATGGGACTGGAGCATCCACTTGGTCCAGAGATGTATACTAGGAGCCGTAAATGACAACTTTGATGAGGCCTGAAGACTCCAAAGCCTTCAGCCCGAGTTTGGCCTTGCTCACTTGCTTGATGTAAGAGATTCGAGATCTGGGGAGGCTGAGGCGGGTGGATCACAAGGTCAAGAGATCGAGACCATCCTGGTCAACAAGATGAAACCCCGTCTCTATTAAAAATACAAAAATTAGCTGGGCATGGTGGTGCGCGCCTGTAGTCCCAGCTACTCAGGAGGCTAAGGCAGGAGAATTGCTTGAAACCAGAAGGCAGAGGTTGCAGTGAGCCAAGATCGTGCCATTGCACTCCAGCCTGGGTAACGAGAACGAAACTCCGTCTCCAGAAAAAAAAAAGAGATTCGAGATCTGTCCGGGCTGAACATGGCTTCCAGCAGCTGCAATATGGACCTGGAGCACCTCTGGATCTTTGAGGTCTTCAGGAAGTTTCACCCACAGCGGGATATTTCTATATCCGGTGGTGTTCCCATCTGGTAACCCTCATAACCAAAACTACACTCCCCTGTGAGCCAGGCCTAACCACACCAGCTGACCTGCAGCGCTCATCAGCATATTTGATTCCCACCAATGATATGATGATTACATTTTCTCCACAACCCTTCTTATGAAGCAAGTTCACTCCACACTGGTTTCCAATGTGTCTGAGTTGAATCAGAGAGAATCCCACGCATACACAGTAAGTTACAAGAAGTGAGTTTGTTACTTACAGATTGGCACCAAGGGACACCAGATGCCTTGGATTCGTGCATGCTGCTACTCCAAGGGTCAGGAAAGCCACCCAGTGCAGATGCAGTCTCTGTGTGTGGTCCACTTGCATCATAGCTGGGGGAGGCTAGAAGGCGGCGCATCATGGGTTTCATGTTCCAGGGATGCGTGGCACACTGCTTTAAAGGTGGAGGCCAAGCTGGCCAGGGGCATACCTATGTTACTTATAGTTAAGTGATTACAAGCTTGCTTTGCTTTTTTTTTTTTTGAGACGGAGTTTCATTCTTGTTACCCAGGCTGGAGTGCAATGGCGCAATCTTGGCTCACCGCAACCTCCAACTCCTGGGTTCAGGCAATTCTCCTGCCTCAGCCTCCTGAGTAGCTGGGATTACAGGCACGCGCCACCATGCCCAGCTAATTGTTTGTATTTTCTGTAGAGACGGGGTTTCACCATGTTGACCAGGATGGTCTCGATCTCTTGACTTCGTGATCCACCCGCCTCGGCCTCCCAAAGTGCTGGGATTACAGGCTTGAGCCACCGCGCCCGGCCGCTTTGCTTTTTATACACTGAGATTTGTGCCACAGACCAAATAGTGAATTAAGAAAACTCCACACTATGGTGCAGTAAAATAAAAACTGTTTAAGGTTTGTTAATGCAGAAATAAGTGGTAATGGGAGGCCTATAGTGAAGACCATCTGAGAGCGCTTTAAAACTGCGGAACGCTGCGGTGTGGTTGCCAGGCAGGAAAGACTGCTTTGGTCCCACAATCTTCCCAATATAGGGTCTGCATGAGGGTCTCCTAAAGAGGGCTTGTGCAAGAACTCTGGGAAGGAATGTAACCTCTGCTCACAAGACTCGGGAGGGTCTTTGCAGATGGGAGCTTGGGAGGCTGGAAAGTCTTGCAGGGCAGAGATAACCAGAACGCCACAGGTTCTGCCTGTGTTCTCAGAATGTGGAGGAATTCTGATTGCTCTGTGTTCTCAAGGCTAGGGAGACAAAAGCCCCTTGATGCACTGTGTGTGGTCAGAACTTACCGTGCCTTATTGGCTGAGCCTTTTTGCAGATGCATCCAGATAGACAGTGGGTGGTAAAAACTCAGCGTCCTAAGTTAGCATTTCTTAGAACTGCATTTGCTATTGAATGCTGCAGACACATGCTCTTCCCCCAGCAATCTTCCTTCTCAACCCACCTCCTTACAGCCGCAAAATTTTTTTTCCTGCCGAGTGCGGTGGTTTACGCCCATAATCCCAGCACTTTGGGAGGCTGAGGCGGGTGGATCACAAGGTCAAGAGATCGAGACCATCTGATCAACAAGGTGAAACCCCATCTCTACTAAAAATACAAAACTTAGCTGGGCATGGTGGTGCGTGCCTGTAGTCTCAGCTACTCGGGAGGCTGAGGCAGGAGAATTACTTGAACCCAGGAGGCGGAGGTTGCGGTGAGCCAAGATCGTGTCATTGCACTCCAACCTGGGTAACAACAGGAAAACTCGGTCTCAAAAAAAAAAAATTTTTTTTTTTTTTTGTCATGTCACCACATCGATCAGCCCACAAGATTAACAAGATAATGCTCCTAATAAAAGCGTGTGGAGGACGGAGCTCAATGCCAGCAGAGTGCATTAGCCCCCTGGACCCATACTGTTGAATTCTACTCTTGTCCTTGTTTTCTTTCTTTTCTCATTCCCTTGTCACTGCGGAGTACAGGGTTGGGCTGGTTCCTAACAAAAGGGTGTTCTGTTTTGTGGGGACTGTAACATCCTGTCCTCTGGTCCGGATGGACAGGATCCTGGCCTTCCTCTTAGGATGTTGCTTTTCCAGCGCATTCTATACTCATTCTTGGAAATTATGACTCAGAAGTCAGATGCAGCTGGGCTAGTTCCACCCACTTGAGTGCCATTTGCAGTCTCCCCACTGACCCAGATATGTCCTTTAATAAAGCTAGTACATTCACATGTGCACTGACCTCCCTGGATCTGGAGGTAGAGGTTGGTCTCAGGAGACTGAAGTAACACCTTGACTGGCAGTGCAGCGTCTTTGAGGTACAGCCAGATGCATTTCACTAGGCCCAAGAGGATTACCGCCTCAAGCAGGATAACCTGCCTAGAGCAGTGCCATCGCCAAAGATCCCAGTGACTTAGGTGAGAAGTTGCTATTCAGGTACAAGAAAAGTTCTTCAGGTGACCCCACTGTCTGAAGCCAGTGGTCCTGCTTGTGGGTCTTATATATTTGTGTTTCAAAAATACTTGAGGTCCTGATGTGCAGTCCTTACCTCCTGTGCACAGTGACTCATGCTTATAATCCAAGTACTTTGAGGTATAGACAGAAGCATCACTCGAGGCCAAAACTTAGAGACCTGGCTGAGCAACAAAGTGAGACTCCATCTCTACAAAATAATAATATAAAACAATAAAAAATTAACACAGCGCAATGTCACAGGCCTGTACTTCAGCTACTGGGGAGGCTGAGGTGGGAAGTGCCCATAAACACAGGAAGTCAAGGTTGCAATGAGGTATGATTGTGCCACTACACTCCAGCCTGGGTTACAGAGTGAGACCCTGTCTTTAATAATTTTAAAGTCTTAAAAAACTAAGTAATTTTTACCTATTTTTAAAAGTTATTGCCTTTTTTGAAAAAGGAACAGTGACCTAAGTTCACACTGGTAAGTCCTCTATGCCCAAGGCGGTGTCCCTAGGAAAGTCTCTGGAATTGAGCACAGGGCTGACGTTCACTCTCTGGAGTGAATGGGAATAGAAATGAAAAAAGTATTTATCTTCTGTGGGGCATTGGCATGATACTGAACATTTCACCCTGGCAGAGTTTTGCGTTTCACCCTTTAGCTTCCATCCCCTTCACAGACAATTTCAGTGTCTTAATTCAATTCCTAACATTTGTCTTTCTTTTGTTCTTTCTTGTCTTTTTCTTTTTGATTTTTTTTTCTCTTTCTTGGTTTTGTCTCTCTCTAGTTTTTCAACTTCTCTTTTCACTGTCTCCTTTTTCACTCTCTTCTCTCTCTGCTTCCAGAGTAGTTAGGACTTAAGATTCATTTTAATAGCAGAAATTCTCCTGGATCTAATCACCAACCGATTTTGCTCTGTCCCTGCAAGATCTGTTTCCGGACTGCTGAGCAGATCTTGTCTCTGAAACCCTAAAACAGGATTGCCCCTGGCCAACATGGTGAAACCCTGTCTCTACTAAAAAATACAAAAATTAGCTGGGCGTGGTGGCGTGCACCTGTATTCCCAGCTACTAGGGAGGCTGAGGCAGGAGAATTGCTTGAACCCAGGAGGAGATTGCAGTGAGCCAAGATTGCGCCACTGTACTCCAGCCTGGCGCCTGGCGCTAGAGCAAGACTGTCTCAAAACAACAACAAAAACAGGATCGCCCAGTCAAGCCGACAGAAGCGCAGGCTCCGCCCGGGACCGCACCTGTCGGCTCTGCTCTCATCCCTGGCCAGGTCTATACTACGCATGCGCAATTTCCTTCAGCCCCAGAAGCAGATCCGGTAGACTGAACATTTCCCGCGCTGTTTCCGGTAGACCCGGAAGCCGATTTCTTGGGAAGAGGGGCTAGGCACTGTGCGTGAGTTTCTCTTATGTACGTTAAATTTAGGCTGCCCAGTTCCTCTGTGCTTCTACATCCGCTTCCTTCCACCCCGAGTAAATTCAGACATCATCTAAACAGTCTGGGGGTAGCTTCCCTGCGTGATTTTTTTTTTTTTTTTGACACAGAGTCTAGCTCTGTTGCCAGGAGCCAGGCTGGAATGCAGTGGCGCGATCTCGGCTCACTGCAGCCTTCACCTCCTGGGTTCAAGTAATTCTGCCTCACCCTCCCATGTAGCTGGGACTACAGGCATGCACCACCATACCCAGCGAACTTTGTATTTTAATAGAGACAGAGTTTCACCATGTTCGCCAGGGTGGTCTTGATCTTTTGACCTCGTTATCCACCTACCTCATTCTCCCGAAGTGCTAGGATTACTGCGTGTTAAAACCGCTTGGAGGCTTGGGGCCAGACGCGGTGGCACACACCTGTAATCCCAACACATGGCAATTCTTTTCTTTTCCTTTATTTGTAATTATTTTAGTCTGTAGTTGGTTGAATCCATGGATGTGAACCCCAGAGATACCAAGGGCTGACTGTAGACTCTGTCTGCTCATTAGTCACATAAAAGTCTTCTTTTTGATGAGATCCACTTTTATGGTATCTCCATGATTTTGTTTTGTAACTTTTTTTTTCCTTAACAGGGCCCTCCAAGCACATGAGTTTCGTTGCTGACAATTTGGCTATGCCAGCGAGAAGCTGAAACATGCAGACTTTAAGTGGAATTAATAGGGTTCAGTACTGATGGAGGTTTCAGGGAATCACTGGGGTTCTTGGAACATACTGCCCATGGATACGGGGATTCTACTATAATTTGTATCTAGAATTGAGCCCGGTGATCCACAGACAGGTGAGGGGACTGTGCTCTCCATGCTGTTTGGTCAGGATCAAGTCTGTGCTCTTAAGAGGAGCTCAGTCTAGCCCAACTCCGGACTGCCGCAGCATGTGTGTGTCGCTCACCAGGAGGGGAGAGAATTTTGAGGAAAGGAGTCAAACACTCACGTGTTGATCTTCCTGTAGGAGATCAACAGTGGGCAGCAAAGGACCATCTTTCCACAGGGTGAGGTCTTCCCTTTTTGTGTGGCTATGGCACAGGAAGGGGATGTGTTGATTTTAAGCCCTAAACAGCATTATTTTTGATATTTTGATATTATTCATTATGTTATAACTTAGTATATTCTGTAAATGGCTATACTGTTTTATCCTCCTTTCTGGTCTCTATTACATTTGTTTTTCGTTTTTTATTTCACTGGCTACAATTTCTAATAACATGGCAAAAAAGAAATGTGGACATACTTGTTTTATTCTCAATCTCTGTGGTGAACCATTCAGATTTGTTTTTTGTTGCTGTTGTTTTTGTTGAAACGGAATTTTGCTCTTGTTGCCCAGGCTGAAGTGCAATGGCGCGATCTCGGCTCACTGCAACCTCCACCTCCTGGATTCAGGCAATTTTCCTGCCTCAGGCTCCTGAGTAGCTGGGATTACAGGCACGCGCCACCATGCCCAGCTAACTTTTTGTATTTTTAGTGGAGACGGGGTTTCACCATGTTGGTCAGGCCGGTCTCAAACCCGCAACCTCGGGTGATCTGCCCGCCTTGGTCTCCAAAGTGCTTGGATTACAGGCGTGAGCCACCGTGCCCAACCCTTATTGTTTTCTTATAGTTTCAGATCATCCATTTATGTCAAATCCATTCTGATTTTATTTTTGTATGTGGTGAGAAATAGGGGTCTAGTATTATTTTTCTGTATATGGATATCCAGTTTTCCAACACCATTTATTGAAGAGACTCTCCTTTTTCCCAATCCATGTTCTCGGCACCGTTGTAAAAAAGCGGCTGGCTGTAAAGATGAGGGTTTATTTATTTGTTCTCTATTCTGATCTGTTGGTCTATGTTGCTGTTTTTTCCCACTAACAAGCTGTTTTGGATACCAGTGCTTTCTAGTATATTTTGAAGTCAGGTAGTGTAATACTCCTCAGGTTCGTTGATTTTGCTCAAAATTGCTTTGGCTTTTTTGGATTCTCTGTAGTTCCCTATGGATTTTTATTTTCTATTCATTTTTATTTTTTGTTTTTAGACAAGGACTGTCTCTTGCCCAGGTTGGAGTGCAGTGGTGCAATCTCGGCTCACTGCAAGTTCTGCCTTCCAGGCTCAAGTGATTCACCTGCCTGAGCTTCTTGAGTAGTTAGGACCACAGGTGCGTGCCACCGCACCTGGCTAATTTTTGTATCTTTTGTATGGATGGGTTTTGCCGTGTTGCACAGGCTGGTTTCAAACTCCTGAGCTCAGGTGATCTGCCTATCTTGGCATCTCAAAGTGCTGGAATTACAGGTGTGAGCCACCGCAGCCAGCATTAGGATTCTTTTTCTCTATTTCTGTGAACAATGTCTTTTGCTATTTTGAAAGAGAATGTGTTGAATCTGTACATTGTGTTTGGTAACGTGATCCCAACATAACATTAATTTTCCCACCCATGGAGACGGGATGGATGTCTTTCCTTTGTTGTGTAACCTTTCCACTTCTTTCATTACTGTTTACAATTTTCTACGTAGAGACTTTTTGCTTACTTCATGAAATGTAATCCTTGGGGTTTTTTGTAGCTATGGTAAATGGGATTGCCCTTTTGATTTCTTTTTCAGTTTGTTTGCTGTTGGCATGTATGCTACTAATTTCTGTATGTTGATTTTGTACATTGCAACTTTACTGAATTTATCAGCTCTAAGAGATTTTCCCAGAGCTTTTGGGATGTTTATATGTAAAATCTTGCCACCTGTAATCAGGGATGATGTGACTTCCTCCTTTTAAATATGGGTGCACTTTACTTTTTTCCCTTGTCCAACGTTCAAAAGCATGTGGACTAAGATTTGTAAGAGTGAACATCCTTGTTCTTGTTTGTTTTTGTTTTTTTTTAGACAGAGTCTTGCTCAGTCACCCATGCTGGAGTGCAGTGGTGTGATCGGGGCTCACCGCAACCTTTGCCTTCCAGGTTCAAGCAATTCTCCTGCCTCCACCTCCCGAGTAGCTGGGACTACAGGTGCCCACCAGCACACCCAGCTAACTGTATTTTCATAAAGACAGGATTTTTCCATATTGGCCAGGCTGGTCTCAAACTCCTGACTTTGTGAACTGCCCGCCTCATTCTCCCAACGTGCTGGGATTACAGGCATGAGCCACGGCGCCTGGCCCAAAAAGAAACTCTTTATTTGTACAAGCGACCAGTGTGATAGGAGGGATGCAACAAAGAAGCCGATGAAAACCCAGCATGGGGCCACGTGCTGTGGCTCACGTTTGTAATCCCAACACTTTGGAAGGCTGAGGCAGGTGGATCACTACCTGAGGTTAGGAGTCCGAGACCAGCCTGGCCAACATGGTGAAACCCCATCTCTATTAAAAACAGAAGAAATAGCTGGATATCGTGGTATGCACCTGTAATCTCAGCTATTTGGGAGGCTGGGGCAAGAGAATCTCTTGAATCCAAGAGGTGGAGGCTGCAGTGAGCTGAGATTGTAACACTGCACTCCAGCCTGAGTGACAGACAGAGCAAGACTCCATCCCAAAAGCATTTTTTTTAAAAATTTTTTAAGAAGGGGTTTTACCACGTTGGTCAGACTGGTCTCAAACCCCTGACCTCAGGTAATCCACCCACCTCGGCCTCCCAAAGTGCTGAAATTACAGGCGTGAGCCACCACGTCCGGCCAAGAATTTTGTTTTTAAAGCCCAGCTTGGATTCAGCTTTCAGTCACATCTGCCTGCATCGCAGCTGTTGAAAGCCGAAGTGAATGTTTATGAATATGGTCAGTTTGAGAAATCTGTCAACAGTGGTTTCTCAATCTCACCAGCCCAGAGAGTTTCCTCTAGTTTCAATCCCATATTTAATCTGTTCTTCATTACTTACCCGAGAACAAAAGGCACATTAGGGACACATTACACCTTACAATTGTAATGAATTTGGAAAGGTCTTCAGTTGTGATTCATGCCTTTTGCTACCTTGGAGAATGCATGCAGGAGAGAAGCCTTCAAGTGTAATGTGTGTGGTAAAGCCTTTAGTATGCAGTCAATACTGAATAAACATCAGGTAATTGATTGTGGAGAGAAACCTTACAAATGTAATCAGTGTGCAGAAAACTTTGGTGATTGTTCCTCCCTTACCATCAGGTAGCTCTACACTAGAGGAAAAAAAATCTTAAAAATGCTGGGGCCAGGCGCGGTGGCTCAAGCCTGTAATCGCAGCACTTTGGGAGGCCGAGACGGGTGGATCACGAGGTCAACATATCGAGATCATCCTGGTCAACACGGTCAAACCCCTTCTCTGCTAAAAAATACAAAAAATTAGCTGGGCATGGTGGCGCGTGCCTGTAATCCCAGCCACTCAGGAGGCTGAGGCAGGAGAATTGCCGGAACCCAGGAGACCGGGGTTGCGGTGAGCCGAGATTGCGCCATTGCACTCCAGACTGGGTAACAAGAGCGAAACTCCGTCTGAAAAAAACAAAACCAAAATTAGCTGCGCGTAGTGGCGGGCGTTTGTAATCCCAGTTACTGGGAGGCTGAGGCAGGTAATTACTTTAACTCCGAAGGCGGAAGTTGCAGTGAGCCAAGATCGTGCCAATGTACTCCAGCCTGGGTGACAAAGCAAGATTCCGTCTCAAAAACAACAACAAAAACCTGGAAAACAGACACGATCAGAACGAGGCCGCAAAAGCGAAGCTCCCTCACCCCTCCTCCTCCAGGTTCCCGGCATTCCCCGCAAGCCGGTTTCTGCAGACCCGGAAGTGAATCCTGCATATCCGGAAGTGAATCCCGCAGAGCGACCTCTCGCCTGCAGTTTCCTCAAAACTCGGAAGCGGGTCGCGTGTGGTGACGGTGTTGCAGCCTCGCGTGAGTTCCCCTTTGTCTAGATTAGATTCGCTTCCATCGCTACTGTACCCGGTGTTAGCGCGCGGCGCGGGGCGGGCGGCCCTGCGTACCTTAAAATCCTCTCGCCGTGCCCTCCACACTAGGTAAATATACACGTCGCCATGAAATTCAGAGGTTACAATCGCTCGGAGGCTGCTGGTCCTGTTCCTGGGCTCTCTGCCTTCGGGCCATGTAGACACTTTTTGTCCCATTTCTCCTCGGGTCCGCGTTAGGTAAAATCCCTCACCGCGGGGTGGATCACGCCTCGTGGGTCCTCCAAGCCCAGCCCTTCTCGTCCATCGGAGCTCAGCGCCGCGTCATCTGCCCCGCCCTGGTATTTTGCAACCCCCACCTCTCCTAATCCACCCCCACCCTTGTCCTCCTTGGGCTGGGCCCTTCTGTTCCCCAGGTTTTCTCTTCACAGTCACCGCGTTCCGTACCCTGTACTGAGGGACGTGACGAGGTCTTGCTTTTGACACTGTCTTTTCCGTTCCGAATTGCACCCGCTGGAAAATGTGCTCTTCCAGAGGAAAAACGGTTGTCTTTCCTCCTCTCAAATTCAATGTACTAGTAAACCCTGAACACAGGATACTTCGCCTCTGGTCACGGAATGTGTGGGGATTTCTCCGCAGTAACAAGCAGTTCATCAGACACCAACGAGGTGACCCGTAATCTGTCTCACTTCTGACAGCTCTACCTGGAGTAAGCGTGAGATCCCACAGGTTGAAGGCTCAGTTCCAGAAGGCTTTCCTACTTCACATGTCGGTTACAAGTCCCATGTTGGAGCCCGAACTTCTAAGCCACTGGCTATGAATTGAAGATTCCCATGACCCTCCTCAGTCATTAATTTGCCAGAGCGGCTCACAGAGGTTTTACTCGTTTGTTTTAAAGCGTATTACAAAGATTGTAGAGAAACAGCCAGATGGAATAGCAGCTCTAGAAAACTAATTGAATGCAGTGGGGGATTTGGGAACCATGGTGTTTATCTGGTCGGTCAGAAGTAGAGGTGACAAATACTACTTGTGTAAGCTTGTAAGGTGAAGGGTAGTCTTGTGGGACTGAAGCCTTCACCTGTGGGATCTGACACTGTCTCCTTATAGATAAGTCATTGAGTGTAAGCATTGAGTTAAGTTTTAGGATTCCCAGGTGGAAGTCTGCAGTGTAGGGAAAAACACACATTTTCTTGACCAGAAATAAAGTATTTTGTGTTGAGCATGAGAGCAATAAAACCAGTTTGGTTTTTTCCTTTCTCGGTGAAGGGAAGATAGTTGTAACAGGCTCACCCCCCTGTCTCAAGGCCCCTACTGGGAAGGCTTTGTCCCTGCTCTTTGCTTCCATTTTCTTGATGTCATCTTTATCTGTTACCATTTTTCTCTGCTGCTGTGTCTGGATTCAGCGTTTTTTGAATGTGGAAGTGGCCCACGGCTTCGTCCTCTAACCGCTTTTCATCTCTGTCCACGTCTGCTGCCTTTATCATGTCAGCTCATGGCTTTAAACCCCAACTTTATGTTTCCGTCGCTTGGAGACCTCACCCCTAATTTCTAGAATTATGTGTCCAGTTATCTACTCAGCTCTCTGCTGGGACATCCAACAGACATCTCCATACTTACATGTCCGCTAGTGACTTTCCGAGTTCTCCCATGCATGCTCCCCCGCAGTCCTGCATATCTCAGGTAAGGGTGACCCCATACTCCTGGAAGCTTAGGTGAACTTATTGGCATATCTTAAAATCTAGGAGATGGTTCCTTGCTTGAAAGTGTTTTAAGGAATAACGTAAAGGAAAGAATTACATGATTGCTTAAAATGGGTGAGGAACTAGAATTTCCCGTTCTTTTCAGGTCAGGGAGAAAAGTTTTTAAAGGCCTCCAGCCTTCTCTGATCTATGCCCCCAGGACCTCTCTGATCTCATTTCCTGCCAGTGTCCTCCTGGCTCCCTCTGCTGCAGCCACACAGGCCTATTTCCTTTTTTGGGAGCTGAGGTTGCTCCCGTGTCAGGGCCTTCACCTGGGCTATTTCTCCTAGAACTCTCTGGCCTCTCAGTTGCAGGTGACAAACACCCTTCCTTTTCTAGGTCTGGGTTCTGACATCAGCTTCTCAGTGGAGATTTCTGTGACACTCCCCCTGTCACACCCTCTTCCCCTCTGGTCCATATTACCTGCCCTGGATGTTTCTTTCTACTCCTTTGCTGTCCACTTTCTGGATCCCGGTGACAACAAGGACCCAAGGGGAGAGCAGAACCAGAAGGTGGGGGTTGTTCTGGGCTTGTCCTCTCTCAGTGGAGCTCAACCCTGGCTTCACATTAGAGTGCCGAGGCATTTTGCAAGTACATCTCTTATGCCTCCTTTCCAGAGGTTCCCAGGCACTAAGTTCAAGCGCAGTCTCACTAATATTTACAGTGTCCCACATGATTCTAATCTCTATTTGTCATTGAACATCAGGGTGCTGTGTCTCCATTTCTGAAGACTGAGATCAGTCTGTGATCCACAGAGAGGTGAGCAGGGCTGTGCTCTGCAAGAGCTTTGATCAGGGACAGGTCTGTGTCCCGAAGGGGAGCTCAGTCCAGCCCAGCTCCCCACTGCTACAGCATATGCGTGGTCTTCTCCAGGAGGGAGTGAGTTTTGAAGAACTCAAAAACTCATTTGTTCTGTCTGTAGAACTTTCTTTGCGTTGTCCCTGGTGCTGTGGGCAGTAGAGGGCCATCTTTCCACAGAGTGAGTTCTTTCCTCTGTGTGTGTGGTTATAGCACGGGGAGTGGGTGTGTTGATTTTGAACAATACACAGCATATTTTGAACATTCTGGATTAACTTCTTTTTTAAAAATTTTTCTTTCATTTTCAGGATTAGCTTGTAACGTCTCTTTCATCTCACCTAAGGAAGAAGCCTGGAAGAGGAGGAAGAGGAAAGGAGGAGTCAGGAATGACTCTGACTCAGGTACAGTGATATTCTCAGTGGACTGCTCTGTGTCTCCTTCCTTTTTGAAATGCCACATGTGGTGTTATGATATATATTGGTTTCTATCCATGGTTCCCGGCTTGTAACCTCCATAGCCCTTGTTACAGTCATTTATTGTAATATTGGGTATGTTAGGCCTCAGGGGCAGGCCGTTGATCTCCTGCCTTCCTTTCACTCTGATGTTTTCCTGCTTTTCTGGTGTGGGTCTTCAGACCCTCCTCGAAGAGTTTCCCACCCTGTACCCACGTAGAAGGAATGTTGATGTCACAGGCTTCCATAAAAACCCAGCGGGGCTGTCCGGGCGAGGTGGCTCATGCCTATAATCCCAGCACTTTGGGAGGCTCACAAGGGTAGATCACAAGGTCAAGAGATCGAGACCATCCTGGTCAACAAGGTGAAACCCCGACTCTACTAAAAATACAAAAATTAGCTGGGCATGGTGGTGCGCGCCTGCAGTCCCAGCTACTCGGGAGGCTGAGGCAGGGGAATTGCTTGAAACCAGGAGGCGGAGGCTGCGGTGAGCGGAGATCGTGCCATTGCACTCCAGTCTGGGTAACAACAGCGACCCTCCGTCTCAAAAAAAAAAAAAACAGCAGGGCAAGGTTCCATGAGTTTCTGGGTGGCATAGGTGCCTCTTCAATATGCTTTATAATAAACTGGGTAAAGGTAAGTAAGTGTTTCCCTGAGTTCTGTGAGCCACTCCAGCAAATTAATTGAACCCAAAGAGGGGGTCATGGGAATCCCAGTTTGAAGCTGGACAGTCAGAAGTTCTGAAGGCCTGGACTTGAGACTGGTGTGTGCGGAGGCAGTCTTGGAGACGGAGCCATCCACCTGTGCGATCTGACACTGTCTCCAGGTAGACAGTGTCGGAATTACATTGGAGGATACCCAGCTAGTGTCTGCTGCTTGGTGCGTGGGGAAAGAACTCACACACATTTAGTCACAGAAGTCTTCTGTGTCGATGATTGTCGTGGCGTGACAGTAGAGGAAACGCAAGATTTGAGGAGAATTTTTCCTTCTACTCATAGGGCATTGGAGATGTCAGTTCTCTTGAGTCTGAAGCGTCCTGCCTGTCACGTTTGCTCGCACTCACCCGTGTCTTCCCTCAGTCTAACTTACCTAGGAAAGTCTAAATTACCACTTTATTTTTGCAGGTGACTTTTGCAGATGTGAATTACTGTGCCTGGCCTCACTGTCCTATTTTTTAAGATATTTGTCATAATTTTCTTTTAAAATTTTTAGAGACAGAGTTTCACTATGTGTCCAGATGGCAGTGTGGTGGCTTATTCATAGCACACTATAGCCTTGAACTCTCTCCTCGGCCACTCAAATACCTGGTGATAAAGGCACACACCACCATGCCCAGCTGTCACAGCTATTTATGCAAATGTGCATGTCACCATGTGTATAAAAATAAAAATGTATATATAAATTGTACTTAGTTTGGCCGGGCGCTGTGGCTCAAGCCTGTAATCCCAGCACTTTGGGAGGCTGAGGTGGGTGGATCATGAGGTCAAGAGATCGAGACCATCCTGGTCAACATGGTGAAACCCTGTCTCTACTAAAAATACTAAAATTAGCTGGGCATGGTGGCGCCTGCCTGTAATTCAAGCCACTCAGGAGCCTGAGGCAGGAGAATTGCCTGAACACAGGAGGCGGAGGTTGCGGTGAGCCGAGATCGCGCCATTGCACTACAGCCTGGGTAATGAGCGAAACTCTGTCTCAAAATAAATAAATAAATAAATAAATTGTACTTAGTTTATAAACATGAATCTATATCAAGGTATAAAAAATGGTAGACCATAAAAATATATAGAAAGTTGAACTCCAATCTCTATTAAATACTCATATCGAAAAATATGAGTAAAAGTTTTTATAATATTGAGCTGGGGTCTCACTAGGTTGCCCAGGGTAGTTTCAAACTTCTGGGCTAAAGAGATCCTCCAACCTCAACCTCCGGAGAAGCTAGGATAATAAGCACATTCCACTACCCCAGCCTATAAATATGTTCATTTTATGTCGATTAAAATGTAGACATTTAGATATTATAAAAGCCCAGTGAAATTTGTTAATTTATTTCATTAATAAAATAGTGATACATCATTAGAAAGTTTATTATATTACATATTCATTTAACATATTAACAGCAAATAAAAATGCCTTAAGAAGTTACTGGATAATTAAAGATCAGGCCAAAAATAAATTGCTCTATCAAGCCAGGAACATGTCATGAAACATCATAATTATTAGTAAACATGGGATATACTTCTTAGAATTCAAAGGAAGGAAAAGGGGGCTTGTCTGTGCTGTAGCCAGTCATCACTGCACAGGGTGCCTGAACAGAGACCAGAAGCAGAGGGAAAAGGCAGACACACACACACACACACACACACACACACACACACGAGAGTGGTACGGGAAGGGAAGAGTGAGCTAAATCTACTAAAATTAATGGGTGGTCTAATTGTAACCAAGGAAAAGAATGTCATTTTAGCATATTACCTAAGAAGAATATACTAAAAACAAGTTTCCTTCTTCAGCAGCACTTTTTTTTTTTTTTTGCGTCGCCCAGGCTGGGGTGCAGTGTCATGATCTCAGCTCACCGCAACCTCTGCCTCCCTGCCTCAAGCCATCCTCCCACCTCAGTCTCCCAAGTAGCTGGGATTACAAGGGCGTGCCACCACACACGGCTAATTTATGTAATTTAGTAGAGACTGGGTTTCACCTTGCTGCCCAGGCTGGTCTTGAGCTTCTGACGTCAAGTGATCCACCTGCCTTGGCCTCCCAACGTGCCAGGAGTACAGGTGTGACTAAAACAAAATACAAAACTTAGCTGGGCATGGTGGCAGGCATCTGTAATCCCAGCCAACTCCAGAGGCCAAGGCACGAGAATTGCTTTCACCTGTAGGTTAAGTTTGCAGTGAGCCACGATCATGCCACTGCACTCCAGCCTGGGCAACAGAGCGAGAGTCCGTCTCAAAAACAACAACCACCACAACCAAAATATACCCTTTTACCCAACATAGCTGCTGCACAAGACTCCCTGCAGGCTTTATGGGAGGATCATGATGAGAAAATCTCCCTGAATGTAGCCAGGTCCAAAACGTGGAAGAGAAACAGATTTTTAAATTGTTTTTTAACTGCCTGCTGTCAGATATTTATGTTGATTTTATGTTTTAAAAGGATGGAATAAAACACCCTCTATCACTAATGTCTGTGTCTGAACATGCCATACTTTTCCCAGTCATTAAGATTTATGACTTAGAAATAGTGACTCACTTGTTTAGCTTCAAATGGAATCTAAATTCAGGTAGAAGAGATTTCTTCTTCCTGAACTCTTTGTTTTGAGATGGAGTCTGGCTCTGTGGCTTAGGCTGGCACGATCTTGGATCACTGCAACCTTCACCTCCCAGGTTCAAGCGATTCTCCTGCCTCAGCCTCCTGAGTAGCTGGGATTACAGGAATGTGCTACCACAGCCGGCTAATTTTTGTATTTTAGTAGAGACGGGGGTCACCATGTTGGCCAGGCCAGTCTCAAAGTCCTGGCCTCAAGTAATATACCTGCCTCAGCCTCCGAAAGTGCTGGGATTGCAGGTGTGAGCCATCATGCCCGGCCTTCCTGAACTCTTTTTCCAAAATTTACCAAGTGTTTGCACACATTTTTTTTGTTTTTTGAGATTGAGTTTCGCTCTTGTTACCCAGGCTGGAGTGCAATGGCATGACGTCGGCTCACCACAACCTCCGCCTCCTGGGTTCAGGCAATTCTCCTGTTCTCCTGACTCAGCCTCCTGAATAACTGGGAATACAGGCATGCGCTACCATTCCCAGCTAATTTTTTGCATTTTTAGTAGAGACGGGGTTTCACCATGTTGACCAAGATGGTCTCGAGCTCTTGACCTCATGATCCAACCGCCTCGGCCTCCCAAAGTGCTGGGATTACAGGCTTGAGCCACTGTGCCTGGCCTGAAATAAATTTTTTTTTTTATGGAGTTTCACTCTTGTTGCCCAGGCTGGAATGTAATGGCACAATCTCGGCTCACCGCAACCTCCACCTCCCAGGTTCAAGCAATTCTCCTGCCTCAGCCTCCCAAGTAGCTGGGATTACAGGCAAGTGACACCACACCCAGCTAATTTTGTGTTTTTAGTAGAGACAGGGTTTCCCCATGTTGGTCAAGCTGATCTCAAACTCCCGACCTCAGGTGATCTACCTGCCTTGGTCTCCCAAAGTGAAGGGATTACAGGCATGAGCCACCGTTCCCAGCCAAAATAATTTTTTAAAAAGAGAGAAGCCAGATCAGGCGCGGTGGCTCATGTCTGTAATCTCAGCAGTTTGGGAGGCTGAGCTGGGCAGATCACAAGGTCAAGAGATCGAGACCATCGTGGCCAATATGGTGAGACCCCATCTCTACTAAAAATACAAATATTAGCTGGGCACGGTGCCCTGTGACTATAGTCCCAGCTACTCAGGAGGCTGAGGCAGGAGGATTGCTTGAATGGCAGTGAGCCGAGATTACACCACTGCACTCTAACCCGGCGACACAGTGAAACTATGTCTGAAAAAAAAATGAGAGAGAAGCCTATAAAAATAGCAATAAAACAACAAAAATAATACAGGAAAACAATATAGTGTAACTATTTAGAAATTTACATTTCTTGAGTTAATGTAAGTCATCAAGAGATGATTTAAAATATATGGGAAGCAAGGGGCAATTTAAAGTATTTGAGAGGATGTAAAGGATGTGCATACGTTATATGCACATAAAATCGTGTGTCACTTAATAGGGATTTCTCCTGAGAAACGTGTTTTCAGTGTTATCTTTATAGACTGTACTTACATAAACTGAGATAATATAACCTATTACACGCGGAGCATACATGGTACAGCCTATTGCCAGAAACCTATACAGCATGTTATATAGTAAACACTGTGAGCAACGATAACACAATGGTAAATACTTGTAACTCAAAACATGTCTAAA